TTTTCCTACGGGTGTGGTAAGAGACGACTAAGGGAATTTAATGTACGAGGATAGCAGCGTCCCTCTTAAAAATCTGACTGCGATTGCCAGCCTGTCTGCCAAGCTTGGCAAATAATAGCAAAACTCCCTTTATAGGGGAGGCCTATATTACGCAATAAACTGTTAACGGCTGATATTGTCAATATAAAATATAATAATATATATGTCTTTTCCAAATGATTCATAGACAATAAGTTGTTTAACGTAGTTTACCCATTATGTCATGTAATTAATCTCATATAGGCACTTAAATACATGAATCATTTGTATAATGTATTGATTGTGTATTTACATCCGTATTTGCTCCCGTAGTTTGTCCATTTAAACTATAAAAAAAAAATTAAACCCGAGTCTGAGGAACAAACAAATACATAAAGTATCCTGTGTTCTAAATTACGATATAATTGTACTAAATTTTATTCAAATCCGTTCAATATTTTTTGCGTTAAAGAGTAACAAACATCCAACTATCCATTCTTATAAATTTTCGCATTTATAATATTAATAAGATAAATAACATTATCTAGTAGAACGTGAATAATTATATTTCACTAGTTGTTATCCCCAATTTTGTCTATGTATTCGGGACAAATTGACAGATCAGGATAAAATGTCGCAAATAAAAAATTATTCCTTATAAAAATACCTAACTATGTTACTCGTAGCATACACCGACATATTGCACTAAGCGAGCATTGATTTTCTCGTTTCCTATCGCAAGCAGACTGCCTGCAGTGCACTACTTCTGGCGCCAAATACCTACATGATATTGAAATGAATACATGTACTTAATTTATGAAAATGTTGGTTTGAAATAAAAAAATAATAATTTAATTCGTTTACGATCTTTACGTTACGATTACATCTCCTTTTTATTTTTTATTTTTACTAATTTTCCTATTACTTTAAATATAAATTGCTCACTTTAGCTACCACAGGTTTTCCAGGTGTATTCATTCATTAGACTAACTGACCTGTCCTTTTCGTTCTCACCGAACATCCCTCACTGGTGCCTCGCTAGCGTATACTGTTTACCATTTCATTGTCATCCATTAAAAAAATTAAATAAAGGGAAATGTTTATGTTGTCGCATGTTCATTTTAATGAAAAGTGTATGCGACAAAATAAACATAGACTAAGAGCAAATATAAATAAATATTTATATTTGCTCTTAGTCTGTTTCAATAAAACTTAATGAACATGTAAGCAAAGGAATAATTGACGCGACTGGAGCAAAGACAGTCAGTCTGCAGATGTTCAAAAGCAGTACATATGAAACATCGATTAATTGAATGAATACTGCGATTTATTAAAAATTTCATTTAGAAAGTTTATCTATATGTGTTTCTAATAATAATATTAGCAATTTTTTCGTAAATTTCTATTGAAACAAACTATAATAAGATATGACTTCTTTATATTTCTATAAAAGAGTAGTATCTATTCATTTATTCAAATAAGGAAAATATTTTTAATCAAAAACAAATAATATGTCGCCATTAATTATTGTATGTCATTGTACATATTTATGTCTTAAAGAAATCAATAAAGAAATAACATCTGTCAGCTTGTTTTTTTATCCAATACAAAGAGATTGTTTAGCTTTAAGGTCGTCTTACATATGCCTACTTATTTTTTCACTGTTATTTATGTTACTAATAATGTTTTACTAATTAATAAAATCTACTACCTAAATACGTATTAATATTGCTGTTTCTTTTATTCTGAGACATCGTAATTACATACATGAGGGTGCGTATGTGTCACTGACGGGACAGCATCGAATTTGTCTCGCATCTGCTGCCGGATTTCCTCTCAATAAGGACCTTTGCCCGATTTGTGTTCTGTAGAAAGTTATCACACGTCCATTGTCATATCAGCAGGATGCTGAATAATATTGACGTTCATTGCTGTTTTAAATTGATTCCTATTAATATTTGTCTTCTCATTACGCCTTATGTGTAATTCACGCGATGTCTTTGCTAATTCTGAAGCTATTTTATATTTAATAGGGTATATTCCCGTATTCGACCTATATAATTTTGTCGTGATGGAGGTCGTCATTTTCATACTTTTTATTATAAATATACCAAAAAAGAATAACGATACTAATTACCTATATATTTACTTATTTCTGTGCTTATTCAAACATACTTTGTTAAATAAATAAATAAAAATTAAAAAAAAATATTTGGCAGTAATATAAAAAAAAAATGGTTTATTCACTTTTACACTTTATCTGAGTAGTAAGTCTCTCATTTTCGTGTATAATATAATATATCCACTTTGTTCAAATAATATAAGTCCACTTTGTACAAATGTCCTATAATAAAGAATAAATATACATACATATATATAATACATATTGTATATAAACACGGAAAATATAATATGTATATAAAAATCCATATTATATGTTGCCATAGAAAATGTCACGTCCTCCAATACCAAGGGTTACGATGCAAGAAACAGTAAAGAAAAAAAATATGCGAAGATATAATAAGCATTTTTTATATTTTTGTCAGGAACGAACAAACCTAATTTAAACATGTGTAGCTCAATAATAATTAAAATGGTGGGACTCTAATAGTACCAAAGTCCAATGTCGATCAACTTTGCAATATAATAAAATACAAAGGTACGTGTGTTAAGTAAGTAAATAAACATTTATGCACACCCAGGACATAGGTATACGTTTTGTATTACGAGAATTGAGTAGGTAGGTCCAGTCAATATAATAATTTACACCCAATGTCACCAAAGGTTCACATTGTGTTGTTTACCCACATACACCTACAGCCAACTGAATGTAAATTAACACCTGGTTTGTAAATTGGTCACAAGGGTTAGTAATGACTCACTTTTGACTTGACATATATACTTTAGTCAACTTTTATAAGTAAACTACATTCGTAAAGTTAGATGACTCACTTTGTTGTATTAATATGAGAATTATTGTTATTCTAGCTTATCTGTGATTAATTTCCGTTCGTTTTATTAGTCGGTTAACCTAATATTTTTCCTTTATTTTTGTAATTTCATAAAAATTGTAATTTTCAAGCAAGTAATTAAACAGTTATCAGTAAGTGAATCTTAATATAACTACGTCACAGATGTCAATAAAATTTATTGATTATTTATTTAAATTATTCAAATAATAAGTATAGTCGTTTCTTGTTAATATTACTATTAATTTGGAACATTTTTTGTTTCGTACTGACCACCACCACTTGCCGTCATAATGATTCAACATATCGTCATAAAATTTAGCATACTTAGATACATATAATATTTACTTGACATAGAGAAGGATATGGACTACTTTTCTCCTATTAATATATATGTCTCGATCATCTTTTTTTTATACAACTTAGATGTCTGGATATCGTTTGGATGAATACAGTAGATATTTTACTATAAAAAGGCCTAACTTATTCCTACATAAATAAGTAAGAAATATATTACTGCAAATAATTTTATGATGGAGTATATTCAGAGAGTAATGAATTTAGAATACCTAGTAGGTACAGAAGTTATTCAGAAAAAATTGTCTCCAATATACACATTTCATTGTTCTGGCGATATATTTACGATCCAGCACATGTTTATTGAATTATTCAGGTATTTAACATATAACCAATGATATTATTTAGATTGATTGTAGAAAATATACTTTTATAGGCTCATTAGTTCCTCACTAATTTATTACAATCAATAAGAACAAAATGCTATAATAGGTATGAACTAAGAATGTTTACATAGGTATTCATCTGTCTTTATTAAACGGAATGGAAGAAAACTGTTTCATTAACTTTTTAATAACATCTAGGTATATTATTTCCAACAATAAAAGGATAAGGTTCTTTATTAGCCTTTGTTTCTATGGATATCATACGCTTAGTCTTCGCCAATTTTAAATAGATTTTTATAACTTTGTCTTCATTATTTAATAATTTTGTCTCGGATGATCTCATTCTTTTATAGAAAATAAATTATAAACAAAAATAATTATCTGTGGGAAAAGGATTGATACTAATAGGAATTAGCTAACTCATTGCTAGGCTACATACCCTGTTAGGTTAGGTTAGGTTTCCAGGGAAAGCTGGCTGGAGACAATCTCCAGCCAGCTTTCCCTGGAAACTTTTTGTCACGATAAAGCAGTTAGACTTGACTTTATTTTCCTAACATCCCTGCCACAATAAACCAAATGTGCAAACAAGGTATCTATTCTATTGACATCCATTCAAAAGAAATGATAATTATTTACCTATCTATGATGAGTGAGAGCTCATTGAACGGAATAAAAAATATTAATTAGAAAAGTATAAGCAAACTATACAAGTATCGTGTGAATTATAAATTAACGTCATATTATGTAAATGAAAGTAACGTTCAAGTAAATTATTCTCGTAACTCTGTAAGCATATCGTGTCTCCTATTCATTTTTGTCTCCCACGACGATCCGCAGCGATGTCATTTCACCTAATAAATTCCATCTAGTTATGTTATAATATTACGTTATTTTACGTTTTAGCAATGACTTTACTAATTTGTTGAACTTTCACTAATATACGGCTACCCGCGTTTAACGAATTATGCTAATCATGATTTGTTTTCGCAATCTTATTTACATTAAGATATTTACACAAATTATCATCAAATTTTAAATATTTTCCTACTAATTAAAATGTAAGGTTTATAATTAACAGATTTATAGCGAAATAATATTTAAATATTTTAATTTCATTCAATTAATATTATACTGATACTAATCATGTTATTGCGTATTGTAGATAAGTATACAAACATTTATATCATTCTTATATTATATTTTCCATAGGAAGGTTATATTATCAATGAAATTAAATTTATCAATATTATCTATCATTAAACGTTATTTATTTTCTTAATATAAATAACACTATAACTTTATGGAGCTGCGTCTGATACAATTCACTTACTTGTTAAAGGTCACCTCGTATTGTTTTATTTCCTTTCTGGAGAACTCATGAAATTCTGTGTAGACGTTAACGAATTTGTATTTAGGTTTGATCTCGAGCCCTTCTTCGAGTTTCTCGTTTATTTCTTGCCTCCTTGACAGGATACCACTAAGTTCATCTGTGGCCGCCATCGTGAAGATTTACGCGGGAATTTAATGTATTTCTCCGAATGCAATCTGTGACCGACACCGCGAGAGGCAACACGCGCTACGACCTTTGCGATACTGGAAGTGCGGCCGGTTCGCAGCCGCCAGCCACTCAGTGCCTTCGCACTCCGCGCGCACTCCCTCGCGGCCGCGCCGTAATCACGTCGCGGGGGACGCAGCGATGAATCGACGTAAATAATAATATAATATGTAGGTGCCGCGCACGTAATCTTGCCGCAATGTCACAGAGAACCCCGCCGTGCCAGACTTCAGATTTGGAAGAAAATAGTCTAATCTAAACATAGCATTATGCTCCAATTACATATTTTATGACAAAGATTCTTCAGTAACATTCATAAAATTAAAATTTTTGGTCACTGTGTATGCCCTCTACTTCTCAGATATATCAGAGTAGAAAAATCAAAAATATACCTAATAGTTATTGATAGTTATAAAATTGAATAGGTAATATTTTTCGCAGGAAAATTAAAAATATTTTTTTCAGAGTTATGAAAAAGCACCAACGAATATATCCGTTTATCGTCAGATGGCGCTAGTAATGGTTGATAATGGAATGGCAGCCCCACCTGCGCTAACGGTAAACGCCGGTCAATGATGATGATGATGATGATCATGATGGTAAACCAGTAAATGATGATAGATGATAATGAAAAGGCAGATCAGTTAGCCCATTGTGATGAATACACTTGGCATTCATTACAATAGTTTCCAAGGGTATACCCTATAATATAACCTGACAGGGTATACCCTGTCAGGTTGATCTTCACGTTGTCCCTAGCAATGGGACTGGGATTCCGCATTCATAACAATTCCTTCCGCCCCAGACGACGCTAGTGTATACATAATAGAATATACATAATACCACATAATACAATACATAATAATACAAGAGAGAATCCCACAAAAAACTATCATAATATGATTCATGAATTCATCATGATGGGTTAACTGGCCTGTTTTCATTCTCATCGATCACCCTTCACTGATACCGCGCCAGCGTATTCCGTTAGCGCAGGCGGGGTTACCATTTCATTGTCACCCATTAAAAAAAAAACAAAAATAGAGTACAAAAATTTAATAATTTTATTATCACTAGGATTGATGAGATATATCTTCGGATAACTTAAAACCCGTAGGATTCTATTCCATCTATTATAGTATTTTAATACCTTTTTAGTACAAACTAAATTTTTTTCAAAAGCGCCTGGTATTTATTGATTGCCGAATAGTCAAGTACTTGCAACTTTTCATGTGTTTTCACGTAAGGATAATAAGTAACTCAGTCACAAGAGTAAGGTAATGACAGCCAGTGCCTTGAGATTGGGGGCAGGGTCGGGTCGTGGCCACAAATTGGGTCACTTGGTTCGACGTAGGTAAGTACTTTTGATTAAACAAGGGAGATTATGCCGCCAAGAAAAATTGCCTCTCTCTAGTCATTCAGTAGCCCTTCTGACATTTTAAATTTTCGTCGTTCTCAGACAGTTCCCAGTGACGCCGGAAAAGCTGTGGCTGACTCTAACGATAGTAACAAGATCGACGTATTTCAATATATCCGTCAAAATTAGAATAAAATGTATTTTACGAGTATGTTTTAATCTTAGATTATATATGTAAATAGAGTGTCTCCATACAAATCCTTCGAAAAAAGCGATTTAGTCAACTTCAGTCAGACAAAGTCATTCAGTGTCATTGACTAACAAATATTGAATTATATTTTCAAACTTATGAGTTTAGAATTAAGTAGGATAAGTGTATTTGTTATTTTAGTATTTGTTTTACCAGAGGAGATAAACTAACAGTAAATTTACAGGGTACAGAGGAATAACATCTAAGTCCTCAGGAATGGCAATGCATGAGGAGTATCATCGGCGAAACAGTATATGTACTCTGTTATGTTCATGGTACTGCTCATGTCTATAGGCAATTGTTACCACTTTTCATCAGGTGGGCTGGCAGCTTGTTTGCCATTCTAAGTAGTATAAAAAAAATAAGATCCTTGCATGTTGATAAATTTTTAACACAATGTAGACATAATAACATCAACTAGCTGTCAAGGATTGTTATTATATTAAATGAGTCTTTTAAATTGCAGTTACAATTTCCCAGTGTTGCCAGTAAATTAAAAAATATCTACCTAATTTTTTATCGCCGCCTATTCTTCAAATGATAATAGCAAGGTAAAGGAAAAGTATTATAAATCTGAAAACCGGTAACAATCATAAATATGGGACGAAAGAGTTTCTCCAATGATGATGATATTAAAATAATATTCTTTCACAGTATCTGTTGCTTATAATAATGATATACTTAAAATGTGTATCTTTAAACTCTATATTATTGTAATCTAACCTTACAGTCATGACAAGAAGATTAACAAACCATGAATTAATGATACACGTAGTACAAAATAAAAAAGGGGAAAAGTGTTTGTTAGTAATGCGGACTACCAGTCACATTGCTAGCAATATACTCCGTCAGGTTGACCTCCACGTGCTCCCCCCTGGAAACCATCGCGTTGAATACCAGATGTTCGACACAATCGGCTAACTGACCTGATTTTTCATCTCACCTATCATCATTCACTGATATCCCGCCAGCGTATATCGTTAGCGCGGGCGGGGTGACCACTCCATTGTCATCCATTAAGAACAAATACAAAATTGAACTCACATGATATTTTTCAAATAATACCTACTACTACATTTCCTTAAAAAAAATATATTATTTAGTATATGTATTTATTTGTGGGTGCTTACTGATGGAGAGCGTCGCTGAGGCCGACCCAGAAACCGATGGTGTAATGACCTAGACGTATTTATAAGTAAGACGAACGGTTTCGGGTGGCGCAGAATAGGAAGTTTTAGAAGAAAATGCGGGAGAACTTTGCCCAGAAGTGGACACCGTGGGTTAATAGACATTATGCATTTGTTTAATACTTAATATATTTGATTTTTATTACTGTAGTAAGTGTAAAATTACGTTAGTTACACATTTATTAAGTCTATGTTTTATTACGTACTTATCTCCTTGACCGTCCATAGACAGTGACCGTGTTATCTTTCTTATCCTTTATTTTCATTTTCCCAACCAATACTTTATTGAATATATAGTTTTTGTTACTATTATACTTATTTCTTTATAGCATAATAAATTCATTATTGCACAAATAGATGTATACATAGACGATATACTTAACTACTGAATTATTTTATCTACTACTTTATTTTTCTTAAGTATGTAGAAAAAGTGCGTAGAAAAAATAATAGAAGAAGTATCTAGTGTATGAATATTAAAATTTTACTATATAAATTTACTCCGTTACATGCTATAGTCTAATAGACTATACATAACTAAATAAGAAAATAAATATTTTCCCATAAATTCGGTAAGACGGATTTGTTGAACAGGTATGACGAAGCGTCACAACTTTATATGGAATGATACAAAAATAGTTTGAAACAACTGGCTTCCTTCAATGGTACAAGACGCTAGCTGTATTTAAAAATATAATGGCAGAGTCTCTCATAACAATGCAAGAAATTAATCACAGGTAAAAATTATTTCCGTTTATTACTTATGTATATTTGTATGTTTTAAAACTAGTTATATATATTTTATATAAGATAATATTATTTACTATAAACAAAATCAAACTGATATTACATAATACTTAAGAATTTAGTCATCGCGACATATATTTATTACAAAGGTTACTGGAAAGACGGGAAAGCTTACAACTCATGCTGAAAAGCCGTCTCCTTTAAACGTGAAAAATTAAATGATATAAATTATAAATAAGTTACTTTATTGACAAGGACAATCAACCAATTGCTCAAAATAATTACAATATTAACACGCGAATAAACATTTTCGAATAAAAAGAATTAGTAGATAATACTAAAATATTTTTTATTGAGTTATTTATATGGCACACATGTCAATTTCGACATCTGCGCACATTTTATTTCTATCACGTAACTTACAAAAGGTAATTAAGATTTTATTTCGTAAATCATGCCACCAGTCTTAATTGAACACATTAACACGAGTAAATTTTGTGATTAAAAGGGAATCGCACAAATCGATATAAATTGTCTAAGATATATATATATATATATATATATATATATATATATATATATATATATATATATATATATATATATATATATATATATATATATATATATATATATATATATATATATATATATATATATATACTTATATTTTATATATATATATAACAACTGCAAGCTATTTCACTGCCCCCAAGTTACATTATTTTTGTTTATAATATTATCAATCATTCAATTGTTTATATTTTACTTGCCATAAGTAAAATACAGGTAAACTAAGATACCTACATTATAACTTTAAAAAATAATTAATATACAATATATATTATTTTTGGTAAAATATCGATATATAATATAGGTAGGAAAATATTACGTACATGATACAAAAAAATACAATAGAATTATTTCACGTAATTACAACAAATTATTTTTACAAATTAAAGTAAACATGTAGTAGAGAAGGTATGTTTGTTTGACAACACAATCAAGTGAAAAACGAAAACAGTTGTGCAAAGTAGCTATGAATAAAAATACAATAATCCACTCGTTATAGCCGTAAAGGTACTTATTAAATTAATCCATTTACACATTATATACTTCGTAGCATTGCGTACACAATAATATAATACAATACAACGGTGCGTATGCAATTTATGTGAATTTTAATTTCGTAATTGACACATGTAGTCCTCTGGGTCACATAGTAGTCCAGGGGTTGATAGTACATTAGGTACATATTTAATTTATATTGTTTTTTTTTATGGTTGATAATGAAAAAGTAACCCCACCTGTGCTATCGGTATACACCGGCGGGGCACCAGTGAAGGATGATAGGTGGATGAAACAGGTCAGTTAGCCCATCGTGACGAATTCAACAAGAATTGCTCACGATGGTTTCCAGGGGGAACCACGTGGAGGTCGACCTGACACGACTAGCAATGGGGCTGTCAAACTCAATTGCTAACAATCCCTCTTCCCCCAATTTATATTGTTATATAACAATATCAAGACAGGTAAATACTATCTGTTCATTGGACGCTTCATGAAATAAAAATGTAAACTGAAAAACAGCAGATTAATTATCTATGAGGATACTTATCTACATTTACATTCCAAAAAAAATGTTTATTTCTTCAAAATGCGCATATTCTTTCATCTAATTTTATTATATATTAAAATAAAATAGTTTACAAAATATAATTTTCTGTTGCCTTATATCATTATGAAAAGTTGTTCGGAAATAAATTCAAATTGAAGAATAGGATTAAAAAGAGGCATTCGTAAATAAAGATCGAACGTATACCGATAATAACGATCATATTATATTATTTTATTTGTCACAATAAACTGCGATTGAATAAATTTTTCTCTGTATATTTTACTACTTCTTTATTTTTAATACTAATTAATTTATATAAACGAATGTAATATGTAGTATAATGGAATTCAGATATCGCATTGCAATAAATTAAATAGTATTGTAGCATAGAATGTTAACATTATAACTTTCGGCTCCCTAACTATAATGGCGATTTACTCTTTTCCAACCAAGCCTAAATTACTAGCAAAGCTTTTCGGGCCGTCACCCAGTTCAGTCACTTAAAACATGAGACGTCATTCTAGGTAAGTCCTTTAAAATATGTTTTCAAGTCATTTGAGATTTTGCTTCTAAAAAATATTTTAACTGTCACAAAATTAAAACCAACACAGGAATAATATCTGAATTACAAAAACAATTATGTATCAATTCAGAATTGACGGAGATATCATGTAACGATATCTCTGCCAATTCGATTCTGAATGAAATACAATGAATGTATAAACACATTGACATCACACACATCCTTTTTTAAATCAATTAAAAATATGTCATAATAATGAACTATTTTTATATAATAGGTCAGAAAGCATTGGAAAAACGCCAGAGACTGATTGGGATAGTCAGCGTGATGTAAAAGTTAAGAAAAAGTCAAATTTTGTAAAAGATTACTTAATTGATTATACATCTAATTCAAACCTTCATGGCCTTAAATATCTTGGAGAAAAACAAAGAACTTCGGTTGAAAGGTATTTTCATAACCTGATTATAAAGGTTGATTACAGGTTTATATATAATGCCAAATAATTTTGATCAGTTTCTTATTTTACCATAATAACTTATAATTAAAAATTTTCTTTTATATCTTTGAATAGTTTAAAATATTGTGTATATTTTTATTTATATATTAATGACATAAGAATAAAAACATTTTAGGGTATTCTGGTTTTTCGTATTCACATGCTGCGTGGTACTTTGTGCCGGATTGATAAGAAAAGTGTGGATAAAATGGAATGTGAGTCCAGTAATTGTCAGTTTTGCAGAATCGTCTACCCCTGTTTGGCAGGTATATTTACTGATTTACACATAATTGTTATTGATGATTATTAATTCGTGATATAGAGATTTATGTGTTTTTTTTTCTTCGTTTATTGACATAATTATTATTATATATAATTACATGTGCCAGTAATATTTTCCAACTTTAAATTTTATATGATCTCTTTTGATGAATATCTCAAGTCCCCTCTGTCACTGCATACCATAAGTTAACGATAGTAGGTATCTGCAGCTTTCTACGTATATGTGCATGTCATTGATTATCTAATAAAAAATATATAACATGAAGTTCGGAGTAGAATCACAGTATATTAAAGTTCTTTAAACTATAGTAGTGTTGTGTTTTGTCTAGGTAGGTAATTTTGTGATACCTAGGTATATCTACGGTATATTCAGTATATATAACTTGTTATTTTGATCTGACTGAAAGAAACTGAACACAGATAATGTTTTATTATTATTATTATAGCTTTTTTATCCACTTCCGTGGTCCCCAAGGGTAAAAGCCTCCTCCATCTTTTTCCACTTCTCCTTATCTATAGCAATACCCGTCCAGTTCTGACAGACAGTGTTGTAACAGATAATGTTAGCAGACTCTAATAAATACTAAACGCTAAATGTCTGCATTTAGAAGAATTTAGCTTGTGAAATATAGTAACGTAAACATACAAAAATTTTATTTAGCAAAGCGATGGTGATCATGATGTAATCATAAGATTATTTTTTCAGATACCATACCCAGCTGTGACCGTATGCTTAGAAACAAAAGCCAAACAGTCCGTGTTCAATTTTACAGAATATTACCACCTTTATAATGATTCTGGAACACGTGAAAACTTGACGACTTATGAGTAAGTCGTATAAATTATTACTTAAAAATTATACACAAACAAGTAACACTAAAAATTATACACAAACTTTGGAGACAGTTGTTTTTGTTTCAATATCACCTGTAATAATTTGTATAAATATGATATTTTTTATAAATATTTACCTTGTTTGGTCTCATTCCGACTTTTTTACTTACTAATAATATATGGACAGAAAATCTATGATATTTTGAAAATAGAAAATAATGCATGTTACTCGTTATTCATTTTTTTTTTTTTTTATTTTTAATCTTTTTTTATTGTTAGGAAGGCAAACAAACGAAGCGATTTTAAAATTTCTACAGGTGAAAATTCTACAGGTGATTTTCAAAATCGGTTGAGAATTTTAGAATTTATCCATTTTAAATTAAAAGTTTTTTTTTCTCTTTATAATATTAGTTTATATATACATATTTAATACTAGCGACCCGCCCCGACTACGTAATATTTTATTGAAAATAAAATATAATTTAAAACAAATACGTGTAGAATAGAATAGAAATTCCAATAAACGTTCTATATGAGAACTGTACATTCTTTCTAGATAAATACTTACTTGATTTTTTTTATGCAACTTAGAATGGCAAACAAGCTGACGGCCCACCTGATGGAAAGTGGTAACCGTCGCCTATAGACATGAGCAGTGCCATGGACATAACAGAGAATACTGTTTCGCCCATGTTACCCCTCATGCGTTGCCATTCTTGAGGACTCAGGTGTTATTCCTCTGTACCCTGTAAATTCACGCCATATCCCACCCTTCAAACCGAAACACAGCCATGAAAAAACACAATTGCCTCACGGTAGAAACACGAATGGGACAGAGGTACCCAAGCAATCGACTTTTGTACAAAGTCTACCTCTGGTTAAAATATTTACATCGTAAACAATAATAATTTCAGACGAAATCTGTACGAAGATGTAACGCTAGTTTGTGATGACCATCTCGCCCCTCCTCAAGGCAGAAAATTTGGATTTGGTAATGAAACTGTTACAAATATAAAAGAGGTTAGTGAAGATAAAAAGTTATAAAATAATAATCATCATCTGTGAACCTTAAACACGCGTAATAGGTTTTACGAGTATGTTTAATGATATCAGAAATTTTCTCTTTTAGGTATCACCGAACATAACCGATGCATTTTTTGGCTGTAAATGGAAAGATATCCCCAAGGAAACATGTTCTGATCTTTTTTCTCCTATATTGACGGAAGAAGGACTCTGTTACACGTTTAATAACTTAGGTGCTAATGAACTTTTTAGAATGGAAAAGTATGTATAACTTAAATTACTTGTGAAATATATTAAATATTTTACTGAACTAGGAGTTATTTTGCGGAAGTTCATAACTGCAAACACTCGAAGATTGACCATTATTATCATTATCAGAAGTTTTACAACCTTCCATATTAGCCATCAATTTCCCCCTGCCATTCCGTCCACGCACGTTTTGCAACACGTGATTATTCACCTCTAAATGAGGGGTATTTAAGACAACATTAATAACCGTATTAACCGTGTGAGTTTGGGCGCCGCACGCTTACTATTGGTAGCGCAACTAAATAACAAAATAATTCTAATCAACCCTGTATACTATTTTTTCAGTGGCTTCTTTCTCAATCTATTAAAATACTATTGATAAAGGAAATACTATTTATATGTCATAATGTTATTTTGTTATTACGTACTTACGTATATTTTAGTGGAGAATGTTCGACTAGTTTAGGTATCTCATTCTAATATTATAGTCCAGGATATCAGAAAATTCACTCGAATTTGTCTAAAAGTATAATTAAATTAACTTAAACAGTATGTACTAAGTTAGTGTTTGATAAAGTACACTATTTTATCAAACCTAAACAGTAAATTTACTATGATGATCTAATAATTGTTATAGCATACACAAAGATTATCAGTATCTTGAACATCAAAACGTGGCAGAATCTTGGAGTCTAGAAGATGGTTACGCCCCGATGACACCCATAGAAACGTATCCCCACAGAGGTTCTGTAAGTATATTAAACTGTAAATAATACTTTTGTGAAGCAGTTATATATATTAATATTATAAATGCACAAGTTTGTCAGAGCGGACAGTTGGATGGATGTACATATGAATGTTTATTCTTCTTTCACACAAAAACTACTGAACGATTTTTAATAAAATTTTGCACACGGGTATTTATATCCTAACATATCACATGGATACTTTATATACGTAATCACACGTGTAAAGCCATGGGATACAGCTAGTATTTATGTATTGGTAAAATCTCACCAAATTTCATTTATAGAAGGATCAATGATAATCTCATGTAAACAATTTTTTTCTCTTATCCCTCAAAGAAAATAAATTGTAATGCACAATGTTATAGCTTATTTTATTAGTGAATTGAAAAAGGAGAAAAAATAATTTTTATATTCAATTAGTAAACATTCCAAACTCTTATTAATAAGTAGTATTAAAAATTATTTTCCTAGGTTTTCTATTGTATTCCTACTTTCGAGAAAAAGTAGAACCAAGGATTAAGCAATTAGTATAGAGATGGCATAGAGTTTTCAGATGCACGACTCAACAAATACTTTCCTAGTGCTACACAATTTCATTATTTGTTTCATAAAACATAAGTATGTTTCATTAAACTTCTGGCTAACTTCTAACTTTCAGGGATATGGCGCAAAAGCCGGTTTGACATTTCTGATGAAAACAAAACAAATCGATTTGGATTTTCTTTGCAGAGGGCCTGTTCAAGGATTCAAGGTAATTAGTTAAAGTTAGCCTTTATTTAAATTTAGTATTGTTCCTAAAGTATTTTTTCTTTTCATAGATTTTACTACATAACCCTGCAGAATTACCTAGACTTTCGCAACAGTATTTTCGGTCGCCTTTATCGCAAGAAGTTGTTGTTGCTGTTAAACCAAAAATGATGACCACTTCTGAGGGTCTACGAGCATATGATCCGAACAGGCAAGTCATCATATTTATATAATTTAATTCTTTTATTAAAATTAAATTGATATTTATATTATATATGTAAATATATTATATAAATACAAATGTAGATATATTGAGAATTTATCCCGTACCTTAGGTATTCTTTACACTTTTAAATAAAAGAAAATCTTTATGCAGTAAGTAAATGGCCTAAACAACTAGTACCTATCACGTGGTATTTCTATAAATAAATCTCTTTAATACTACCTTTATGCTCGCTACTTCGTACGTGTGGATTTTAGAAATATAAAGATAATACTCGTATATTAAGATAAAACATATGGCCTGTAGGAATATAACTGTAAACTGCATCCAATTTCGTGCAGTATTTTTTGCGTGATGCTAAAACAAATCTACAAACAGACTGACAATATTTATAAAATTATCTTTTTTGGTTTCTATTTGTCTTATTAAAATCCCTCATACGATTTTTCTTAAATATCTCCCATGTACAGACACTGTTAAATTAGATTGTTATTATATTAATAAGTTTGTAATAGGATAATGCTATCTAATTTAAAAAAATATTTGTCTTCAGACGACAATGCTATTTCCCTAGTGAGAGGTATCTGAAATATTTTAAAATCTATACCCAATCTAATTGTGAGATGGAATGTTTAACAAACTTTACTTACGCACGATGTGGCTGCGTTCATTTTGGAATGCCACGTAAGTATCAACTATTGAAATAAAGCTTACCGGGAGAGTAAGAATTGTATTAAATAAACAAATTATATTTTTAGATGGCCCGGAGATGAAGGTATGCAATGCGGGAAGCATGGCTTGCATTAAAAAAGTACAAAGTTAGTATAAAAATAAAATATAGCTATTATTCATGTTGTTAGTTATAAATATCTATACCAATACGTAGTATCGTGTACTTTATCCTATTTGTATTACGTAGTAGTACCTACTACTTTGAACTGACGTCGTTAACTTTTGACAAAGTAAATGTAAGTAAATACCCCTGATACTTATCTTTAATCGGTCAAACCATTCGTTCGATCAAATATTGAAATATACGATGTGTATATTTCAATATTTGATCTAATAAATGATTCATGGTGGGCATTCTTGAGCAAACAGTCGAGTAAAAGAAACATTTATGACTACTTTTTCTTTCTATTACGCTGTGTATTAATTTTGTAATGTACAATAAATTATTTTGTAAACATTTTTTTAAGTTATTGAAAGTAATAAATATATGCCCTAAATAACTTTAAGTAAAAGAAAAAGGTAGAGTTTGGTGCCCACCCCAAAACTGTTTTTTTTTTAAATAAATATATAGTAAATATCTGGTAAAGCTAAATAACTAATAAAAAGACTTTGTACAAAAGTCGATTTTGGTGTCCCATCCCAAAACTGTTTTTTTTTTTTAATATCTAAATATATAGTTAAACAATATCTGTTATGTCCATGTACTCATGTCTATAGGCGACGTACCACTTTCCATCAGATGGGCTAAATAAAAAAAAAAAAAAAAAAAAAAAAAAAAAAAAAAAAAAAAAAAAAAAAACTAATATCAATTTATTATTTCAAAATGTGATATTTCTTAAGCCTAACTTTTCGTAGGTAATGTACCTATATAAGTCTGTTTCAATACATCATAATGAAACGGTAAAGTTTTATTTGAAATTACCACAGAAACAAACTCCTAATTATTTTGGTAACAAATGAAAACAATTAATCAATTAATTGATTTTTTATTTCTATTATTATTTATTTGGAAATCAGGAGATGATCTTATGTATAGTTAATTATTCGTTTTTTTACATTTACATTAATTCTATTGAAACAATATACGTGAGTAAAACTTACTGATGTAAAAATGGTTTTAGCTTTCTTGACAATAAATATATTTTCTCATACAAAATAAAAAAAATATAGACAATTCAGACAATACTCGTACGTCATTAATCAATTTAATATTTCCTACACATTCTAGTAATCCTCTATTAATCTTAATAAGAAATATATTGCAGTGGAGCTCGTAGTAGCAGAAGTAGAAGCAGGTCTAGAGAAGAGGAATGAAGAGAACGATACGATCGGCGAGGCGCGAAAGATTGCCTCCCGCTGCAAATGTCTGCCGGCGTGCACCTCCATCGAGTACGAGGCGGAAACCTCCCAAGCAGACTATGACTGGAAAGCTATTTTTAGAGCGTACAAATTAGAAATTCCACCTGAAATGAATGAGTAAGTTTTAATTTGACATGCAATATTTATTTTAAATTCCCTAAGGAGGAGAGCAAAAAAATTATGCTGTATATATATGCAAATTAAAAATAACTACTGTTAATTGTTTAATATTAAATGCTTATAAATATTACATGCAATTATTTAAAGTAGGTAATCATATATAACCAGTAGCGCATTATTAGTAGCGCAGTGAATGGACAAGTAGACTTTGTATAAATGAGGGTCCGGGTTCGATTCCTAGTCGGGTCAATTTAGGAAAGAAACTTTATTGAATTGGTCTGGGTGTTCTGGGTTGTGCCCCAGATATTCTTAGTCTAGTTCCTCATAACACAGGATGTCTTGACTTGAAGAGCAGGCGATTAGTGTGATTTTGAGTGGCAATAACGATTTCATTACTTTTGTTGATGTTAAAATTTATTATGTTATTTAACGTTGTATGTTTTTACGCAACATAGATTAGCAAACAAGCTGACGGCCCACCTGACGGAAAGTGATAACCGTTGCCTATAGACATGAGCAGTACCTACCACGAACAAAATAGAGTATACTGTTCGCCCATGATACCCCCCATGCGCTGTATTTCCTGAGGACTAAGGTGTTATTCCTCTGTACCCTGTAAATTCACTGCCATATCCCACCCTTCAAACCGAAACACAGCCATGCAAACACAACTGCCTTCCAGTTGAAATACGAATGGGATAGAGGTACCCAAACAAACGACTTTTGTACAAAGTCTCCCTCTGATTTGTGTTTATTTATGTGTCTATTTATATATGCTTTACTCACAGTTTATTTAATCATTTAAATAATTTGTGTAATGTTATTAAAATTTCAGCATGATGTATTCACGTGTAATGATTTTCTTCAAAGAGCCACAATTTATAACATCGCGCCGCTCTGAATTGTACGGCCAGACAGACTTTTTAGCCAATTGTGGCGGTCTACTGGGGCTTTTCATGGGTTTCTCCATTCTGAGTGTGGTGGAAATTTTATACTTTTTCACATTAAGGTAACCATCAAAAATTTTTGTTTAACTATAACCTCTAACTACATGCGAGAGGAACCGTCTGGTTTCTAATGTTTCTGGGTCTTTAAAACACGAACACATCTGTCTGTTTGCTTTACATGTTATTTAAAATACGAAGCAAGTGACAATTAATTAGTATTAAAACCTTTCTTATGTAATATAGGACCAGCGCTAAAAAACTACAAGAGAACCGTATAACTCGTCGGTAACTGAAACTAACAAATGGAATTATTAATAAACAAAACAAAAGTACGAAAACTATCAATACTAAACTATTTAAAAAAATCATTATATATAGCGAGCTACATAACAGGACTAAGAAAAAGATTTATTAAATGGATTCGGAATCAGACTCACGGGAAAGGTTGCTGTGGTCCATTGACATTTGAAAACTTTACTGTCCCTCTCTTTCTCTGCTGTTTTAATGCAATATTAATTAATTAGAAAACAATTTTATATTTTATAAAATTAGATATTTAGCTATAGATGTTGTAATGTTTTTCAGGTTATGGTGTGTAGTATGGAATCGTCGCCGTAACAAGAAAAATGCCTCTGATCTTCATCAAGCTGGAGATATGGATGTAAAATCCGACAAATTAAAGCAAAATTATAAGGATTAAAAATTTCATCTTCATAATAGATATAATTTTTCCTTTTTACAAATATTGTCAAAATATTTAAGCATATTTCTTTGTCTATTTCGCCGTTTGCGAAGAAGTTATTCTATTGTATGTTTTAAATGTGAATATTTTAAATACGAAATAAGAACCATTTTTGTAATGCAACTTTGTGTCGTTGTTGTTTAACAAAAAAAACTTTATTATATTATTTGAAGCCCTGAACAAACATCTAAGTCAAATATTTACAATATATTGTCACCATTTCATCAAGTCAATAAATTAATATATGTAATATAACGGAAGTGTCTTCTCAATGATTTATAGAAATATTATATTTAAGCCTAATTTTATTAAAATATTTCTATATGGTAAAATTAAAGACAATTAATTTTAGCTTACAAGATATGTGATAATATCTTGTACCGAATCTAAACGTTAATATATTAAACACAAGTGCTCCTTTGTACCTTTTTGATGTGAAACACTAAAAATATAAAATAGGTAGGTAGGTAGGTACCTTCAGGATGCGATACAGGTAAAAAATTCTATAAATATTGGTAATAATAAATTATACAGTAGGTAATTAATCCTTAAACCACGAAATAAGCAAGCAACTATAAATTATGCCAATTCATTTTTAGTACCTACACGTAGGTAGATACACCACCATTTCATACATATTTATATATGTAAAAGAAAAAAAAGAAATTATCGTGTATATTTTTTTTTAAAGTCATATAAAATTCGCAATGCTGCGTTATAGTACTTAATTTCAGAAGATATATCCTATTATAATTCATGAAGATGCATTGAAGCACATTGGCAAAAATTAACGAATAAAACGAATAAAAATTTTCAAAATATGTAGGTACATTAGTAGCTAACTGTTGTACTTGAATCCAATAATGAAAATTGTTTTAATATTTCATATGTAGCGTATTTACCTAATGCAATTGGCAAATATTAACGCTATTCCATGGTGTTGGCACATTTTTAGTGTGTGTTTTAATTTCCTAAGTAAGTCCCTAAGGGCAGTTTGGTAATTTACTATATGTAGATATATATCAAACAACTAAATTCAAATGTACAGAAGGTACCGAAGCGTCGCACGTTGCACTGTGCAATATAAGTACTAAATTTGTAAACATTATGAGACGGCACTCCAGGTAAGTTCGGATAAAATGTTCTCAAATTCACATAGTTGTCTTCAAAATATAACAATACTAACTGTAATTGTATTCTGATAGATTGGAAAGCATTGGAAAGTATTCAGGGAAACCTGATCTAGACAATTGTTCAAAAATAAAAAATTCGAATGACAATGGACGAATAAAGAAAAAACCTATATTTCTAAAAGAGTACCTTATAGATTATACTGCAAATTCTAATCTTCATGGTTTAAAATACATCGGAGAGAAACAGAGGACTGCCGCTGAAAAGTAAGTACCTACATATGTACATATAACCAACATCTATTTTTGCTAATTTGCTCTTATTTTTTTTTATCTTCTAAGATCTAAAGTTTTAAATCTATTTATAAAGCATTTACATCTGTCAGCCACTAACTGGCAGCTTGTCTGTCAGAGCCTAAATCAGTGAGTTTAGAAGGAAGAACTTTTGTACAGGAATTCCATAAATAACGTAGATGAGCAGTACGAAGGGATTTCCTAGAATTCACACTGAAACAGGAGATAATGGATATGCAAGGGCAAAACTACGGGAAACGACTAATTTATATTGAATTATATATTTTTATAATTCACTATTTGCGTTGTGACTTGTTTATGAAACTTTAATATATCAATTATATAATGTTATTTAAAATACTTTAGCAAGATATTTTTAAACTAATGAACCTTTACGCTCAGGTATATTTAAAATTTTACTTTCTAGAATATTCTGGCTGTTTATGTTCATTTGCTGCGTGATACTTTGCGCTGGGCTAATAAGAAAAGTTTGGATAAAATGGAATATAAGCCCCGTGATCGTCAGTTTTGCAGAAACATCAACTCCTGTATGGCAGGTACGTATTTATACATTAAACTCAATTCAATTTTTTTTTTAATTATTCTTTTATTGCAGACCGTTTCTCTCTTATTATTATAAGTATCTATACAGAATATGTTTAAGATGCATAAAGAGTTTAATTAATAAATTATATTTTATTTATTTATTAAAAATAAAAAAATATATAATATAACTATATAAAATATAAAATGATGTAATAATTTTCTACAGAACTATCCCCGACATAACTATATTCTGTCGGGGAAAAGAAATTGTTCATAATGGGACCGTCAGTGAATCGCCAGACTAACGGTTGTTGACAATACTAGTATACCCTGTTAAGTCCCCCACGTTTTAAATAACCCTGGAAAAAATTGTGATTATCCTTGTGAATTCGGCATGATAGATTAACCGATTTGACCCGATTTCATCCTCTTCTACCTATTCTAATAGGTATTCTTCTTCCTTCCCTTCTATCTATACTAATAGCACTGGCGTAGTTATGGCATTCCATTTTCGCCTATTAAAAAAACTAGTTCTAACAGATCAGCATAACTCTTCTATAATCATAATAAGCTAGTTATTTCGCTTATTGTTATCGCTGAAAAATAGTTACCATAAATATAAAAAGTTATCATACTTGTATTAGAGTAATCTTCATCTACTTTTCGTCAGGCAAGCTATCAGCTTATTTATTAGTCTATGCTGCATAAAAAAATATATATGGCAAAGGTATAAAGTACATATATACCTCCTCGACAGACTAATGTTCTCATTTCATCATTATAGATACCATACCCTGCTGTGACTGTGTGCTTAGAAATAAAGTCAAAACAATCAGTGTTCAATTTTACGGCATACTATCATCGCTATAATGATACCGAAAAACGTGCAAATTTAACCGATGAAGAGTAAGTAGTATTAATTATTAGTTGTTAATTATTAATAATTTAAGATAATTTTCTATATATATATATATATATATATATATATATATATATATATATATATATATATATATATATATAATACTAGTATTGAAAAATTATTATTAAAAACAGTTCAGAATTGGCGAATGTACCGTGTACTTACACGAAAAATAGGCGGTAGTCACTATCAAGTGAGCCGCTTGCTCGTTTGCTCCCTGTGTTTTAAAAAAATATATTTTAGTGAATTAAGAATCTACTTTTTAATATCATTTGATAAAAGATACATTCGAAACGTTTATATGTACGTACTTTTATTTATTTATAAATCGGTTAACAAAATTATTATTTGTACAAACGTATATATTCAATTTTAATAAAGATATATAATTATTAAATTTCAATATTCCTCCTCAATAATTTCAGAAGGAACTTGTATGAGGATGTGACACTTGTTTGTGATGATCATCTTGCCCCCGTAATGGGTAGAAAATTTTGCGATGGCAATACAACAGTTAATAATATAAAAGAGGTAATACGTTACGATACATTTTTATGTGAACAGTAAAATGGAATAGCAAAACTTATATGTATTTATAATATAAAATATCATAGACAAATATTCAATTTGGTGAAAAAATTACATAACACATATTATCAAAGACTTTAAGAGAAATTTAAAAACTATACATATTCTAAAAAACCTCAGCGTCAACAGCCAGTATTAAATCTCCAACAGTAGGTGAATCACTAAAGTAATTCCTTGGCTTCGTCTGCATGGTAGTTAAAGTAAATATATAAACTAAATTCGTAAAATAGTGTTAGATTTTACTAAAACAATACAATCTATCTGTATAATTATATTCCTACAGCATAACTTCTTGCGCGAATCCATTGTTCTGTTGTCTTTTAATAATGTACGTATTTTCTTTCATGATTTTTTTCCTTTTAGGTCTCTCCCAACATAACAGAGACTTTTTTTGGTTGCAAATGGAAAGATATACCTAAGGAGACTTGTTCTGATCTCTTCACACCCATATTGACTGAAGAAGGACAATGTTACACCTTCAACATATTGGCAGCTGACGAACTGTTCAGAATGGAGAAGTATCTTATTTGTATATTTGACTAGCTTATTCAACCGTGTGTGTTTTGTTTGTTTCAACCGTGAAGTAGCTGTGTTTGCATGGCTGTGTTTCGGTTTGAAGGGTGGAATATTGCATAAATTTACTGGGTACAGAGGAATAACACCTGAGTCCTCAGGAATAGCAACGCATGGGGGATATCATGGGCGAAACAGTATACTCTGTTATGTCCATGGTACTGCTCATGTCTATAGGCAACGGTTACCACTTTCCATCAGGTGGACCGTCAGCTTGTTTGCCATTCTAAGTTGTATAAAAAAAAATCTCTTTCTGAGTAGGTTATATCCTAACTTAACACAACCGATTTTCATTCAAATCCATTCAGCCATATAAGCGTGATCGAATTACAAACTTGCTAATATTTTACAAACTTGCTAATATTTCTGCAGACCTACACATTTATAATATTAGTAGGATAAAGTTTAGTTATAGACTAGGCTTTGTATTTAATCTTTGTGTAAAATATTACATTTAATTAAGATTTAAGAAATAAAAGTGTTTTCTTTTTATATTTCTATTAATTTCAGTTTACATAAAGATTATCAGTATCTAGATCATAAGAGGGTATCAGAATCTTGGTCCTTGGAAGATGGATACGATCCTATGACTCCTATAGAGACCTACCCGCACCGAGGATCTGTAAGCTCAGTATTATATTATCTAGTTAGTGTAAAATATTTTTAAATAAGGAATATAATATAGACTGTAGGTATACTCATATTTTTCCAAGCTTATTTGAATACCAATAAAAATAGTGTAAGATCGTATTGAAATATTGTTAAAGTTGATAAAAATTAATTTTCATTCTGCAGGGGTACGGCGCAAAAGCTGGATTAACATTTTTGATGAAATCTAAAGCTATTGATTTAGATTACCTATGTAGGGGACCTGTTCAAGGATTTAAGGTAAATAATAAATATTCTCACTTAGATAACAATAAATCTTGTAGAAGTGTGATATGTTTCATAAAATGTTCCAGATATTATTACATAATCCTGCGGAATTACCGAGACTTTCCCAACAATATTTTCGGTCTCCTCTATCCCAAGAAGTGGTTGTAGCAATTAAACCAAACATGATGACTACTTCCTCGGGACTCAAGCCATACGAACCTGTCAGGTGAGAATATCAATATTATTTTTTTTTTATCTTATTTACGTGCGACTTCACTCAAATTATACCTATATATTACAAATTTTATTAAATAAATTACTAGTCAACGCCGCTTTGCAAAAAACGCTCCAACACACTAGACGATTTTCCAAATTAATCAAACTGTTAGTATAATTTGTTTTACGTAGAAATGCTTGATCTATATGTGCACTTACATTAAAATAAGCCAATCTAATTCCTTTTACTGCTCTTTTGTTTTGCGATTTCAGGCGTCTCGATTAACTTACTAAAAATATGCATTTTATGTTTAAAAATGTAGTATTATATATCTTCCAAGTTACAGTCAGTCAATGTAGCGGAATTCATTCAATTCTGTTGTGTATAGATTACAAAATAAATATGTATTAAATGAATATTTTATAATCAGTCTGATTGAGTTACGAAGCTCTACATCTACTTTCAAATGTATAATAATAGGACATACTAATACAATAATAGTAACACTTTATAACTAACATTTTAGGCGACAATGTTACTTTCCAAGTGAGAGGTATCTCAGATATTTCAAAGTGTACACTCAGTCTAATTGCGAAATGGAGTGCATATCTAATTACACATACTCCAGGTGCGGCTGTGTGCATTTTGGTGTACCACGTGAGTAATTCAACTCTTTGATATAATAATTTATAGTTTCATATTGCTTTACGTAATGGGGTCCCGGGTTAAATTTCCGGTTGGGCCAATTTAAGAAACGAACTTTTTTGTATTATTTTAGGATCTGGATATTCTGGGTTGAATCCCCAGATGTTCGGTGCTGGGTTCCTCATAACACAGGTTATCTTACCTTGAGAACAAGGCGATTTGTGTGAAAAAAAAAATCTGAGTGTAATTTATAGTTTAATCAGTAATACATCTATTGTAGAAAATTAAATATCCCTTTGTTTTAGATGGTCCAGAAATGAGAGTATGTAATGCTGGAAGTATGGCCTGTATTAAACGAGTACAAAGTAAGTATCTATGGAGGTATTTAATGCATTGCAAACATTGGAATCATAGAATAAATAAATTGCTTACACATTATAATTTATTCCGTGGCTAATCCGGCAAACATGGGGGAAAGGGATTGTTAGTAATGGGGTTTGACAACTCCATTGCTGGCAATATACCCTATCAGGTCGACCTCCACGTGGTTCCCCTTGGAAACCATCGTGAACAATTTTTGTTGAATTCGTCACGATGGGCTAACTGACCTGCTTCATCCTCATCTATCATCCTTCACTGGTGCCCCGCCGGTGTATACCGATAACGCGGGTGGGGTAACCATTCCATTATCACCAATAAAAATAAAATCCGGCAAACGTTGTTTTGATCCCTACCGCTCACTAAATGCATTTATATCTTTAAGGGAAAACCAATTTCAGAAATTAGCGTGAACGAACATCGTGACAAGTTATTTTTATATCTTAAGATATATAAAAATTCTATGTGTGGGTATCGTAAGAGCCATCACCAAACATCACCAAAACTTAAACTGCGGCTGCCAACCCGCCTACCAAACGTGGCAACTATTGGCAAAATTCCCCCAATGGTAAACTACCATTAGGAATAGCCCAGGCATATATTCGGCTATAACAGCTATTCGGCTATATATACAGATAACGGCTATCATATCAGCCTTTATCTGTCCACTGCTGAACATAGGTCTGGGCTGTTATCTGTCCACTATGATGATGATGCTATGATATCAGTTGTCCAGTACTCATTATACGTGTATTGTGTAATATTTTCAGAAGTACTACTAATAATTTATCTACCAGAGGTAGACTTTGTACAAAAGTCGATTGCTTGGGTACCTCTGATCCATTCGTGTTTCTACCGTGAAGCAGTTGTGTTTGCATGGCTGTGTTTCGGTTTGAAGGATGGGATATGGCGTGAATTTACAGGGTACAGAGGAATAACACCTGAGTCCTCAGGAATGGCAACGCATGGGGGGTATCATGGGCGAAACAGTATACTCTGTTATGTCCATGGTACTGCTCATTACTTTCCATCAGGTGGGCTGTTAGCTTGTTTGCCATTCTATGTTGTATAAAAAAAAATATTTTTAATAACTAGAATATTATTTCTATAAAATATAGGTGTTAATTTCTAACTACGAGTAAGTACTATTATTGTTATGATAGCAGTGATGAAATAGAAGTTAAATAACATACCTATATAGAGTATAGAGTAAATCATTTGTATCTGACATTTCAGTGGAGCTCGTAGTTGTAGAAATAGAGGCAGGTTTAGAGAAGAGGAATGAAGGAAACGACACGATCGGTGAAGCACGAGACATTGCCTCCCGCTGCAAATGTCTGCCGGCGTGCACCTCCATCGAGTACGAAGCAGAGACCTCCCAGGCAGACTATGACTGGAAAGCTATTTTTAGAGCGTACAGATTAGAAATTCCACCTGACCTCAATGAGTAAGCGTACACGATTTTTTATCTTAAATATAATAATAATAATTTGTCTTAATCTTCTTTTCAATTCATCAATTTAAAATGTAATTGGGGGAAAAGAGATTGTTTGTAATGGAGACTGAGAATCCCATTGCTAGCAATATACCCAAACAGGTCGGCCTTCTCGCGGTTCCCCCTGGAAACTATTATGGTTAATTCCTGATGAATTCATCATGATGGGGTAACTGGCCTGTTTTCATTCTCATCTATCACCCTTCACAGGTGCTCCGCCAGCGTATCCTGTTAGCGCAGGCGGGGTTACCATACCATTTTCACCCATCAAAATTAAAATGTAATTCACGAAGATAGTATAGGCATATAGGTATTTAATAATTTCAGGTTTCATCTATAGTTTGTTTGTTTTATTGTGAAGTAATTCGCACGAATTTAACCATAAGCATCTAATAAAAGAGGAGTATCCGTACGAAATATAGAATATCTAGCAAAAATAACTGGTATATTAAGTTCTTTATATTTTTTTTTATATTTATAACTATTCATTCCAACTTGCACATTCTAATATCTCACTAAATTCTGTATTATTCTCTCATTTTCAGTATGATGTATTCGCGTGTGATGATATTTTTCAAAGAACCTCAATTCATAACGTCGCGGCGTTCGGAACTTTACGGTCAAACGGACTTTCTGGCCAACTGTGGAGGTTTACTCGGACTCTTCATGGGTTTCTCTATTCTAAGTTTAGCCGAAATAATATACTTCCTCACACTAAGGTTAAATACCAATTATAAGCATTATTTATTTTTAATAACAACAAAACACCTAAATGCGTGTGAACCTTTAAAGAATTTCATTACATTACTACTAACTTTATAAACCATTTCTTATAAAGTATCCTATATGTAAAGTTACCCCTTTATTCATAATAACTATACTCTATACTATAATATCTACATCTAGTTCAAAAACCCTATTTTAGGTATTGAAGTGATTTATCTTTTTCTTTTATGTTAATTTCTCATTTTGAAAGTGACAAAACATTGTAATTGAACAAGGAGGCGAAAATATAACTTACCCGTATATAAAATTTCATTCATATCCATTCAGCGGTTTAAATTTGATTGAAACATTCAAACATCTTTACAGACTTTCACAGTTAAAATATCATTATACTTAGTAGAATGAAGTTTGAGTTTGTTCCATTTTGACGCCTTGATAACATAAACAATCGTCACCTTTTTGAATACATATTGAGATTGAGACAGAGAAGAAAATAGGTATTTTAACGCCTGTCAATCAATATGTACCGGTCTCGCGAATTAAGTTGCGAGCACAGTCACCTATAATTATAATTAGAGACAAGAACTAATTAAAATTGCTAACAATTGCTTTTATTACAGGTTGTTTTGCGTTGTCTGGAATCGTCGTCGTAAGCCAAAACACGAATCAGATCTGCCTAAGGCTGAAAATATACAAGGAAGTGACAAAACGGAGAAAATGAAGCAACTGTATATTGATTAATAAATATCACATTCATTAATTCATTCACCTACATAATTAAGCACAAATAATGATTGTTTATCAGAGCTGAGCAAAATACATGTTTGGTTTTCATTAAAATACAAATCACAAAATACTATCTCATGTGTATTTAAAATATGAAATATAAAATATTTTTAAGTAATGTATTTAAGTATGGTATGTATGCGAAATAATGCGATTATGCCATTTTGCAATACCTCTTAAAATTATATTTTCATTAAGAACCTAATATAAAATAAAAAATTTAATTAAATTAAATAAAACAAACAAATATGTGCCATTTATTTTTACTCGTATTTATTTTATTCCAGTAATTAAATCATATTACGAAGCTTTGAATTTTTTTTTTCATACAATTTTGCGTGCCAAATAGTTATGAGCAACATTTTTTCAGAAAAAAGTGAAATTATCTCTAGAGATTTCTTCCAGCAAAACCTTTCCATGTTAATGTATATATTAAAAATAGATTATTAATGATTAGAAAAATGTAAGGAATGTGTTGATTTCGAATGGACTTCATGCAGGCGCATTGTTTACTCGGCGCTGTTGGTTTCCCAAGTTGCATAACCTGGTGGAGAATAAAAAAATATCATTTGACAAATTCATTTACGATATTCTCAGATTATATAAATAGAGTGTCTCTATAGAAATGCTTCGAGAAAAAAGGGTAAATTTTTTCATACAATTTTGCGCGATTCTTTCATAACTTTTATATTTATTTTGTCTTATAAATTCTGCACCTTTTTAATGCGCAAATACTGATTTTATTTATTTAAATAATTAAATATAGATACATCAATTTAATTTGTGTGCGTAAGTATATAGAACACTAATAAAAAAAACGAGTCAGCTAATGAATGACAATTAGTTGACAAAAAAATTACCCGTTTTTGAGACTCGATGCTACAATCTAAGATTACATTATTAACAATATCATAATTGCACCCTAGTATCTCCTATGAACTGATGGTCATAACAGACATTAGGGAATAATGACACTACGTAAAACATACCTATTTTAAACAGTACTTGGCCCACTTGGCTTCTTTTTGGGAGCATAACCAATTCTATTATGAATTTCTTCTGTCGTTTTCGGCCCAGTACCAAGAGATTTAGATGCATCATCTTGCATTTCTGCTACTATAGATGAGTTACTTTCTTGATCTTTTCGAGAATTCTCATAGTCTTGTACATCGTCCAATTTTAATGTTATTTCTGTTAAAGGTCTTCGTATCATTTTGTAAACTGCAAAAGCCATATTTACAATTAATAAAAAAAAAATCTAAAATACAAAACCACCACTCCAAATAGAATTATTTATCCCTATTAACGTGATATCAAATAATAACCTTTCCAATATAAACCAATAGATAAAAAGAAAAAATAACTGGGATTTTTCTTTTAGTGTATATAATATCCTTCTTGCTAATAAAAATTAATTATAATTATATTAGCACATCTGCTAATATAAAATCAATTAATATTTTTTTAAACTCATTTTTTAATTAAATAATAAAACCTGGATTTACTATTATAAAAGGTGTTATTAGTGAATCAAATACAAAATATAAAGTTGTATTGATTTTATAAAATGAAAAAATTTACATAAAAAATCAATTAGGTATATATATTTTTTTAAACACTTTCTATTATAGAATTTCACAGTAACGCCATCATCGCAAACGCCGCCATGTAAAAATACCCTATCTTGAAACTGACTAATAGATTTGCAGGAATTTATTCTACTTTTAGTTTTATTTTTCCTGTGCTCAAGTCGAAATAAGTAAGATTAATTGAAAAGAGTTTGCTGGGGCCCCAGCATAGAATGGGCCACCTTTCCTTTTCCGTGCGCGTCGTAAGAGGTGACTAAAGGAACTTCATGGTCAAAGAATGGGCAACAGTGTCCCTCTTAATACATCACCAAAGCCTAACTGCAGTTGCCAACCCGCCTTCCAAGCATGGCAACTACCGTAAAACCTCTCTCATGGTTCGCCATAACTGAACCACCTGAGCCCTCCCGGCTTATGTTTAGCAGTGGAAAGTTAACAGCTGATATGGTGATGATGAATTTGATAGAGAACTGAGCTCTAGTCTTTAACCACTAAAAGGAATGCGATATTAGGCAATTACAAAATGACGATAGTCGTTTACGCTTAGGTAGGTACTTAATTATTAACTTCAAATAGATCCCTATAATTTTATATCAACTTCTAAAATATTTGCCATCAAGATTGTTTGGTAAGTAATGAAAGAAACCTTAATACAGAAAGCAATATACCCTCCACAGTGTTTTTATTTTATTTTGTTGGATGGAGAATAATGGACTGGCAATCTCGCCTGCGCTGCTGTTCAATCCACTGCGATTATTTTCTAACGAAATTATCATTTACATTTTGTACCAAATATTTCGTGTAAGTTTTATACAAAATTCCTGAATAAACAACTATAAATACTGAAATGCAATTTTAAAATCATAGAACGCTACATTAATTTATATTGGAATTGTGAATGCTACTATTTTTTTCAGTTATTGGTACCATTGTCAGTTGATTCGATAGTAGGGATGTACACATTAAAATAAACAATTACAAATATCGACAGAAAAAAATACATTAAACAATATCAATTGTTATAAAATCATCTTAACATTCATAAATAATTTAACATTTTTAATGTACTTTAAAATGTAATGTACTAATATGTACTGTCTGTATATACTCTACTTAATTCTACCTACTAATATTGCGTCACAAATAAATAATTCATTCATTTTTAACACTAAAAAACTATAGGCCGTATTGTAAGAAATATCAATTTAAATTAAAAAAAATATATATAAAAAAATGTTTTTATAAATCTTGTGTGTGAATATTAAAAATAGGAGTTTCATATGTTATTAAAAAAAATATTAAGATCTAAAATCAATTAAATTCAATTATTTTTTTTTTAATATCTCTAGTATAATTAGACTTAAAACACGCAAACTTACATGCAAAGTTTCACTCTGTCTGTAAATAAAAAGTACTATTAAAACAAATAACGACAAAAAAATAGATGTATTAAATAATTACAAGTCGGGAATTCAACATCAAAAGAGCTTTAAAAAAGGATTAACGAAGTTATTTATTAAAAAAAAACTACCAACAAAATTAAGTTACTACGTAGATACGAATTAAATTGTCGATGTTACAATCTATCGACACAAAATTCATGTGTAATTACACAACCCTATTCATTTATAACGTGGATAAATACTTGACGCTTAGTATCGAAGCGCATTTATACTCAGTTATCTCGAAGTAAACTATACTTTTCTCGAAGCTTCGTGTTTTCAAAGTGCGTAAAATACAAATAGAACAGGAAAAAGACTTACCAAAATGCTATATCTTGAGGATTATTTGGAAAGTAAGTTGGTTTTCGTTCTTTAAGCGATGACGTAATACCTGATCTGTTGGTAGAACTGTGGCGTGTCGTGTCATAATCAGTCCACAGATTGGCGCGTAATTCAAATTTTTAGAAAGCTTTTTAAAGTTTTTGAACTATGTAAAGTATGTGATAACTGTACGAATATTATTACTATTACCTATTTTAATCTATTACATCTAGCTTGAAAACACGCTAGCTAAGCATATTAGTTACCTAATATTATAAACAATTAGTAAAATAAAAAGCAAGGTTTCTATGATATCATTGTTTTTTTTTTGTTGTACACCTTAGAATGGCAAACAATATTATCTTATTAAAGATTCAATAAATTATTTTTCCTTTAAGAATATAACTGCTTTTTTTGCAGTGATCGAACATCTACCACAGGAACTTAGGGATCGTTTTACTGAAATGAGGGAGATGGACTTATCTGTTCAAAGTAAGTACCTAATATTTGTAGATAAAATCAGTAATAATTGATAAATAAATAATATGAGTAAATTGAAAAATACCGATTACTTACCTATTTAAATATGGTATTATGATATTTGAATCATATAATTGAATAAATGTAAAATTTTTACTTGCCTTAAAATATTTTTTTATTAAGTACTTATTAATTACTTTGTTTTTTTTTTTTAACTATCTACTGCTGATCATAAGCCTTTCCCATAAGGGGGGGTTTGCCAGTAATTAACACTCTTGGCAACCATTTTATATCATCAATATATATAACTTAATGTTTAATATCTTCAGTTGTTTATTGAATCAGTTAATAATTGGTTTATATAAATGAAAAGGAACTGATTCCTGATACACAGTAAACACTACTTCGGGAGTCAGGACTACATAAAATTGTAAGCTAATTTATAACAATAAATTGATAATGATAATTTATAAATGAAATAAATTGTATATAATAATAATTATTGTTATATACCATTTATTTCATTTATAAATTTGAAATAAATTGTATATAATAATAATTATTATCATATACCATTTATTTTATTTATAAATTACCATTATCAATTTACTTACTTAGGTTGTTTAATTAAACAACTTAAGTAAGTAATTATATCTGTGGGATTAACATTATTTGTAACTAAATTTTAGAATAAAAAGTGAATAGAGTAGAAAAGGAATCAGAGCCTTACATTATCAACCTAATTAAACTAACCTAAATTATACATATATACTTTTTTACTATAAACAGATAGTATGGATACACTAGAAAAAAGAGTCCGGACATTATTTGGTGGCTGTCGACGTGGAGAAATAAACACAGATCAAGCTAACACTGAATTTGCAGACATAAAACATGGATATAACAAAACATTGGAAGAAGCAGATGAAAAAGTAGCACTGGCTAATCAAATGCGTGATTTAGTTGATCGTTACTTGCGCAGACTAGGTATATGCTTGAATTATTATAAATTTTCATATATAACAATACTAATATCACCATTAAAATATTTAATTAATAAATTGGGATGTTAGTCTCCTTTTGTTATCTTCCTTTTTTACTTGCATTAATATTAGTAATATTGGCATAATATTAATGGGTGGAAAAAGGGATTATCCAAATGATTGTGCTCATATGCATTGTAACTAATTATTGTTGCTATTATTACAGACACGGAACTGCATAAATTCAAATGTGAACTGGAAGCCGACAATAAGGGCATAACAGAGTTACTTGAGAAACGTTCCCTCGACTTAGACACTAACACAAATCACACGTCTACATCTAACAACAACCATTACAAGGAAAACAGGTACCTCCTAAAATAACGCCGCAACCGCATCCATATATTTTTTATTTTTTTTTATATTTAGCCATCAGTCCTTATTCATATGTCCCATTAGGATTTACAATTTGAATGTTCTTAATAATATGTTCTTAAGAAGACATGAATTGATTTACACTGGTAAGTGATGATAGATGAGAATGTAAGATCAGATACCCTACAATAATGAATTTACCAGGAATTAACTACAATGGTTTCAACAAAGAAATCACATGGAACTCCACCCGATGAGATATATTGTTAGTAATGGAGTTAATGATTCATATTATTCTTCCCTTCCTCCAGATAAATAGTTATGTGGTACATATTTTTTTTATGTAATAACTTTAATTATTAATCTGTTAAAATATAGCAGATACCGTATCAGAGCAGAAAAACGCAGAGACAGCTGGGGTACCAGGGAATCAAGAGCTCATGCTACTACTGGCAACCTTTCCAGAACTGACTCTGCTATACAGGTACATAGTAATGTTATTAACAACTGTACTTAGAGAATATTTTTTATTCACTGTTTAATATTATTTTTAATAACATTTTATGATACATTTTTGTAACATTCTTGTTTATGTATTTTGTTTAATTATTTAAGTGAGCTGTTAGCCGTTTATGCTTTCTTTCTTTGTAATTGATAAAATATATGTAAAACATTATAATAATGAATATGTTACTAAATTATAATCTTATATTTTAGGCTGCACTGGGACGCGATTCATATTCTTTAGGGCATGCTGGTAGCGCCATAGCCGCAGCAGCCAGCCAGGCTATAGCCGCCACACAACAGGTATATTCTATTGCAAATTTTATGTATTTACATACAGATCTACATGAGTAATAAAATTGTACCATTAATTCTGCTTATTTTATATCCAGCAATTTTTTTATCTTTTTTAATAATGAAAATAGCACCGAGTTATCAGTAAATAATGATAGGTGAGATTGTTGTCAGTTAGCTCATCTTGATTAATTCACTTGGATTTAACCATGACGGTTTCGAAGAGTCACAACATAGAGCTCGATCTAATAGACATATTGATAACATTGGGGCAGTTAACTATTTATTATTTTATAAACTGTATTGTCTAGCCACATAAAAAGGGTACATAATTATGTTAATTGACATGAAGCTTTGTTCTCGTCCTGGAATATGCACGATCCATCCGGCCCTCCCTTAAATATACCTACGTCCTCAATTCTAGCAACATCTTGATTGCAGCTTAGTAACACGTTAATGCAACTTTGTATAAAATCGAAGCTAACTGCAATGCATGGCTTCAGATGCAGCAGGGGCGGCGGACGGCGTCGCTAAAGGCATCATACGAGGCGGTCGCAGGTGGTGAATTACAACACGCTCACCATTTGCATCATGCCGCCGCGCTCGCCCACCATGACCACGGTACGTAATCATACCACTACCACAGCATATACTATCATCACCACTCTTAGGTGGCAGAGATTCTTAGTTACGAAGACTAACGATCCTAGCAATATAGCTGATCTGTTTTCGTCTTCACCTATCATCTCTCGCTAGTGTCCAGCTATCGTATACCGATAGTTCAAGCGGAGTTACCATTCCATTATTATATATTTAAGAAAACCATCTCTTACTACACCATTATTACTAATCATATGAGGGTGGTACTGTTTTGAGAATAGAGTTCATAGACCTCTGATATAGCTATACATGCTGTTGATGCATGAAGACAATAACAGTTATTTTCTTTACTTATCCAATCCATTGATCGCTTTTTTTTTCTTTATCGGATTAAAATATGCCCCAGAAGTATGTTTATTTCATAATTGCAATCATTACGTATTATGTATCTACTTCATTATTAAAAAAATATATACAATTACAACAGGTCACGGGGTAAGTTCTGGTCACAGTCAAACCACCAGCGTCCATGGGCACCATACAACGTCGCACGGTCATAGCAATTCGTCCTCGTCTAATAAAAGGCAGAAACAAAAGTAAGTGCTCAAGAATATAAATATTTCTTTGGGCCTATGGAATCCAACCCCAAACCATATGTATGTCTTTAAATTGGGTCCCTAAAAAGATCATCGCCCATTTCAAAGTCGCCCACGCCGGGTTCGCACCGCTTTTACATCTCTAACAGTTTTATTGCGCTACCCTTGTAAAGGCGGTAATGTGCATAACCATCAATAGCCACTCCTGAGAACCAAGGCAGAATCTCTAAGTTGCTTTGCTATTAGAGTGAGCAATTTTTAAATAATACCATTTAGAAATATGAAAAATTGACAAATAATTCAATAAACTTCAGTATGAACACTCTTATGTTCTATGTACATTAAAGTAAAATATTAAATATTTTTTATATTCTCAGAAAAACCAACTACAGTTCATCATCGAGTATGTCAACCCACACTCAGCAATCCGTCGCAGCCGCCAGTCGTTCTTCATCGCCTACTGTTGTGTATGTATTTATTTCAATTTTATTTATTGCATGTGGTTCAGGACTGAGCAGTGGATAATGTAGAGCTACAACTAAAATCATGAATCTAACTTACTAGGTAGAGCTTGGAAATTTTTACACATCATTTAGCTAATCAATCACAGAACTTTTTTTCTTTCATTCGCATGAGTAATTCAGTATGTCTAGTGGATACCTATATCACATTAGGACTCTGCAAATTTCTTGTTTATTTACTGAAAAATATTATACTTTATTTTATACACAATTTGTATAAGTTTTATGTAGATATTATTCTCAAATATTATAACATAATTTTCAGCGGTAACATTGTAAACAATGTTGCTATTGAAGAGCCTATGGAAGAGGAATGGACATACGACCCCAATGAGCCACGCTACTGCATTTGCAACCAAGTGTCCTATGGGGACATGGTCGCGTGTGATAATCAAGACGTATGTATTACTAAAAAATTTTAAACTCCAACCTCTGTAATTAGAAATCGTAAAATATTAGGTTGAATAATTTTTAACACTTTGATTCAACAAGATTTCTTATTGAATATGCTTTTCTTATCTATCCATGTAATGTAAATACATAACACTTATATGTTAATTCCATAAGACATTGGAAGTACATAAATAGAAAAACGCCCAAACCAATACAAACAGACATACGAACACAGATGTTGCTCAATAAATCGAACCTGCAACCATCCAATATTGGCGCTCATTTATGCAAAGAAAAAACCACAAACGTCTCGTTTTGGAATCTAACAATGTATAATATAATAATATATTATTTCTTTACCAAAGTAAGAATAGAAACACCTATCATTTTGAAAAAGTAAGCTCGATTTTTTTTATGCTACTTAGAATGGCATACAAGCTGACGATTCACCTGATGGAAAGTAGTAACCGTCACCTATAGACATGAGCAGTACCATGGAAATAACAGAGTATACTGTTTTGACCATGATATCCCACATGCATTGTCAATCCTAAGGAATCGGGTGTTATTCTTCTGTACCATGTAAATTCACTGTTAGTTTGTCTACTGTCAGTTCATTTGCAAAGAGGATTTTTTTTATTATTGATATTATAAATTTGTTTTCTTCGCCCTACCTAACGCTATTATTTTAACAGCTAAGACATCACAATACGGCATAAAATCGTTCCTATTTTAATTGTAATAATCTAATCATAATAATTTTTCAAATTATCCTCACTGCTATAATCCCAGAAACATAGTCAAAATACTGTAATTTAAATGCATTCTCTCTTTCAGTGTCCGTACGAGTGGTTCCATTACCCTTGCGTTGGTATCACCGCTCCGCCGAAGGGCAAATGGTACTGCCCTCAGTGTCAAAATCTTCGGCGCAATCGCACCCACCGAAAGAACTGAATTACCTAATGCCAATTCATCACTTGCTAAAATATATAGAAAATTTATGCATTTAAAATTTGTAATGTTAAATGTGTAGTAAGTAGAGATGGGCAATCCACCTGGGTGGGTTTAAAGTCTGGTGGGTAAAAACCGGGTGTTTTGGGTTTATTGGGTTTAAACCCCATAAACACCCAAATTTTTGGGTGTTTATGATTTTGTACTTCATCATCGTCATCTCAGCCGCAAGACGTCCACTATACTGGACATAGACAATATTATTATGCAGCCTACAGAATAAAAAACTTTTAATTTGATTTTGAGTTTATTAAGAAAGAGATGAAAGTAAAATGTAAAACTACAGTCAATCACTGTCAGATTCAGAGTTATTACAAGCGATGAATTGTATAGGTTCGATAGGCTCTATTTCGTCTAAACTGTTATGTTCATTTACTTGCTCAATGAAAGCTTCTAAGGTATTTTCTTCATTAAACTGAATGTCCTCGCATTCAGCTTTATGTTTCAGATTCCAGTTATAACAAATGAATGAAATTTTTTCAGTTCTTTCAGTTGTAAGTCGATTTCTTTTGTTATTATGTATGTAGCCTTGGATACTAAAGGAACGCTCAGTGGCTGCCGAAGTACAGGGAGCTGATAGAATACGAATCGCTACTTTGCTTAACTCAGTGGAACCACAAATACCTTTCCACCATATTAGGGGCTCAATGCTATCTAATGAGCTCCATACAAATCCTCTGGCCCAAAAGTTTTCTTTAGCTTTATAACACGCCAAATCTGCCATTACATTTGACAAACTTAAGTATTGGCTTAAATTGTAGATAAACTCCATACCCTTAAGTTCTTCCTCTTGAGTAAGTTCGACTCCTAGAGTCCTGGGGTCTAGAATATATGCTGCAAAATGTATTGGCCTCATTGCCATATTGCATCTTGAAGATACTGATGTTAGAATCTGCTGTTTGCTTTCTTCGCTCAATGTCGAAATCTCATTTAATGCAAAACGTATCTTAGCTTGTACATCTCTAAATGTAATGTATGTGCGATGCAAACGATTCTGGTCGCTCTCTAAGTAAAATATGCTTTCAGTGACTGGTTCCAAAATACTTATACATTCCCCTGTCTTCGTCCAGAAATCATCACTTAGAATTAAATCTTTAATATCTCTTGAAATTACCACATCTTCTCTAACTGTTAATTAATAATAAATAATAAGCTATCTTATTTGCTTTCAAACTTTTTAACGAAGTAACATGACTTCCCCATCTTGTAGCACAAGGCAATTTTAGTGTTTGTGTAGAATCTTCACCCTGCCTTGATTTTATCAACAAGGAACTTAATCGTTGACTCCTTTTAACAGTTTTTATTATATTTATGGCTTGCATAATAAACACAGTTACTTCTTGTATCTTTACAATATCTTGGCACAACAAGTTAAGGATATGTGCACAGCAACCGAGAGGAACAACATGTGGATATTTGAGTTTTGTTAATTCGAATGCCTTTTGTATATTTCTAGCGTTATCGCCAAAAAGTACAAGAAACTTATTTGCTCCATACACTTTCATTACTTTTTCAACTTCTTGGCTAAGGTATTCACTAGTGTGAGGATTACTTTCTGTATTCAAACTTTTAACGTATGCAGGTTGAGGTTTTGATATAAGAAAGTTTATTATTCCTTCATTTCTTAAATTAGACCAGCCATCGCACTGAAGGTGTAAGTAACTACAAGCATTTAGTTCCTCATTTAACTCAAAACGCATTTCTCTATATATTTTATCTAAGTATTTTGTCGCTAAAGCTTTACGTGAAGGTATTTTAAATTTTGGTTGCAATTTTTCGAAAAATTGTATCCATAAAGGATGTTGCACCATCGATAATGGCGTCCCTGTTACAAATATAGCTCTCGCTAATTCTGTTTTTATATGATCATCGGTGTCTTGAAACTCAGCATTTATTGTAGTGTTAGCAGACGACGAGGGGCTTATAAAAGAATCATTTGTCTCTATCTCTGACAGTCCAGACATTTTGGTTTTGGACGAGCTATCTTTTATAAGTTTCATAGAGTCTTTTAATGTTTCTGGAGATTTTGGACAAGTGATAAGATGTTGAAGCATTTTGGCAGCATTACTGAATTTGTAGACCTTATTACAAAGCTTGCAAGAAACAGACTTGTTTGGTAAAGTACGGTAGTGCTCCCATATGCGTAAATCTTTAGGTCTCCCCATTGAACCTAAAAAAATGAACGATGATTAGTTGGTCTGACGAAAATTCAACAATAGAGTGCCTATTTTTTTACAATGATTATTTCTTGTTATTTACAATAAATTTATTAAAAAAATAATAAAATAAATACAAAAAACCTTTGTAAAATTACATCTCCTCGGAGGATTAAACGCAGACGCTAGTTTATTATCGTATTGTTCTGTATTTTTCTCAGCAACTTCTTTAATTCGATTAGGTACTTACGCATATTATGTTAAAAATAAATATCTAGTACACATCTTAGGCTATCCACCATTATTATCCAATGACGACTCTCAGCTAACTATGCACTATCATCCAAAATAAACGTGTATGGAAAATTTTATCCCAGTCGGTTGAGGATTGAGGATAATTGCATCAACATACGAACATACCTACATACTTTTATTTACATAACGCAAGCTAAATAAAAGCTTGTAATAATACATCTAATTTTAAGTTAAAATTGTTAAGTGATCATGATATAATTGTATCATTCAAAAATCCACTTACCTTTAATTATTTCTTGTTAAGTATAAATATTATTTCAAATCTGCTCCCTTAATATGCACTTTTTTACTGCTTTTCCTACCTAACACGTTACCAGGAAGTCACGTTACCAGAGTCAGAGTAATAGTGAACACGTTTGACAGTGATTGTCGTCGCCTCATATTCAGCGTCGACGAATAGGGGAATCCCCAGTCATAATGTATTGCATGCGTGGCGGTCTTACTTCAAATCCATAAACAAAGAGATAATTACAGAACTCGATACTAGATGGCGCTGTTTTTGTTTGAAGAAAGTTTGCGGGCTAAAATACATAGAATTTCATCAATGACTTCCACAAAGAACAACATTTCTGTTTTTTCTAAGTCCGTATCTCTTCCGTATATTTCATAAGATATAAGCTTGGGCTACATTGTTATGCAACGTGATTTTGTCGCTGTCTTGCTAGCAGGGTTGACAGATATACGATTTAAATCGTACTCATACTATTATTTGTCTATTTTTTAATGTACGATCGTAAAGATTATGATCGTAATTCGCACAAAAACATACGACTTTTTGGTTACCTGGCAACATTTTTATTATGAAACGAACATGCTCACATCATCAGTCACATGCAACAATTTATTGGGGATTTCCCCTTCACATCTGGCAGTCCTGCTTGCTAGAATATAGGTAAGTCAGCCACAGTTACTGACGATCGATATTTAAAGGGTATTGTTTTTGTGCTAAATATTTCATAAAAACGTTATTTAATACTTTGTGGATTATTAATTTAGTTGATAATCACTGGAAGTAAAATGGATGCTAATTTGAGAGATCAAGATCTTCGTATAAAACAGTTAATAAAAGAAAATCTACGTAAGTACTCTTTTTATACCTAGGTAGGTAAGGTATAATAAACACAAAAGGTACTTAGATCGCGTGTGTTCGAAGCATTTATTCTAATAAATTTAATTTAAAATTGTAGAAAGAAAAAAATGTCTGCCAAGCCGTAGCCGAAGCCGATCTCCAAATATATTTGGCGATAGTGAGACCCAGTGTCCAGACGATTTACCCAGCGTCGTCGCAACAAAGAAAAAAAACGAGGATAAAGTAAAAGAAAATTTACTGAAAGAAGAAACAAACTGTTCTAAATGCTTAATTTATGGAGAAGAGGATAAAAGAAATGAGTATTTCGGACTGTTAGTGGCTCAAGAATTTAAATATATACGGCCATGTGTGCGAACGAGGTGTTATGAAGAAATTTTAAAGTATCTACGGGAAGCAAAAGGCCAACATGTTGATCAACTGCAACATGAAAACACTGAAAATTAATTACTTTCATTTTATTATATATAGATTTTTAAAATTTCCTGAAATATTATTAGTTAACGTTTTATTTAATATTGTAGAATTGATCAATACAATTTATAAAAATAATTTATTGGTATTACTTACATATTTTCAAAAAAATACGTAAAAACCTATTTTTTTGGGTGATTATGGGAGTTTATGGGTGTTTATTGGGTTTTTACCAAAGCACCGGGTTTAAACCCGGTGCTTTGCCCATCTGTACCACCGGCCCAACATGACATTACGACATTACGTTAGAAATCGCTAAAATTATTTGTGTTCTTCTACTATATTATGCATGTATTATACATATAAACCTTCCTCTTGAATTACTCTATCAATTAAAAAAGCCGCTTCAAAATCCGTTTCGTAGTTTTAAAGATTTAAGCATATATAGGAACGGAGTCACGACCTTGTTTTATACTATGTAATGATAAAAAAGGGAAATTTTGAATTCTTCGTAATAACAGTTGGAAATCTACAACATACAGGCTACTCGGGTGCAAAAAATTATGGTGCTAAGGTATATGACCAAATTAGAAAAGAAGGTTGACAGGCCATCCCTGAAACTTCTTTGTTGTTTTTCTTCCTAGAAAATAGATATTTTTGAAGGGTGCGTAATTCAAAGCTTTCCAGGGACGCCATGACATTAGTTACGACGCTGATGTAATGCTAACCCTTGTTTTGGTGTACACTGTACCCAATGATTTTTTATAATAATAAAACACTGCACGTACAATTTGACAACAGTTGCAAATTGCCAAAAAGAATGTATTATATAGTACGATTGCTTCTTAATTGCCCTTAGTAATATTATGGGAATAAAATAAAAATAATACAGATTTAAATGGTTTTATTGGGTCCACTGCATATTAATACATATTATTTTAATGTAGTAGGTACTTACTTGTCAATAAATGTTTTTAAAATGGTTTACAGTACTCATGGTTTGAGATGAATTGCAAATAGTAATCAATGTGTACTTTGTTTTTTGACAATAAGAAGACTATTTTTAATATATTTAGATTAGTAATTAGATATAATTAGTCAGGAGTACTTTTTTTAAATGGATGAGAATGAAATGGTAACCCTGCCTGCGTTATCAGGGTACTTATACACTCGTGGAACACCAAAGATAAATAAAGATATAATAAGATAAAGATAACAGATAAGGATGAAAACAAATCGCTTGGAGTTTCCAAGTGAAATATGTGGAGGTTGCTTCCATTGCTAGCAATATACACTATTGCTAGCAATAGGACTATTAGACCCTACTATTACAATCCTTCTCCCACCGATTAAGAGTTTTACCAGCTAGTAAATCTGAGGTCTAAAATTAAGAGGTCCTTAGATATGTCTATTGGATTAGTAGTAGTATATGGGCTTTTAGATCATCTAAAGTGTACTGCACTTATTGGGAACTCTAGTGTTTAGTTTGTAGCTGTAATAAAAATTAGGTAGTTATCTATATAATCTAGTGTGGTTTTGTGAATGTTAGTTGACATATTATCTAGTGCTCCTGTTTGAATGTGCATACGCTGGAGTCGATTCTGAGGCCAATTATTCAAAGGACCAATATGAAATAAATTTAATGAAAAAATATTATAAATTTTGTTTATGATGGTCCATAAAATGATAAATTCGAAAAATTATTAAATTAAAATATTACATTAAGAGATAACGTTAGAGAAATGGCGCTTTAGAATCGACACTACTGTGCGCAATTCTAATCTTTTTTTTTATGTTTATAATTATTTAATCAAAAATATTTTCGAAAACTATTAGAATGGTTACACTTATATTCATTTCAGTTACATCGAACTAGCGATCTGGCCCGAATACGCATAGATACATAGAATTTTCGTTTTTTACTTGCTGGTAATGTAACTTCTTAAAGGTAAAAGAGTTTTTACGGTCGGTTGAGCAGTTTTTGAGTTTATCCATTACAAACAATCAAATCTTTCCTTTTTATAGACTAGCTCGAAAATATGTCATTTTCTCGAAATACATTACATTTGATAGAAATCTTTTGACAGATTTCTATGTGCAATAAATGTTTAATCGTACTGTTATTAAGTACTTACTACTACAGATGGGCAAAGCACCGGGTTTAAACCCGGTGCTTTGGTAAAAACCCAATAAACACCCATAAACTCCCATAATCACCCAAAAAAATAGGTTTTTACGTATTTTTTTGAAAATATGTAAGTAATACCAATAAATTATTTTTATAAATTGTATTGATCAATTCTACAATATTAAATAAAACGTTAACTAATAATATTTCAGGAAATTTTAAAAATCTATATATAATAAAATGAAAGTAATTAATTTTCAGTGTTTTCATGTTGCAGTTGATCAACATGTTGGCCTTTTGCTTCCCGTAGATACTTTAAAATTTCTTCATAACACCTCGTTCGCACACATGGCCGTATATATTTAAATTCTTGAGCCACTAACAGTCCGAAATACTCATTTCTTTTATCCTCTTCTCCATAAATTAAGCATTTAGAACAGTTTGTTTCTTCTTTCAGTAAATTTTCTTTTACTTTATCCTCGTTTTTTTTGTTTTTTGCGACGACGCTGGGTAAATCGTCTGGACACTGGGTCTCACTATCGCCAAATATATTTGGAGATCGGCTTCGGCTACGGCTTGGCAGACATTTTTTTCTTTCTACAATTTTAAATTAAATTTATTAGAATAAATGCTTCGAACACACGCGATCTAAGTACCTTTTGTGTTTATTATACCTTACCTACCTAGGTATAAAAAGAGTACTTACGTAGATTTTCTTTATTAACTGTTTTATACGAAGATCTTGATCTCTCAAATTAGCATCCATTTTACTTCCAGTGATTATCAACTAAATTAATAATCCACAAAGTATTAAATAACGTTTTTATGAAATATTTAGCACAAAAACAATACCCTTTAAATATCGATCGTCAGTAACTGTGGCTGACTTACCTATATTCTAGCAAGCAGGACTGCCAGATGTGAAGGGGAAATCCCCAATAAATTGTTGCATGTGACTGATGATGTGAGCATGTTCGTTTCATAATAAAAATGTTGCCAGGTAACCAAAAAGTCGTATGTTTTTGTGCGAATTACGATCATAATCTTTACGATCGTACATTAAAAAATAGACAAATAATAGTATGAGTACGATTTAAATCGTATATCTGTCAACCCTGCTAGCAAGACAGCGACAAAATCACGTTGCATAACAATGTAGCCCAAGCTTATATCTTATGAAATATACGGAAGAGATACGGACTTAGAAAAAACAGAAATGTTGTTCTTTGTGGAAGTCATTGATGAAATTCTATGTATTTTAGCCCGCAAACTTTCTTCAAACAAAAACAGCGCCATCTAGTATCGAGTTCTGTAATTATCTCTTTGTTTATGGATTTGAAGTAAGACCGCCACGCATGCAATACATTATGACTGGGGATTCCCCTATTCGTCGACGCTGAATATGAGGCGACGACAATCACTGTCAAACGTGTTCACTATTACTCTGACTCTGGTAACGTGACTTCCTGGTAACGTGTTAGGTAGGAAAAGCAGTAAAAAAGTGCATATTAAGGGAGCAGATTTGAAATAATATTTATACTTAACAAGAAATAATTAAAGGTAAGTGGATTTTTGAATGATACAATTATATCATGATCACTTAACAATTTTAACTTAAAATTAGATGTATTATTACAAGCTTTTATTTAGCTTGCGTTATGTAAATAAAAGTATGTAGGTATGTTCGTATGTTGATGCAATTATCCTCAATCCTCAACCGACTGGGATAAAATTTTCCATACACGTTTATTTTGGATGATAGTGCATAGTTAGCTGAGAGTCGTCATTGGATAATAATGGTGGATAGCCTAAGATGTGTACTAGATATTTATTTTTAACATAATATGCGTAAGTACCTAATCGAATTAAAGAAGTTGCTGAGAAAAATACAGAACAATACGATAATAAACTAGCGTCTGCGTTTAATCCTCCGAGGAGATGTAATTTTACAAAGGTTTTTTGTATTTATTTTATTATTTTTTTAATAAATTTATTGTAAATAACAAGAAATAATCATTGTAAAAAAATAGGCACTCTATTGTTGAATTTTCGTCAGACCAACTAATCATCGTTCATTTTTTTAGGTTCAATGGGGAGACCTAAAGATTTACGCATATGGGAGCACTACCGTACTTTACCAAACAAGTCTGTTTCTTGCAAGCTTTGTAATAAGGTCTACAAATTCAGTAATGCTGCCAAAATGCTTCAACATCTTATCACTTGTCCAAAATCTCCAGAAACATTAAAAGACTCTATGAAACTTATAAAAGATAGCTCGTCCAAAACCAAAATGTCTGGACTGTCAGAGATAGAGACAAATGATTCTTTTATAAGCCCCTCGTCGTCTGCTAACACTACAATAAATGCTGAGTTTCAAGACACCGATGATCATATAAAAACAGAATTAGCGAGAGCTATATTTGTAACAGGGACGCCATTATCGATGGTGCAACATCCTTTATGGATACAATTTTTCGAAAAATTGCAACCAAAATTTAAAATACCTTCACGTAAAGCTTTAGCGACAAAATACTTAGATAAAATATATAGAGAAATGCGTTTTGAGTTAAATGAGGAACTAAATGCTTGTAGTTACTTACACCTTCAGTGCGATGGCTGGTCTAATTTAAGAAATGAAGGAATAATAAACTTTCTTATATCAAAACCTCAACCTGCATACGTTAAAAGTTTGAATACAGAAAGTAATCCTCACACTAGTGAATACCTTAGCCAAGAAGTTGAAAAAGTAATGAAAGTGTATGGAGCAAATAAGTTTCTTGTACTTATTGGCGATAACGCTAGAAATATACAACACATGTTGTTCCTCTCGGTTGCTGTGCACATATCCTTAACTTGTTGTGCCAAGATATTGTAAAGATACAAGAAGTAACTGTGTTTATTATGCAAGCCATAAATATAATAAAAACTGTTAAAAGGAGTCAACGATTAAGTTCCTTGTTGATAAAATCAAGGCAGGGTGAAGATTCTACACAAACACTAAAATTGCCTTGTGCTACAAGATGGGGAAGTCATGTTACTTCGTTAAAAAGTTTGAAAGCAAATAAGATAGCTTTGCAAATATTAACAGTTAGAGAAGATGTGGTAATTTCAAGAGATATTAAAGATTTAATTCTAAGTGATGATTTCTGGACGAAGACAGGGGAATGTATAAGTATTTTGGAACCAGTCACTGAAAGCATATTTTACTTAGAGAGCGACCAGAATCGTTTGCATCGCACATACATTACATTTAGAGATGTACAAGCTAAGATACGTTTTGCATTAAATGAGATTTCGACATTGAGCGAAGAAAGCAAACAGCAGATTCTAACATCAGTATCTTCAAGATGCAATATGGCAATGAGGCCAATACATTTTGCAGCATATATTCTAGACCCCAGGACTCTAGGAGTCGAACTTACTCAAGAGGAAGAACTTAAGGGTATGGAGTTTATCTACAATTTAAGCCAACACTTAAGTTTGTCAAATGTAATGGCAGATTTGGCGTGTTATAAAGCTAAAGAAAACTTTTGGGCCAGAGGATTTGTATGGAGCTCATTAGATAGCATTGAGCCCCTAATATGGTGGAAAGGTATTTGTGGTTCCACTGAGTTAAGCAAAGTAGCGATTCGTATTCTATCAGCTCCCTGTACTTCGGCAGCCACTGAGCGTTCCTTTAGTATCCAAGGCTACATACATAATAACAAAAGAAATCGACTTACAACTGAAAGAACTGAAAAAATTTCATTCATTTGTTATAACTGGAAGCTTTCATTGAGCAAGTAAATGAACATAACAGTTTAGACGAAATAGAGCCTATCGAACCTATACAATTCATCGCTTGTAATAACTCTGAATCTGACAGTGATTGACTGTAGTTTTACATTTTACTTTCATCTCTTTCTTAATAAACTCAAAATCAAATTAAAAGTTTTTTATTCTGTAGGCTGCATAATAATATTGTCTATGTCCAGTATAGTGGACGTCTTGCGGCTGAGATGACGATGATGAAGTACAAAATCATAAACACCCAAAAATTTGGGTGTTTATGGGGTTTAAACCCAATAAACCCAAAACACCCGGTTTTTACCCACCAGACTTTAAACCCACCCAGGTGGATTGCCCATCTCTAGCCGGTGGCGCTATTTAGTATCAACATTGCACCCATGCGAAACCGGGGCGGGGCGCTAGTTATGTATAAAATTTCTATTCTAATACATATACTTCATATCATAGATAAATTCTTAAATTTCTAAGACTAATGACTTTGATTTCAACTGTATATATAGAAGACACCACTCATAGAATATTAGGTATATTTTCTTTGGATAGCTGTGCACAAATAAATGTATAAAAGTACGTATTTACGCCTTTTTTAATATATTATATTTTAATTTACTTAAAAAGTAGTTATTTCAAGTATTAGTAACGGGTGCTTTTCAAAATAGGAAAGGCAGAGGCCTTCAGCTTCTGTATCCAAAGCTGTAAAAAGCAATTTAAAAACCTGGTATTTGACAGTCGAACCGTGAATGTCAATTCCAGACAAATTATCTTTTTGAAGACTAGGCAGCATGGTCTCCGACCTTAGCCTGTTCCAAACGGAACAAACGTACTAAAAAAAAAAAAACGTGAATGTCAACGAATGAAATTTTCTAGAAAATGTCGGTCGAATTCGAATGAACTAGAATTTACATTACAAATTTTATTACATATTCTTCGGTTCTGGTTGCTTCTGACAATCAACTCTAGGTTTACTATTACTAAACATAACCTAACTTTTAAGTGGTATCATTATTCTTGCATTTATTTCGGTGATTCCCAGAAATACGTCTACTGTGATAAAATTATTGTTTTGTGGATAAACTAAGCATTATAAATTGTATCCACTATGTCTGAAGTGAAAATAAAGGAGGTAAGTCTAAATAAATGTATAAAAGTTTCAAATACCTGAGATTTAATATGATTTAATGGTTTTCCGCTAACATGATAAATGTTTTATTTTAGTTGCGCAGTGATATCGATGAGTTAAATGAATTGCTAAAACTGTCAAAAAGGAAAAAAATCCAAGATATCTTGTCGCTTGAAATCCGCAAATTAGAGACCGAATGGATCAACTTGAAAGAAACTGAAAATGCTTCCACCCCTATGGATACCACACTTGCGCCAACGACATCGACATCGGCGCAAAAAAAATATCAGATCAAATTAAATGGCTATGGTAAGTAAACTTTATTGTTTAATTATTTTATTTTCTCAATTTTTGTGCTCTATAGATACCATTGATACACTATTGAGAGGGTATACTGAGATAAAGCACTCCAAAAAAATAAGAATCATCAAAAAATCAACTATTGTTTTGTCATTTTCAATCATAAAAGAACTAGCGACCCATGCTGATGACTTTGCACATTTTCTTTTAATAAAACACAACCCATTTTCCTATAGATCATATAGCTTTCTATACATATAGTGAATTAATTTTTAAAAGTATTTTTAGTTTATCCAAATCAAATAAAAAATCAAAACTTTATCATATTAGTTTAAAGAAATTAAAACACTAATAGCTAAAATATTAGATATTTGTCATTTTTATAATAAGGAGTATTCATGCACATTAATAATTGTAATATTAAGATTTTGCAATTGTTAATTGAACTTTTTTCATTTAAATATATAATTTATCTTTGTTATATTTTATAAATGCTTAAATTTACTGCTTATAGGTTGGGACCAATCAGATAAATATATACAAGTGTTTGTTACATTGAAGAATGTCCACACAGTGCCAAAAGATCAAGTATATTGCAAACTCACTGATAGATCAATGGAATTACATATTGATAATTTGGATAACAAAGATTATTTGCTTGTGATCAACAAACTTCTTGAACCTATCAATATTGCAGAAAGTCATTGGAAACAAAAGACCGGTAAGTATGTATTTAAAGTAAAAAAAATATGTCAACCTATACAAATTGTATTAATCAATTGAGTAGACATTAAATTTTCTTGAAACCAACATTTGTTTTTTGTATTACAGATAGAGTAGTTATATTCCTGGCTAAATCACGTCCAAATGTTAAATGGTCACATATGACTGAAATTGAGAAGAAATTTGAAGACCAACGCAATAACCGTTTCAAGACTGATGATTCAGAAAAGAAAGACCCACAAGAATCCATCATGAGTCTCATGAAGAATATGTAAGTGACTAATATTATTACATAATCTGAATGCACTACAATTGATAATTAGTAATTATACTTCCAGGATTATAATCATGAGGATAATTATCTAGTTTTTTTATAGTGCATTGAATTATTAACAAAAATTCTTTTTAATATGACTTAGAATGGCAAACAAGCTGACAGCCCACTTGATGGAAAGTGGTAACCATCACCTATATACATGAGCAGTACCATGGACATAACAGTGTATACTGTTTCACCCATGATACTCCCCATGTGTTGCCATTCCTGAGTACTCAGATATTATTCCTCTATATCCTGTAAATTCACACCATATCCCACCCTTCAAACCGAAACACAGCCATGCAAACACAACTGCTTCACGGTAGAAACACAAATGGGACAGATACCCAAGCAATCGACTTTTATACAAAGTCACCCTCTGGTTTTAACTAAATAAAAAAAGAAAACATTAACATCAATAGGTATACTGTAAAATTACCTCTTTAAAATCATAATTCTGACTATCCATAATACTCAGAATTAGAAAAACTTAAAATATGCTAAGTAACATCTTATTAATTATTGTTAAATCATCAAAACTGGATGATATTTACAAAATTAAGGCATGAATAAAGCTGAAATAAATAATTTGTATATATAATCTTATAAAATTTGTACATGAGAGTTAGATAAGATTATTAATTTATTCTTTATATTATGGTTAGATTATCAAATATACAATTTATAATTTTCAGGTATGAAACTGGTGATGATGATATGAAGAGAATGATATCCAAGGCTTGGTATGAAGGCCAACATAAGAAGAAAACAGACACATTGGACCTGTAAACTGTTTCCAACTGTATTTAAATGTAATTGTATTTAGAGCAGTGGTTCTCAATGTCATATACTATGAAACTGTAATGTACTACCACATGTCTCTGCTTTTTTGGTTTTACAGATTACCCTTTACTTTATAATTTAAATTATTTACTTTAGATTATAATTTAAAACTGATCAAGTACATGATTAATCATGTACTTGATCAGTTTTAAATTATTACTACCTTTTATTATAAATAATGGAGTTTAGTATGAGTTAAATTTGACACTGAAATTATAGACCACTGCTCTCTGAGTATTAAATATTCTAAGATAACATGCATGGTTTTTTTTTAGTAATGTCACTGTAAAGCATTTTATTTAAAGACAAATGAGTTGTAGCCATGTATGTGTTATCCATACCTAGATTGGTACAGAATATTATTATGTACTCAGTATATTAAATCAAACTTTATTTTTAAGTGTAATAAACCAGTCAGTGTTTTTTTTGTAACAGAGTTTTTATTGACAGACATTAGAATTACATCAAATCCTAATTAATACAGAAGTGCATTAAATTCTAATTTACTTGGTGAAATGAAAGCATTTTGAGTGTTATTTTCACTACAAAGATCCAATTGATCATTGTACCTGTCTCTACTTTTTAAAAGATTGTATTTGCGATAACTATATTTTTTAATATTCATATATTTTGAATAGTGTATATATTCTATGTCCATAACAAATCTCTTATAACTCGTAATTTCTTTCAATATTGTTAATTATAATAATTTCTGGATTGATTGAAATTATACTTCATTAATCCACTAAAATTCAAAAATGGAACTATTACATGTTGATCATTTAAATCGACATGTGAACTTAGCTGTTCATTTAATCACAATTCATTCATAGACCATCAATGCCTCATTTTTATTATTTTTTGCACACATTTTCTAAAGCATATTAGAAAATAGATAAAATATAACAATTTTACTGTTCACTGATGTGACTAACTGTTGTAACCAACATATAGGTTACTGAGGAATAAAATCGTATGCCCTCAGAATGGCAATGTATCTATTGTACCATGGGTTTCATAATCGATTTCCATAACGTAGTTCATGTCTATAAGTAGACTTGGTAGGTATAACACATAGATTATATTGCTTTATGTATATATATTGTATATTTCTGCATTAGTCTACGTAATACGTAGACTAATGCAGAAATATACTTTTTAATTTAAATAAAATCAAATTTATCTATCTCCTTTTACATTTTATTTTTAGTTGTATTCCCTGTTAATTAAAAATAAATTTTCTACACGTGACGTAAAAAGAAATTATTATCGCTGAAGCCTTAATGTGCGAACTCAACTCACATTTATCTAGAGATGTTTAGGAGATTTATTTAAGAAAACAAATATTATAAGTATAACATCGATTTATTATTTTCTAATAATAAATAACACAGAGATCATAACATCAATGCCTAAAAGATCTTACACGTAGTACACGTAGTAGTGGTAGAACTACAACATCAAATCTAGATAATTCATTATGTTAGATAAGTACTTGGAATGTGACTCGGCGGCTTAGTCCACTTTTATTGGAGCTTTGAATGAATCTGCTTTCCACCAACTGAAAAAGAAAAAAAACATGTAGGTTGTCTTCAAACTACATTCTAATTTATATGAATGAATGAAGTGAAATCATGAAAGTATATAAGCTCGATTTCGCAATCGATAATATAAACGCCTACATACTAAATTTCAATAAAAACAAGTACTTATTGTCTAAAAATTTTGGCTACAATTATTATATATAGTTAATGAGATAAATTTGTTAAATGAGGATGAGGAAGTAGGATTTCTAATTTTTTACCTGACTTTTTTAGCTCCGGATTTTTTCTCGGAGAGCATTTGCATTATTATAGTACAGATGTAGATGCCTTGCAACGTATATAATAAATATTGCCAGCTCAATACAAACGCTTGATCTTTAAACTCTGTTTTGTTTCGAATCAGGGATATAAAATCTTCACGGTTTCTTGCAGATTCAACTAAACGAGAAACGAGTTTACCGTCACCATTAATTATATCCTTTGTTCTATATCTATATTCCACATTTCGCCGCAAAGCTACTCGTATGTTCTGGTTTGTTTCAGCAATGTTTTCATTCCCTCCGTAGCCACGATTGTGAACTGTTTCCCTTTCCATTAATTTCTCCGAAATCGGTGAGGTCTTTTGCACTCGAGTAGAATCGTCTCTAATGAGACGTGTGTCGTAGTTTGCCCTAATCTCATCTCTAGATCCTCTTTTTTCGTTTACTCTTTGTTGACGTTCCCTATATTGATTCATATAGGAGAGGCGATTAACATTTCTACGCTCATGCCTCGCCTCATATCGAGAATTTTCACTTGGCCCTGTGATACTGCGAACTCGATCTTCCGCATTAAGCGATCGTCTATTTTCGTAAATTCTATTAGAAAGTTCATTATACTCTTGAGGAACGCGTTCCATTTGAGATCTAACTTCAGAGCGAGGCCTACTCACGTACCGGTCAATACTCATTTGTATTTTATTGTTTGTTTTAGTAGATCTGTGTTCGTTTTCTCGAATAACTGCACGTTCTCTCCTTTCAGAAGAGCGTCGATAGTAATTTTCATTTACTCGGGACCTGCTCTCGGATCTTGGTGTCTCTCCTACAGTGTTTCGACTATTTTGGAACAGAATCGGGTTTTCAGTCTTCCTTGAATCTCGAAATTCTTTCCTGATGTTGCTAATTTGTTCGATGTTTCGTAATATAGGAGTACCTTCACGACGTTCATTGATTTCCCTGAATCGTCGATCTAAAGATCTTGTTTCACGCCGGAAAATGTCTATTGATCCTGAAATTCGTTCATCCCTTTGTTTGGAGTTCCTATTTTCATATCTAATATCTGCACTAAACCTATTATTAATTTCTTTTGTACGTTGGTTTAAGAGACTGGGGCGTTGGTTGTTAAGGTCGAAATTTGATTTTGCTTGTCGGTCAAATTTCATTGCATCCCTTAATGAATTAGGCATATTTTTATTGGTGATACGACGTTCGTTCCGTGAATACTCATTCGATTCTCTTATATTGTTTCTGCTAGTTAGTCTATATTCTGTCTCAATCGAATTTACCCTGAATTGCCTTACATCACGATTGTAATGTCTGCGTTCTTCACTTACCACACTACGTTCTCTTTTGGTATCTTCGCGTCTTTCCTGGGATTCCTTTCTGTTACTATAAATACGATTTGTTCTAGAAGTTACAATATTGCGACTATGATCCTCGACTCCCCTTTCATTTTGATCTGTGGATCTACGATTTGAATAATAATTATTTAGTCTTGATTCAAATTTACTCGAAATTGCTCGACGTTCAAATTCAGCTAAATTTCTTACATTACGCTGATCATTCCGATAGATACTTAGGTTAATGTCAAAAGATTGTGTGTTGGAATTACGTATCGCATCACGTCGCATCATATCGTTAGTCTGCGAGGCAAATCGAAAGTTGGAGTCATTAATATTTCTTGTGCGCCGTTCTAAAGATCGACGAATAATTCTATCATTATTACTTATTTGAAGTCGTGACTCCAACCGTGAAAGAGAACTACGACGTTCTGTACCTTCTCTTGACATCTGTGGCTCATTTCGAGCATTAAAGAAGCGAGTAGGAACTACGTGAGCCCTTGTTTGTTCGGGTATATTACGATTTTCTGCAGTTCTTGTAATACTTCGAAGTAAAATACGTCTGGAACTGTCAGTTCTAGACTGGGTGTTATCATTCGTAGTTCGATCCGTTTCGCTGATAATACGAGATACCCTAAACTCTGTACGTTCACGGTTAATGCGGTCATTTTCTCCAGAGTTCCTAGTAAAACGCTTCGAAAAAGCTTTTGGTTCGCGTTCTTCTCGAACTAAAGTTTGACGTTGTTCAATTCTTGTAGATCTATCGTTCAGATATAGAGGAGCACGTCTTCTAGGATCTTTTTCTCGTAAAATTGATTGCCTTATAGATGCACTGTTGATGTCAAAATCAACATTGCTTCTATACAATTTTGAATCTTCTTGGCGATAGTTCACACGACGCTCTTCCGATCCAAGTTTGTAAAAACGATCAACTCCATAGACGGCTAGCCGTGTATCTCTTTGCAAGGTTCGTGGTTGGCGATCACAACACTCTTGCCTTCCATCAACGAGATTCCGCTCGGTGAAGGATGCAATTGGCTGGAATACTGCGAGAGACGCAAGTAGTAGTAAACGCCAGTTATACATAGTAACTGTCTGACCTTATTGTGAGGATTCCTTCGTTCGCGATTTCTAGATCAGAGTTAGAAGTGGACCTATGAAGCCTGCTTCTGTACTGAGAAAGTCTACCAGCGATGCCTTCTTTTATACTATATCGAGGTCTGACGCCATTGAATGTCTATTTAGCGCTAGAACGCATCCAATTTTAAACAAGATACGCCACAAGAGTTTATGACACCGATCAGCTATTCTTAATCCTTAAATAAAATTATTTTTAAATATCAATTTAGTTCTCATGAAAAGGTTTGCTAGAAGAAATCTCTTAAGAGAGCTTATCTCTAAGAGGTACACCTTTGTACATTACATTTAAAATTAATTGCTCTTATCATTATGTTTATGTACAATAACGAATAAAGAATAAAAATTACCATGGGTGTTTCGGTTTCGAAGGTGGCAGTAAAATTGTAACGCATGAGGAATACCATGGGCGTCACAGTGTTGTTTGTAATGACTGTTGTGTTGTTTTAAATATGAAGATTTATTATTTATTACTCAATGGAGCCTAAATCACTAAACGGATTTTAATGGAATTAGTTACACAATTACACAAATTTTTACAAATTAATTTGTTTATTTTTTTGTCATGACAACAATGCTGGAAATGGGATAAATATACAATGCGACAATGAGTTTGGTGTTTTAATGGCACGCTCATCTCTAGGAAAAGACATTGAAATAGTTTTCTAAAAATTAATAGGTAGATAAAAGCATTTTAAGTAAAAGTAATAATTATCCAAAATTTCTCTGTATATCTGTTTGTTCCGACAACACGCAAAAACTAAGTGCACCAATTTTTTTCCATTTTTCTAGTCCCAAAATCCACCCGATCAAAATAGCGGATAAAAGCAAGTAAAATATAAAGTATCAACCAGGGTTACAATGTAGTATACAGAATCATGTTATCAGTGGACACAGCTGCACAGGAAAATTTGTCCTTACTCGTAAAATAATTATCTGATCGCACTCGCTGGGGCAAGAAATGGGAATCCATAAATTGAATTCCTATGACGTCAATATAGATAGCTTAAAATTCTATAATAAGATACTTGCACATAAAAGAAAGTAGAGTAGAGGCACATAATAGTTATGGAAACTCCTGAGAAATAACTAGTGACCCACCCCAGCTTAGCACCTTTTTTTAGATAAAAGACAGCCAATGTTACTCGCTGATAAATTAGGGCCGATTCTGAGATACCAGTTCTCTAAACCTTTTAACCTAATATTTTAATTTAATAATTTTACGAATATTTATAGACTAGCATTATAACAATTTATACTTAAATCTGTTAAAAAATTCGTTCATATTCTTCTTTACTATATTTTGTTGTGATATCAAATTGAAATTTTAATTTTAGAGATAGGTTTAGAGAAATTTATTTATTTTATAAAATAAATAAACAAGTTAATGAAATTAATAATAATTTAAAATAAAACGGCACCTCAAAATTTAACATTTTTTTAATAAATTTTAAATCTAAATTATTATAATGATGGCTTATAAAACAATAATTTTACAAAATTATAAAATTAAAATATGAGGTTAAAAGATAGGGCCTTGTTCTTGCGGCTCGTGGCCCGTTCTGTAACTGAAAGTCTTTATAAATGAAATGTTTTCGCATTTTTATTACCATCTGTATAGAGATTAGATATCAAAATTATGGATAAGTGCGACTCGCCTTTACTTTAATTTGCCCTTGCCTAGCAAAAGGTTGCCGACCCCTGCTGCTTCTGGACGTACCAAGCGTGCGTTATCGACCCTCCAGAAAACGGGGGGAAAGGGATTGTTAGTAATGGGGTTTAAATGACCCATTGCTAGTAATCGTCCTATCAGGTCGACCTCCACACGGTTCTCTCTGGAAACCGTCGTGATTAATTCTAGTGGAATTAATGGTCACGATGGTCTAACTGACCTGCCTTTTCATTCTCACCTGTTATCCCTCATTAGTGCCCCGCCAGCGTATCCCGTTAGCACAGGCGGGGTTACCATTCCATTATCACCTATTAAAACCCTCCAGAAAGTTTTACCCCATTTTAAAAGAACCCCAAGCTGTAGTTTCTAGGAAACTGGGAAGAAAGTTCATTTCACAATTGATTCGATTATTAGCAATGGAGTCTAATTGCTAACAATCGAATCAATTTGGTTCGTTGCTAGTAAGTCAGACCCTATCAGGTCGACCTCCACGCGGTTCTCGCTGAAAGCCATTCCTTAAAAAAGGTGTACCTGTCTGCTTACAGCTAATTGCTTCGCTTATTATTCAGGGGTGGACACAAAATAGGGGGGAAGGATTGTTAGTAATGTGGACTACCAGTCCCACTGCTAGTAATATACTCTGTCAGGTTGAACTCCACGTGGTCCCCCCCCCCCTAGAAACCATCGTGCTGAGCTGCTTTTTCATATATCATTATCTCGCTAGCATATATCATTAGCCCAGGTGGGATTACTATTCCATTGTCATTCATTAAAAAAAAGACCCCCGTTCCCGCCCCTCGCTCTCTAAATACACTTATCAACAATAGGTGGTGGGGGGGAAGGGATTGTTAGCAATGGAGTTTGACAGTCCCATTGCTAGCAATATGCCTTATTAAGTCGACCTCTACGTGGTTCCCCCTGGAAACCATCGTGAATAATTCTTGTTGAATTCGTCACGATGGGCTACCTGACCTATTTCATCCTCACCTATCATCCTTCACTGGTGCCTCGCCGGTGTATGCCGATAGCGAGGGTGCGGTTATCTTTCCATTATCAACAATTAAAAAAAATACAATGGGCGGTCATTTGAATTCTAGGGTTCGTATAAAAGTTGCCCAATGTAGTCTATATAATGTATTTAAAAACATTATTTGAAGGAGTACGTAATTTGGTAATAAGTATTAAGGGTATAACTGTTTGATAGAAAATCACGTCGTAAAATATTCCTGGACTAATCTTGATATTTTCATAGGTATGTGAGTAAATTAATTGTTACTTTTTAAAACGAAAACAAAAACTCAATAAAATTATTTTTTCAAGATTAACGTTCAGTAAGAAAAACGATATTGACAGTTATCCGTGGAAAGCCGAAGTGATACCGGCCTTATAGTCTCGTCTTAAAGAAATTTAAAATTGACATTATGACATTCCTTTGCGTAGAATAGAGGTTATTGTATTTTTCATGTTCATATGGACCTTTGGTTCATTGGTAACAGTTACCACTGTCTAGGTAGTCAGTCAGCTAATTTCAAATATAATAAAAAAAGAAAATAATAATATAACTAGCCATAATATACGCATATTACAGATATAGGTAGTAAATATTTTTCAATAGACTAAAAACGAGGAAGTACCTTTACAAATTAATTACCTGTGTTACGATTGTGTAATTTAACAGCCAAAAAAAGCAAGTAAGCAATTGTCGTATATATGGTAATAACATTTTTATTTTTAGAAATATAAAGAAGTAATTGCTAAAAATCATACAAACTTAAGAGACTATATATAGACATCACTCATCCATAAATGAGTAAATGACGCTTAAAGGATATTAAAAAGAAATCACAGTTTGGGTAACCAAAGGTTTATTTTTATAAAGTTCTCTTAATCTTAATTGTAACCATAGGACTGGATGAGAGTTGTGAACGGCGCTGTAGCCTTTGCAACCTTCTCACCGGCCTCCTTAGTGATTTTCTGTAAAAAAAAATATGTTCAGTACTCCCAGTTTTATTACAATAGACTTGTATATAATAAGAAAAATTTTGATATATCAGAATAATATTATTTTCATGAAGCATCAAATAATGTAGGTAAGTGTGTATTGATCATCACTTAAAACTAATATGCTAGGAGTATATAGAAGATACAACTTCCATAAGATTTCTTTAAAAACGCATAGGAGTTTATAAGGAATATTTTTACTATTTTAATTTTAAAAGAAAAAAAACACGAACCTTAAGTTTCTTCTCATATGCAACTCTGTGGACAGCCTTGAACTTCCTCTTGTCCTCGAGTTTGCGTACGACATCACGGTACTTCCAGCCAACCTCGTGGGACAGGCGGCCAACATGACAGTACTGAGGAAAATATTTTTCAATCATGAACAATAATGTATTTTAATGCAATATTGTCTCAGTGTACATATAGTGTTTCAACATATTTTTCATTTCAGTCGCAAATTACCCAAAAACATCATTGGTTTTAAAATGTGTGTATACAAATAAAAAGCTATGTGGCACACCATAGAATGTGCCATCCTTTCCTTTCCTGCGGGTGTCATAAGAGGAAAATGAGGGAACTTAACGGTTGAGGGATGGGCATCAAGCATCCCTTTTAAAACATCACCAAAGACTAATTGTGGTTACTAACCTGCCAAGAATAGCAACTACTGGTAAATCCCCCACTTTTGGAGGAGGCCTATGTTCAGTAGTGGACAGTTTGCAGCTAATATAATGATGATAAATAAAAAAAAATTGAATTAAAGCAAAAAAGATCTTTTATTCTGTGCAACAATAATATAATCATTCGAGTTCTTATTCAGTACTCTACCTATAAGCTACAAGTGTCATTTCCTGCTATATCAATCAAGATCAAAATGGGAGTTCGAAAATAATTTGCAACCTCATATCCACATCACAAAAAAGCTAATTTTAGTATTGATATAGCTGTAGTTATATATAGAATTATATTTATATTTTCAGTTTCCTCAATCATCCCAACAATATACAAGAATTAAATAAAAGGTTAATTTACTTTAAAATTTGTGGGAAAATAAGATGTGATTATGTGCCACTTATTAATAAATTGTAGGATAATATTGCATTATGTATTTTTAATGTGCTAAGAAAAAATAGTATACCTTGCGACCAGGCTTCAAGCAGAAGACACGGAGAGCTGCAGGCACAACCACTCTCCTACGGTTGTCATAAGGCGGAGGGCAGCCATCATAGGCACGAAGCCTTCTAAGAGCATCTTTTCCACGCTCAGTCTTGTGTGGGATCATGCCTACAATAGTAGAATATGAAATTAGTACTATTGAAATATTATATTGAAAAATACATAAATGAGTAGAGACTTCATAAAAAGTATTATGATCACAAACATCATATAATGTAGGTATAGAATAAAATAATCATCAGCAGCAGTTAGCAGGAATTATAACTATTTAAAACTAAAAAAAAAAAAAAAACAAATAATATGTAAGAAATGCTAGTATTTTTTACATATTTTCTCAAAGTGACTATCTAATATTATACATATTACTAGTAATATAGGTAATTTTAGATTCTTTTTATTTAAGATTTTGGATGTGAAATTAAATAAACTATAGAATAAGGTAGCAGTGTAAAGTAGTGTGAAATCTAAGCATAACAGCTAAGGATTAACCTACATGTAATAATAGTCATTGGGTGCTCTGTATTAAAATTACTGTGATCTACCATTAGATACTTTATAATATATTTTTCTATGTTGTATTGTTTATAAAATTCCTATTACACACATATATAGATATAATTAAAAAGATAAATTTTAAAAATAAAAATAATACTGTTCTATGTATTTTTAATTTAGAATTTTATGTACACAATTTAGTAATTAGTTTTAGGTGAATTTTGCTATACTGAATATATGTGCTTTTTATTGAATGCCCCTTAAAAGCATTTTATAAAAAACATTCTATACTTAAGATGACAATATTATTAAAATTTCACATAAATGTAAAACAAACATTATCTATTATAAAAGTACTGATGTGCAGTTTTTTAAAAAAATATCTATAAATAGCAAATCATTTATTCTATAAATTTACATAAATCTATCTGAACAGAGGCAAATTCAATAAGTTATTTTCAACATACCTCTGACAGTTTTCCACAGAATCTTAGAGGGTGCTCTGAAATGGAATGGGCCACGAGCTGGATTCACATTGCATCGCTTACGCAGAAATGACATAAACTTCAACTTGTTTCTGAAATAATAAATGTTAAATTGTTACACATCTATTATATTGATTAAGTCAATACTCTTTTAGAAGTGATATCAGAATAATAATGTAGCAACATCTAAAAATTCAGTCGCAAATTACCCATAAAATAACATCATTTTTCAAAAATAGTATGCCAATTGAAACTTCTTTTCAATTACTAAATTAAATCAAAGGTATATGATCTTAGAGATAATAAAGATAAAACTAAAAAAATATGTTCTGTAACCACTCATGTCACAAAGAGTGGAGCCAACTTACCTGAAGAAGTTGCCAGAGATGTTGAGTTGTTCACAACGAACAACAACAACTTTATTTCCTTCCAACAGGACCTTAGCGATTACTGCGGCCAGTCGGCCGAGTAGATGGCCACGGCCATCGATAACTATGGCCTGCAAAACAACAATTAATCTTTATACTTATTGGTTGACGTTGGACACACCGCATAACCTCAAATGGGGAGACGGACATCATTAGTAAATAATACAAAAAAAAAATTGGCAAATCAACTTTTTATATAAGTATTTTACATTTGATAAAACATAAAATAGACTGCAAAATTTCATACAACTTATAAGAAATTAAATTGTAATGAACACAAAAAACTAAACACGTGTTGTGGTTATAGTAAAATAATATAAATCTGTTTTTTTGTTGTAACTTATACAACAATAACGTAATGACTTATTTTTTCATTAAATAGAGAAGATTTTACTAATATATATGTACAAAATAGCATTTTTTCTCCTCACCTTATTGCTAAAGCCCGTCATTTTCACGACAACAAAACGGAAAAGAGTATTTTTTTAAAACAATATGGCTACCTACCGGATGCCGAATATCAATCAGTGTTGCCTTCTTTCATTAAAAATGGTCTAAGAGTAAATCCTTAAACTTTTTGAAATTATGACCACTACCTATTTCATTGAAAATATAACTAATTACTCAACATGATACAGATATCATGTCGAGTAATTCGTTATATTTTATATTGTTACTTACAGATGCAGGCATCAGTTATGCATGTAACAATTACAGAAGTAAATCGGTACATTACCGTAGATAAAGAATAATCGTCTATACGTAAAAGATTTACAATCATTGTCAATATTTTTTTTTATACAACTTAAAATGGCAAACAAGCTGACAGTCTACTGACAGATTCAATGACTGATTGACTGTCAGTTTTAAGATCACAATCAATTAAGCCTGTATCACTTCAAACAAACAATCATATAAAAAATCTATACAAGCACTTCATTGAAATTGGAACGTTATAATGAAGCTATAGTTTGTTACAGTAAAAATATACAAAAAAGTAAACAAACGAACAATTAGTATGACTATAAGACAGTAAAATTTTAATTCAAACTCAAATCAATTTTATGCCAGACAATAAGATTTATTTTGTTATATTTTTTTTTATACAACTTAGAATGGCAAACAAGCTGACAGTCCACCTGATGGAAAGTGTTAATCGTCGCCTATAAACATGAGGAGTACCATGGACATAACAGAGTATACTGTTTCGCCCATGATACCCTCCATGCGTTGCCATTCCTGAGGACTCAGGTGTTATTCCTCTGTACCCAGTAAATTCACGCCATATCCCACCTTTGCCTTTTACCAGCCATGCAAACACAACTGCTTCACGGTTGAAACACAAATGGGACAGAGATACCCAACTTTAGCAAACGACTTTTGTACAAAGTCATGCCTCTGGTCTTCTTCTTTTCATTTAAGAGTTTCCTCTTGACGATATAACTAATTAATGCATCTTCTTCCAGCTAGCTCTATCTCAGGCCATATCTTTGCCTATATGACATGATAGAAACATTAGTTTTTTTTTTATCTGTCCCATGTAGTTATTATTTGGTTTTCCTCTTTTTCTTTTGCCCTCTATTTGTTAGTAGTAGGCTTAAAACTACGTTAATAAAAAAGTTTATAATTTAATAAATCATATACCTGAGAGGCATTCGGCCAGGACGATAATAAACCAAACCATGGTTATTTTGTGTTTTAATCATTGTCCTGATGAACTGACCTGACCTATCACAAGTGTATGGACATCCTCAGCTATTATTTTAAGAATGGTGTTGTCACTCTCCCGCATTCTTTTCACTATTGAGTCGACTTTCTTATGAATGATGGCATAGAAACCATTAATCCGGGAAGAAAAAGGATTATTAGTAATGAGGTTTAACAGCCCCATTGCTAGCATCACACCGTATCAAGTTGACCTCCACGCGGTCCTCTAGGAAACTATAGTGATTAATTTTTTTTCTACTGGTCACTATGGGCCAACTGACCGGCCTTTGTCCCCACCTATCATCCTTCATTGGTGCCCCGCCAGTGTAAACCGATAGCGCAGGCGGGGTAACTATTCCATCTTCACCCATTAAAAAAAAAATAATCCGTGCTTGTGCAAACTTTTCTGAATGAAACTTTCATGAAGTCCCAACGTCATCCTTAAAATATTATTGTAATCATTGTAATAATTGGTACTCAATTATCGGGAGATTTGATAATTTCATAAGTATAACGTATAAAATATATTCAATGTTTTTATCTTCATAAATTTTTATTTTATATTAAGAACCAATTAGTATATCTCATTAAAATTAACAAATTAATTTTCGGAGAAAAGTCAAAGTTTAATGTTCACTAACTGTTGTTATCATTACTTTTAATATATTTATTGATCAATCTTATCATAATTGAAATGATCGCCTGATGGGAAGAACATATGGCGTTCATACAAAACGTTTAAGCAGCACTGTGCTGTTAAATAGAAATGCTACTTGTCGATGAACGTGTCGTAGTATTTGTTTAAGTTTTATGTTTAATCGCAATGTACTCATGTATGCGTTGGACAATCGAAACATTGTAAATAGTTTTACTCACACATTTTTTATTCTCTGGATTTTGGGGGGGCGTGCCTTGGTATTGTACTGGGTACAAAGGAATAACACCTGAGTCCTCAGGAATGGCAACGCATGGGGGGTATCATGGGCGAAACAGTATACTCTGTTATGTCCATGGTACTGCTCATGTCTATAGGCGACGGTTACCACTTTCCATCAGCTTGTTTGCCATTCTAAATTGTAGAAAAAAAAAAAAACTATATTACACTAAATTTTCCTTTGTCGTGATGATACTTTATGGTAGTTACATAGAGTTATTTATCAGTTTCGTCAATATATTTGTAGTGTCGATTCGGTTTTTTATTAGTATGAGTCTATGACAAATTGACAATTGACCAATAAAAACAAGGCAGCTCAGGTAATCTAAAAATAAATAAATACTAAGCTTGAAGAAAGAACAAGAATCATAATTACTAATAATAAGATGTATTGCATTTTGTTTAATTTACGAAATTAGAATTAGAATGTAATTTTGAAAATTTCGTGTTCATATTATACTGATTCTCAGTGAAAATAAATTATTGTATAAAAGTTAATCTATTATATGCAGTACAGTATGGAAATTCCTTATAAGAAAATATTTATATATGTTTTAACATTTGTTGCTTATGCTTATACTGGTGTAGGCTCTAATATGTTGCGGAATTTGAAAGATGCAGTATTATCGGCTGAATCTGTATTTGGTGATATGCTCCAGAATGTAATTACTGTAGCAGAAAAGTTCCGGTCTTTACACGAAGTATTTGACGCGGCCGTAGAAGAAGAATGCATATATTCCTGCCCAGAAGGTAGCTCATAACTTATTCATACTAAATTCTTTTATATGACTTTGAGACTGTATTTATTTCAAATAATAGGGAAAATCTAGTTCCATATTATCATAATTCTAATTGTTTTCTTCAAAATTCTGTACTTTATTAATTTTATCATTTTTTTCTGTGAGTATATGTTTTTTTTCTGCTCTAAATTATACATAGTGACATTATACATGTATGGTTACCTTACTATTTATTCAAACAATAATGAAGTGTTTTCTATATAATTATTTTCTTTTGTGTTAATGCTCTAATCTTTTTAATGTTTTGTATTTCAGATGGGAAACCAGTTCGTAACAAAAACCACATACCTAAATCTGATGGATGTGGTTCCTTAGGTTTTGAAATATCTACAGAATATTTGCCACTAGAACTTATGACCAAGTGTTGTGATGCACATGATATTTGTTATGATACATGTAACAGTGGCAAAGAAGTATGTGACTTAGAATTCAAGAGATGCCTATATAATTACTGTGATACATATAAATCTGTAAATATAGCTGGTGATACATTATCAAAAGGTAACTTGTAGCTTCACCATGGTTTGTTAACTGGAAATTATTTCTGTTTTTCTTACTAGTCATATTCAATAAATACACTAAATTACAAATTTCTTAGTAATTGGTTATGTTGTTATAAGCTAACAAATAAATAAACTTACTTTTATATTTATAATATTGGTAAGGATAGATTCAGTTGAGGTTACTGCATCTATTGCATTTTTCATTGTAGTATATATATTTTTTTTTTACAACAGGGGGCAAACGAGCATGCAGCTCACCTGATGGTAAGTGACTACCGCCGCCCATGGTCACCCACAACACCTACGGCATTGCAGGTGAGCTGCCGGCCTTTTAAAAAGGAATATGTTCTTGAAGGTTATGTTGTCGTATCGTATATTAATGATTCCAAAGAGTTTTTAAATAAAAACGCTTAATTTATGTTTTTTAAATATTATGTTAAAATGAAGCATAAACACTGATAGAATCCTGGCAGTTATCACCTAATCAGTAATTTAAAAATAAATGTAACATTCCACAAAGTGCTAACAACAGATCTATTTATTTTTATGTTATAGGTTGTAAAGGAGCTGCTAAATTATTGTTTACTGGCACATTAACACTTGGTTGCAAGTCATATCTAGATGCACAGAAAAATGCCTGCTACTGCCCACCAGGGAAAAAGAATAGAAGATATCCAGGGAATGGAGAGTTATAACAATTTCTTATATCTGCAACTATAATTATTTTACTTGTAAGTTTGCAAAAGAAAACATGTAAGCTCACATGGAGATGTAGTGGTATTTTTGGATAAGCAGTGAAGGAAACTAATTGATCAGTGTTATATATGATAAAGAACTGCTTTAATATTTTGTTTTTATTTTCTTTTTTTTATAATTTTTATACCTTGTTTATAAGATCAAGAAAAAAGATCCTGGAATATATGTCAACATAAGATAGATTTTTAAGATGGGGCAGTAAGTGCAAGCACCTTAACTGTTGCTAAATAATAATAACACACATGTGCATGTTTAGTTAGTATGTTAGGTAGGCAAAAAATAAAATTTATTGCCATATGTGACATAGTTTTTAGCATTTTTTGTGTTCTAACGTCTTGGATTTTATAAGAAGTTCAATTGGAATCAATTTCTCCTTACTGTGTACTTAAGTATACAGTAAGCAAAATTTACATTTACAGATCTTGAGATCTGTAAATGCCAATTGAAATATCCTCCAGTCTCGTATGAATATTCTTTTATAATTACTACAGTTAAGGTATTTGTTCTTATCTACTTTGTGGTAGTAACATTTGTTGATATGTCTTATATCAACAGATATTATACATACTTAATAGAATCTCATAATGGAATTCAAAGCAAATGTATTGTCACTAGTTTATTATTAATAATTTGTTTTTACTATGGCTATGTTGTTTATGATTGTGATATTTAATAAGTTATAAGGGTAAAAACTATGTACTTTGATTTTTGTTTAGATGAAAAAACAAATTGTGGTTTGCATATTAATTTATTTTCCAGATAGGTTCCTTTATATTTTGTAGTTCAAGTAAGTTAAGGCTTACATTATGTACATACATGTCTTTATTTAAATAGGCCAAAGAGAAATTTTATGCATGATATATAAGTTATATGACATGGTTCTCAACTATGAAGGGAAATAGAAGCCTGATTCTTATATTGGTTTAGTTTTATTTTTAGCAAAAATTACATCTTACTTATCCCCTTGGAGTTATATCTTAACATAAATTATTTATTAGCTTAATTTAGATTATAAGGCCATTTGGAAATCTTACACCTGCAGTCTAATTGTCATGTACATTATAATATTTAAGATGACAATTCATGCAAATATCTGTGCAAGTTTTCCTAATAAAGATATAGATAGGCCTTGAATATACAAACTAATCCTAAGTGGACGCACAATCAAAATACATATGTGATTTATAACTCCATATGTTGAGCATATAAAAATAATTCATTAAAATGTAAATAAATGCATGTAAAAATATTTTATGATTAATTTTCAATCCTAGGATATATCTTGATTAGCTTTCACAATATATTAATGTGAGTGTTTCCATTAGATGCTGTGGTGAATTTCTGGTCACAAAAGGTATTCTATGTTAACAGTTCTTTGATTTCATCTTTTTCGGCCGCTTCAATGTATGGTGTACCATCTGGAGTTTTTCCACTTTTAGAAGCACCCTGTAAATATATTAATAAATTTATTTTCTGGATAAATATATAAGAAAAAAATATTTTAATTAAATTACTATTAAAAAGATATTATATAATTTCTAGTACTAACATTCTTAAGTAATGTTTTCACACAGTCAGTATGACCTTCCCAAATTGCAGCCAAAAGGACAGATATACCATGTTTATCTATCATCTGAAACAATATTTAAATCTTTTATTATATAAGTAATTAAAAAATCAGTTAAGCCATAACATAGGCAATTCATAAGGTATGTTCCAAATCTCCAATAAAAACAATGTATAATTATTAGTATTTATATTCATTATTCATATTGTTTACATTATACATATACATTAATATTGTTAAGAAAGACATATTTTTCATTGTTATTATAATTAGTGTTCAAAAATATACAAATGAATATATTATACTCACATTAGGATCTGCACCTTTATCCAATAAATAATTCAGAACAGTTGTTTGTCCATAGTCAGCAGCATAATGGAGTGGTACTCTACCATCTATGAGAGCATTAACATCAATTTTCTGAAAAAAAAATATATATATATATAAATAGATACCTATATACTATTGTTATATATTATTGTGGTTATAGAATAAAAATTGTGGATAATTCCAGAAATGACTATGTAATTATTATTGTAAGAGGTATACTGTATGTTTGAAATAGTGTGCTTTAGTGATTCATTACAATTTTTTTTTTGTTCAATATTGTATTCAATAAAACCAATGATCAATGAAACAAATTGACTTCGAAACACTAATCCAATAATCTTTAACAAATTACCCTACGAATGAACGGCATTCTTAGCTTTCTCTTGCCGACAACAGTGCAATTTCCCTATAATCGCAAGCAACTTGTTTACAAGATATACATTAGCAGAGACTGATTTACCTTATTTTCGATGATATCTTTTACTTGATCTATATCGCCATTTTTAATTCCCCAAACTAATTCGCTCATTGTTAGGTACTTAATAATTCGCAACCATTCAATTCTTTACAACGAAGTGCAATTCACTGCAAGTAATGGAAACGGATGGCGTTGTGACAAACAACTGACTTGTGATTATGACGTGATTTTTGACAATATTGACATTCTTATTTGACATATAAAGTTTAGTTTGACAAAACTATCACGAACTCTAAGAATAAGGAATTACATAGAAGGAATGATAAAATAAAAACGTTAAATCATAAGGTTGCCACCTTACTTCTTATGCAAATATATTTAGTAAAAAGAGGACGAAAGATACACTATTACTTCTATTTTGGTTAATTCATAACAGGCTAGTGTATAGAAAATATACGGTCGTATAACACTATTAAATTCAGATACAACCTGATTGCATACTTTCTATATAAACTGTGTCGAATATATAGTGTAGTAATGTAAAATTGTCATTGATAAATAGTTGGCATGTTACTTTCAAATATATATTATTATACAACTACAATATAATCACAGAAATACAACTATATACTATCAAAAAGAGTCATGATCTATTGATTAGACTTATTTTTTATTTTTTTATACAACTTAGAGTAGTAAACAAGCTGACGGCCCACCTGATGGAAAGTGGTAACTGTCGCCTATAGACATAAGCAGTACCATGGAAATAACAGAGTAACATGATACCCTCCATGTTCCTGAGGACTCAGGTGTTATTACTGTTTAAATTCACGCCATATTCATCAAACCGAAACACAGCCATTCAAACACAACTGTTTTACGGTTGAAACACGAATGGGACAGTTGCCAAACATTTTTTATAGATTAGCCTATGAATTGAAAAAATAGGAACCGATGGTGTATCTTTGATCATCTTTTTACTAATTATATTTGCATAAGAAGAAAGGAGGCAACTGTATGATTTACAGTTTTTATTTTATCATTCCTTTTATGTAATTCTTGTTTCTTAGGAAAAACCACTTTTGGTTACCATAAACGCTTTTTAATGTTTAATGGAATGTTATTATTAGAGAACTAGAAATGTTACTATATATTAACAAATTTATTTAAGTTGTTCCTTTGATGTTTTTTATGGTATCGTAGATAGCTACTATCATTAATTTATAATAGGTACATAAAGGAACTGTCACATAAAAAAAAAAGAAACGCAGTACTATTCTTATTCTATGGCTATCATAGGCACATGACCCAAATAAAAGATTTAGCGCGGAAGAGAGTCCAATTACATTCTTATTCTATGAGTACATGCGACTAAACCGACGTTGACAGTGACTATTGTCATTCTCGATGATAACGGTGAGGAAGGAATTGTTTTTTGAAAATAACGAATAATGAGTATTCGGTGATAGGAAATATAACTTTATTTAAATTCAATTTCATTATTATGAATTTATTTATATCTACAAATGAAAAATCAAACTTTTTAAGTGTCTATCATCGAAATATAACAATTAATTAACTTTTCTGTGGTTGTAAATAAATGAATACGATAGAAAACTATTATTTTTCTAAATTTTCAGTATTACAAACTAGTATCAAATTAAATAAAATGGAGAGTTCTGACTTAGAATTATTGGAATTCTTACCTATGCCGCTGGATCCTCGCTTTGCTGTGAAACATATTGTGGTATAATTGAGTTAATGATTTGTGCAAGTAAATTCAGAGATTTTGTAAATCCTAATTTGTTTTCCAAAGCATTTCTAATAAAAACAAAAATTGGGATTAAAATGACAGTCCTTTTTTATTCCAATTTCTGTTTTTAAACATATCCATTTTTGTAATGTTGCAGGGAATTCTATTAACCAAATTTCGTCCAATAAGTTTACGAATTCATAAGAAAATACTATCATTTGATAATGATTTAGAGGATGATAATATTAACAGGATTCAAGATATGGTTGCCTTGTGTACAAGCCAAATAAAAAAAAATGTTCTGAATTTGATGGACATATTTAAAGTAGAACATTGTCAACAGCTATCCCTTCAGGTTAGTATTTAAATGGAACTGTGATAATGATGAAATTAAATTTTATGAGTTGTTTTTATTTATTTATTTGAAATAGGCATGGCAACAGTATAAATATTATACATAACATTTTTTGTATAGCATGCTGATATACATACATATGATTATATGCATATTAAAGATAGAATATAATTGGATAAATTAAATTTACAATAAATACATATTATTATATGATGACTATGTCACAAGACAAACTGAGAACAGATAATATGATAATAAAAGCATGAATAATTGAAATCTTATATATTAATTTATTGTGCATGAAAGAAACAATGTAATCAATTTTATCTATTTGTTAATAGTTGTGGAGTGTATCATTTATGTGAAATTCTACTATCAGTAATTATGGGCTATTAAATAAATAAAAAATAATAAGATTTAAATATAAAGCAAGACTATCAAATCTACAAGGTCTTCAGAACTTTACTGTGAAACACAACCAATAAGCCATGGGTTATACCCATATCTGGATTTAAACATATCTTTATATTTATTCCATATTGTCACAAGTGGATCACTTAATCCTAAGTTAGTTGTTATTCAGTTAAAGATCATCACTTATCTAAAGAGTTTTAACTCTATTTTTTATATTAACTGCTTGTTGCCTACGAAAATGTATAAAAAGTTATGCATAGATTGTAGCTGAAAACTTTTTAGAATATGACCCACATTAGGTTTGCAATTTAATGGTGCCCATTAATTTAGTTTTGGAAATATTCATTTTTCTATCAGTAATTTATACACTCTTACAAACAAACAGCAGAAACTACAATTATCCCTAATTTTTGTTTTATTATAAAATAAATTTCAGGGTGAGTATGTTGGGAAACTGTAAAGCTCATGCAATTGATGTAATAAATAAATAAAATAAATTATTATTTTGTTGTAGATTAAAATTTTGTATTAAAATATGTAATTTTTAAGGCTGGCAATGCAGAGGCATCTCCTCTGGTATTCTTAATGTTTATGGACTATGAACTGCATGCTCTTTTATGATCCTTGCACATAAAAAAATTATGATATTCAATTGTTATGTTTAAAAATCTTACAGGAAAGTCGCCAATTCACTATTGAAAGGTTAACATGGTGCATGAATAGACTGCTATTAATTGAACAACAGTTGTCATCTAATGTTACAACCAATGATGAGAATAATGAATCTGTCTTCATTATACCAATGCATTTTGTTAATTGGATTGACTATACATTTGAAACACTTGCTAAGCTTTCCGAAACTATTTACAGGACTGATTATAAAAAGACTGAAAACATTTATCAACAATGGAAAGATGATGTAAGATAATTTGTTTCAATTTTTAATTTAAATAATACTTTATTATATTGACATATTTATTTTTTTTTCTTAGATGGAGCAAACTTTTGGTATCTGGGATTGATAAAGAACATAAAAATATAAATAAAAACATTTATTTTCTATATTTTCATACTAAAATACTAATCTAATATTCTATTGGATACAGATAGTAAGTAATGTACAATCAACATAATAAGTAGCATTGTTAATTTCCTTTTCAGGTGGTTGACTCTGTGACTGTGTTGTATAAATGTATTGATGAACTCTTACTTTCTGCTATGACATTATGCAGACATTGTATTACTTCTGATCAATATATCGTAAAAGCAAGATGTCAAGTGGTAGGTTTACTATAATTTTTGTATTTAATATAAAGTTGTTTTCTTACAACATTTAATCGTAAAGTTAGTTGCTGTTATTATAATTGTATATACAAATACAATTCATGCTATCAAACTAGATTATTAAAAATCCAGGTTTCTTTTCATGGTGGACTTAGATCAAGCAAGTATCTCTAAAGGCTCATTACTCATATAAGTTTACTGTTGATATACTAAGAGAATTCTGCATAATGGAGTTCTGAACTTCTGAGTACATGTATTGGTCTTCAGTCTAATCCTCTGGTTCTATATTTTAGCTATTGCTCCTGTTGTTTTTTTGGTTCCAGGTTCTAAGAGAAACAAAAGCATTATTTAGTGAGCTTGTGGAGGAAACACCCAGTGAAACATTCAAAGTCACTCCAGACACATTAAAAACACAAATTAAACCTTCCAATGTGAATGTTCTTATAGATGTATTGAAAGATGTTTTATATGTGTTAGAAACAAACACAAATACAGCATTATTGGCATTGTTAGTGTATTGCTTCAGTAATAGCAAAACACCTGTAGAAATATTAAGAGAACATTTCAATAAAAATACAAAAGGAGGTTGTTCTTGTACTCATAGTTTGGGAAACGTTTCAGATGAATGTTCTGTTATAAAGGAATTTGATTTGTACAATGAGAGGCTTATGCAAATTGGATTATTTGCCATCTCATGCTCATCTGATCAAAACAGTATGTTTTTTTAATATTATTCTAAAGTTCTATTGTAAAGTGTAAAGTTCTAATATATACTGTAATTACTGATAATATAATTATAAAAGTTTGTGAAAATAATAATTTATTTTCAGTATTTATATTTGGAATTTTACATATAAGTAATTCTTCAAAAGACAGTTCTCAAACTGTTACTTGAAATAAAATAAATATTATATACATTGAGCATTCATAACTTTTACTGAAGTGTTGCAATGTCGCTATTATATATCAATTTTCAAAAACAATTTAACATTTTGTAATGTTTCTGATTGTTTATTTAAAAAAGTTATGATCTAATGAACTGAAACCTACACAGTTCCTCATATGCAAAAGTTTCAAATTATTTAGTTAGCTATGGAAAGGGCTATACTCAGACTTTCTTTGTGTGACAGAATTTGAAATGAGAATAACTGCAAAAGAACAATTTACAAAGTTATTTACATAGCCCGTAGGATAAGCAAGCTGAAGTGGCAATGGACTGGTCACATAGCTTGGAGAACCAACAATGGGAGTTGGTGGATGCAGGTGACTCAGGCCCGTTCCTTATAGCAGTGTATGGGGTAGGCCTATGTCCAGCAGTGGACCGATAATGGTCAAAATGATTTAAAAAGTGCTCTGCTAGCAAACGAAAATTTTAATCATAGAAGATGTTTTATATTTAATCTACTATTAAAAGCTTTGCAGCTACTTCATATTTTTGTTTAAGAATATTTCAAGTACATTTTTGTCATCAAAATCCAAATTTTCAGTTCATATTTTTGTTTAAGAATGAATTTTAAAAATGATCATTGTTTTTGAAAAAGGACAAATTGTGACGTGGTCATACTTTGTTATGAACACTCTTAAGATAATTAATGTGTTTTCACTTATATGAATGTCTTTTCTTTAGGAATTTTAATTCTTCGTAGTGGTTTAGCAAGCTTAGAAGCTTTAGACCCACATCTAGTTCCAGCTGTAATGGTTTCTGCTAATTCCAACCATAGCATTATGTTGATGAGAATTTGGCAGCAAGAAGTACAGGAGATAAGAGATAATGTCTTTTTGATTGTGGATCCTGCTGCATTTACTGAGGTAATATATATTTTTGGTATAAATTTCTATCTATTTTTTGTCAGATTTCATCAGAATAAGACATGAAAGATTTTGTAGCAAATTGTCTGCATGGGTGTCTGTGTGTCAGTCTTTTTTCTGCCACCAATTGTGCGCAATATGACAGTGAGGTTATTATGAACTAATCAATACTTGAACTAATTAGTTGTAGTATTTATAATTTTGTAACATATGCTGTAGATCTAATTTTCTACTTTGTTTACAGAAATCAAAACAAATAATGCACCAAGTACTCTTAGAGTTAATAAAGGCAAACTGTTACATTAATAGTAAAGTATGCTCTATTATAAATATAGGTTGTACATTACATGAATTCTTTTCTGTTTACAATAAATATGAACCAAATGCTTTGATGCACCGTGAAGAGTTATTGCCTCTGTTGGCAGATCTGGAAAAAGGTATATTATTGTGATTATCTCTTTAAAATGTAAAACTTACTGTATTTATTATATGTACTGCACTGAGTATTATTATTTCTATTATTGTTGTCTTGTGATAGATTACACTGGCTGAAAAATGATTCATAATGAGTTTTAAATTAATAGTAATAATATTAAAAAAATTATAATTATGTTTAATTGTTTATTTTAGTACAAATGGAATGTAAAATCGTAAGCAATATTTTAAGTTCAGGCGACGATTTTATATATGAAATTAAAAAAAGTATACCCAATAAAGAACTATCTTTAGAGCAGCTGTTGAAGCGTTTAAAACTTCTATACACTATGGTCAATAGAATTAATGAATTACTTCATCCAAAAGAGAATGAGGATCAGTTATTCGCTGACGATTTTTGTGAATACGATCCACCAAGAAATAAAAATGTTACTCACTCAATACTGCCTATTAATACTAATACATATGTCAATTCTCCAAGAAAGCACAATAATTTAACTAGAAGTGTTTTTGCTAGAACTACAAATGTGCGATTATCGAGAAATAACTTTATATTATCGAAGTTGACGAAACATTTAAAAGATAAAACAGGATATCGGCGCGATGTATTAAGCTACTCGGCAAGACTGGATGAACTGTTAAATGAAGAAAATAATTGTAATGCAAATAATACCGAAAAAAATAAATTATTAAGTATTCGTGAACCGTCAGTACTATTTATGTCACCACTGAAGAGTAGATCATCACTACGAAGAGCAGTTTTAAACAGTCATTACAAATTGCAACATTTAAAAAAAACAGAAAACAAAACAAGCTTAGATAAATCGGTTACAGAGAAAGAAAATCTTTTTGATGAAACAACAAGTCTACAGATTACAGGTACTATGAGTGTTTTTTAACTGTTAACAAATTGTGGAGTTATGATACTGTTTTGTCACTTTAGATTTGCTTTGGGTCCTTTTTTTAAATTTAATCTTCTATATTAAAATAGCCTGTCCAATTTTTAAATTAGTATTGTGTGCTAAAAATGTCGCCGTGTGGTCCCGGTATAGATTAGGCCATCTCATCCTTTCTGAAGGGTGTCATAAGAGGCTACTAAGGAACCTTTTAACGTTAACTTTTTTTACAGATGTTTTGAATGAAATAAATGATTTAACGAATGTTCTGTCAACAACTAAAGACATATGTAAGAAGAGAGCTACGAGTAATATTGAATATAACAATGAGAAAAGTATCCTAACTTTAAAAGTAAATGAACAAAATACGGCTACTTCTAAATATATATGGAATATTCCGGTAAATAGTAATATTGAGGAAAGATCATTAGACGAGAATGAAATGATTTCAAACGTATCAAATTTGACACAACCTTCAGATGTTACTACTCCAGAGAGAATAAGCGACTTGGATCTTGTTGAAAGTAAACTAAATAGCTTAAAATGTATGCAATTTGAAACTAGTTTGTAAATACGTAATTAGTCAGAATATATTAATTTTATAACAGAGTAAAAATAAATATACTACTATTTGTGTATGTAGTTTTGGAATTATTTATTGGTCTTTATTATCTGAAATAACATAGATAATGACCCACCTAGTGTTATGTCATTGCATTCTGTAATTTAATTTCTAACTTTCACTGAAATTATTTCAGCCATTAATTAAAAGAGAATTATGAATTCCTAAGCAACGATTCGAATATCTCATTTTAGAAAGTGTATCCCTTGTATTGTTATTCACATACTTGTCTGATCATTTATCAATATGTCCGATGTTAATATGCAGACGTTTTTGCCTTGCGCGGACGTATTTTGCATTGTGTAATCATTACGTTGTTCATGTAGTCTAATACATAGTTATTGGAAGTAGTGTTTATTCTGTTGATGAGCATTATAGTTATTTTTCCAGGTACGTTAACATTTTTAGGGTTCCGTTGTGAATCGTTGAAACTCTATACTTTGGAAAGTAGCTTTTTTTACGTCTAATAACCTTAGAGATATTTTATGTAAATTTTTTAGAATTATGATATTTTGTATGGGATAGAGTCTGCTATAGATAACAGCAATATTTTTATATGATAACCAGCTGATCCGGCACATCCTGTTTTTTAAAATAAGTGAAAATGGCATTGTAACGCCTCCGCTATCAGTGTACATTGGCTGGGTAACAGTGAGAGGTGAGGATGAAAAGACAGGTCAGTTAGCCCATCGTGACGAATTCAACGATAAATTAATAACAATGGTTTCCAGGGGAAACCGCATGGAGGCTAACCTGATAAGGTATATTGATAGCAATGGTGACTAACCTCCCCATTACTAACAATCTCTTCCCCCCAAATATACTATTTTACCCCCTACTTCTCCACAACCTGAGCGTTTCCAGAAAGAAAATACATTGAAACCGCATTCTAGATGATAATTTATTCGCTAGAAACCGAGTGAGGATGAATGAAAAATTACGGAGCGGCAGAAATTGAGGTTATTCAGCGTGAATGAACATGTTGTAAGTCTGTTACTTAGCCTCTCATTTGGGCCGTTGTGCGTTGACAACTTTGTTTTTGATTTGTTGTTCACGGTTTATTATCATATAGAAAGTCTGCTGAAAATGGCGAACCTTAAGCCATAAAACCAACAGAAATTCCAAAATTACTAAATATCTATCATTAAGGTAGACGAACTATAAAAAATTCCATCAGGTTGAAGTGGTACAGAAAATAAGTTCTTGAACATAGTTTCGGTTTCGGCCTTAGTTGTTTGAAAAATTTTTGCCAAAGTCAGAACTAAACTAAATGTTTGGAACATTTGGCTGAAACTGGCGGAAATTAAAAAAATCAGTCGGACAATAACTAGAATACCATACGTGTACCTACCTAATGAAAAACTAGACATTGAACATCAGAGGCCATAACCCCAAATATTCATAACAGAGATTCTATTCAATCTATTTCAAAATAGATAGGACCAAAGTGTTAAAAATCATAATGGAAAAATCAATGTATGCCGTCTTACTACAAGCACAACAGTTTACAATTATTCCAGGAAGTCTAAACTGTTTATGATTCTAAATTACAAATTACTATTAATAACGCTTAAAATTAAGTTTACTTGAATAAACATTACCTATCTTTATTCTATTCTATAGATACGAGTGACTGGAGATATTTTTTCACGACAGTTTAGTGGTCAATGAGAAGCTAAAACACCTAATAATGAGAATCAAACATCAGAATGAATATGTTACTCGGTTATAGAATTAACGGTTCATAATAGATTATTAGTGGCCCGCCTACGGTATTGGTATACGCTGGTGGGGCTTCAATGAGATATGATATGTGAGGATAAATATGAAGTTAGGCCAATTGGCGAATTGTGACAAAACCTCTGGGAATTTACGACAACAATTTTCAGAGGATTTCGAGTGGAGGTCGACCTAAGTATATTGCTAATAATGAGGCTGTTAGGTCCCATTGTAAATAATAGTCTCCCCCCACTGCCGGTCATAGAGTACATGGTACAGATGTAGTTATTAATTTTATTCGTAACATCGATTGCGTGTCAATAAAGTTACCTTAATTGCTGATCGTAAAAACGTAGTGTCGCACTGAACGTTTCATTAGCACATTTTCTATTTAAGTTCCTACCTATATATACTGAATAAATGAAATGGTATAAATAACTTACTCGGTTTCTGTCACAGACTATGCTTGGTTAGCAGAACTGATTTTAAAATGTATTTTTACATAAACATTTGTGTATTGGCGAGTTTGGTGAGAGAAATACTATTTTTTATTTACAATATATTATTTAAGTTTTTATTATGCAATTATAATTTATAATTATTTTTCAGATAGTTTCGGATATTGTTTCAACAGAAAATATCAACGATAACATTAGCTTTAATAGAACATCCAAAACAGACAACGAAGAAAGGATACCAACAGGTTTAGTAAGATTGATTGTAACCACAATGGAGAAGTCTTTAAACAAAACAGAGGACAGTGAAGCGCGAGCTATTTATTGGTATCCCACCCCTTGCAGTTTCAGGGCTGAGGTAATTGGCACAAGATTTATTAAAATTTTATTTAAAATTAAAACGATAATATAATACATATACCTTTTCGAAAGAAAAATAATTAGGTAGAGAATTTTGTACTTTTATAAACAAGTGCAGGTAATTGGTTCTCGTTTAGTGTAATAAATATTGTTGGGGTCATGCTATTAATGAATAATGATGGTCGTATTTCTAGTAGTGTAAGCACGATCACCACGTCCCCTTCTGGATACAATAGCGGTGAATTCTTAGTAAATTCATCACAATGGGCCAATTGCAGGTCAATTGGCCTTCATTATTACTTGTCATCATTCGATGGCGGTATCATCGTATAATAATAAGGCAGGCGGAATTACTATTATTATTTATACCTGGAATATATTTTTTCAGGGAGGGTATACCTGCTACAGTTGCAGAGAATCTCTTCACTGCTTGCCAGGTAATGCTGGCCTCTTGGCCTTCTGCTATGGTCGTAGACCATACTGTAGTAATGGAGTGTGTTCTGAAGTTAGCGGGGAAAAGTGCCAAGACACCCACATAGCGAATACTACTATCGAGGCTTATGATGACGTGGTTACACAGCCAACAAAAGTAGATGCAGTAGCATAAATGCTGACTTATATGTATCAAAATAATTTTAATTTAATTTTATAAGTATTATGACACTTAAATATATTCATATGTATATATATTTATATTTTTTTATTGACGTTACACACCTTAAGTAGTAATAAAAAAAAAATCAAATTTCGAATACACGATGAAAGCAACAAAGTACTACTTACGTGTAGTAGGTTTACAATTACTAGCCAAAAAGTGAATGTATGAATGTAAATGAGTCTACTCGTGTTACATAGTAGTCACGAATATGTCTACTTATTCCTGTTTTTTCATGAATGAAAATAGATTGGTAATCTTGTTTGCATTACTGGTTTATGTGGGTGGGGAATGAAGGTAAAAGGTACCAGTGAGGAATAAAGTCAAATCATTAGTTCATCGTGACAAATTCACCAGAAATAACTACATTGAATTCTAGAGGAACCAACGGACGTCGACTTGAAAGGGTAAATTGCTAGTATTGAAATTATTATGGTAAACACTTTTACGAAATCTGAACTTGTCATTATATTTTATTTTTTCACATTGAATCTTTTACTAAATTGGAAATTTTTATGATGTGATCTAGTTTTATTCGTAGACACTTAAGTGATGTTAACATTTTTATTTAATTTTAGACATTTTTGATTATGTAATATTCGTATAAGTTATTTAGATGTTTTATTTGCAGCTTAGGACCGCTAAAATCAAATAAAGAATTTGATAAGGGTCAAGATATTAGCTCCAAAAATTTCAAAACCAACCGGTCTACATAAAATCACAGAAAAGGAATTTTCATTAAATACGAATAGTCGGAATCTTTGGTAGTCGCGGTGGTGGTCGGTTGAGATTTTTCTTGATTAATGTTGCGTACGGTAACCGAGGTACTTTAATTAGAAGGATTTTATTTATTTTTTTATGCAACTTAGAATGGCAAACAAGCTGATGGCATACCTGATGGAAAGTTTAACCGTCGTCTATAGTCATGAATAGTATCATGGACATAACAAAGTATACTGTTTCGCCCATGATACCCTCCATGCGTTGCCATTCCTGAGAATTAAGACGTTATTCCTCTGTACCCTGTACATTTACTGCCATATCCCACCCTTCTAACCGAAACATAGCCATGCAAAAACAATTGCTTTACGGTTGAAACACGAATGGAACAGATGTACCCAAGCAAATGACTTTTGTACAAAGTCTCCCCTTGGTAAAAGGTACTTTCTCAGGATAAAATATTGATTTAATACTAAAGAAAAAAATGTAAGTAATATTTTTTAATAATAATAATGAACATGTAGCATGTAAGATTGAAATCGACTGCGGGAAATGTTAGTGTAGGTTGGTTGATGTTTAGTTATATACAGGTAGGGCTATGTTGATTATGGCATTCACAATTATAACATATAGGGGATGAAAGTTTTTTAGATGAAAATTTCAACATATAGATATTTAGTTTACACCATTGTATTGTAAAACAATCATAGCACTATGGTAATGTTATTTTATTGCTGAAAGTGGGTTCTAGTTAGGGATGATAGATGAGGATGAAAACGGGTTTTTTAGCCCATCGTACTGAATTCAACAAGAATTAATCACGAAGGTATTCAGAGAAATCCGTATGAAGGTTGACTTGAAAGGGTATATTGCTTGCAACAGAGCTGTTAGATTCTTACTAGCAATTTCTTTCTCACACTATGATAGTGCTGCACAGTGATTTGTTTCTGCTTAAAGACTTCGTGATCGTGGGTATTCGTTAGAGGTGTCTGTTTTAGTATTTCATGGAATTGATAATTTATCAATCCCATTTTGAGTTATCCATATATTATATAATAAACTTAAATATAAATAAACTTGTAACCGCAGCAACAACAGCAAAGTAAAAAAAAAGTGCGACGTTACATTAAAAGTACCTTGTTGCTAAAATTTTGTGTAAATAAATAATATTATATATTAAATATATATATGATATTAAAATAGTTCCTTACTCTATCTCTAAACTAATCTCGATTAATCTAGAGGTAGTGGAAATACGTGTAGGACCTTTGCAGTATTTGTGGTTTAGTTGCTACGTTGCGCTGTTTCTAAGAGGAGGATTATATTGCGATTTAAACAGGATTAACATCAAAATATAGCATAGTGTAGTATATAAATATACTTATAAGATATAACAGAAATATATCTGATACAATCGAAAATTCAACCATTGCTACCTATTAGTAATTAGACGTACAAGGAACCAATTAATCAGAGATTAAAAACCGGCATTGAAAATCAAACATACGTACTAAATAATGCACTAATTTCTAATCATTCATTGCAAGAATTGGCGAAGATATTGCATAACATACATAAAAAATACAGATGAATCCAGAACTTTCTATTTTTGAAAATAGAAAATATATATATATATATATACGAGCGGAACATTACTTTCATGCCATTAGGATATTTCCTAAACTTTTAAGATTCTTTCCTTTGTATTCATATATTTTTCAGTTATTATATTATTTATGAATATAAATAATGAAATAGCCAACATTCATTGTGTAAGGTTTTCCAACTAGGAAAGTCAATATCAGTATTTATTGTTTTGAAATGGAAAACTACGCACGCACGAGAGCACCTCGGCATATCTATCGCTGTCTAGTTAGGTAGGTATCTATGAGTCATTTCCATTTTATGGTTTTTTTATGTAACAGCCAGTTTTCGTTCGTTAGGATTTGCCTATAGTGAAAACCTCAAAACATTCTTAATTTATGTACCGAATAACGAGAATTAAATCATTAAAAAATATTTAAAAGCTACCTAAACGATTTTATTGCATACATTTTACAGTACATTTATTATATTTTCAAGTATAATGAAAGAAAATACTTTATTTGCATTATACAATATAGAAAATAAGAAAGCCAATTAATAAATATAACGATACAATTGTATAAGTATAGGAAGACGGTCTTATTGCTGAAAGCAATCTTTTCAAGACAACCTTAGGGTAATGAACTAATTGTTGTACAAGTAGGTATGATAATACTGTATAATTAAGAAAATTAACAGCGTAAATACTTAGGAAAATAATTATAAGTACCCCTAACAAATTAAAAAAATAAAATGATTAACTATATACAATATATTATTTTATACATATATGTTGTATATGTACCTAATACTAGAACAAATATAAATAATTGTAGACACAAGGAAAACAAATTAACATAAAATAAATAACTATATGAATACATAAATAAAGAATGCCAATTTATCAAATGAAGAACCAATCAGATAGAGAGAAGATAATCTTTCACTTGTCGTTTGAGAGTATCAATGGATTTTGCTCTTCAATTTACAACAGGTAATGAATTCTATAACTGTATGATAGCATTGTTTTTCGAATGCTTTATTTAACAAAAGTTTCATAATACAATTTTAAGACCGTTGATCCAGTATATCCTTAGGGATGTTATTGAAAAATTTAATATCTATTTCTATAAAAGATTTATTAAGGTTGCCGTATTGATGGACAGAAGCACCCAATCAAACGATTTTTGTACAAAGTCTCCTTCTGATGGTTATCTATCAGTAATATGTATGTGTAATAATTTATCATGTGTGCAATTACAATTTTACTGTAATAACAGCGGACGACGAAATATCTCCATGTGAGATTCAAGAGAAAAAAAGGACGATTCACAATTGAGTAGATGTATGGTATTTTTTTCTATCGCATTTAGGTAGGTAAGTACTACAATTTTGGAAAAAATATTACCATGTCATATTATGAAGCGTAAACTGAAAAAGAGATTTATTTTAATGATTAAGGGACAGTAACGCGAGAGGTCTCGTGGCGACCAATCAGTAAGCCTTTGAGGCTCTCATGTGCATCGTTAGATTTGGATACCCTTTGACCTTTGCTTTGATTATAGCTACTTATATTCTTTGCTGATTTATTACTAATGACTATGTATTAAATATATCTATATGAGTATATAGCTTTAGATAATTGCAATAGAAGATAATTTAGGGATTCATTATATGATAAACATGAATCGTGAGTTTGGTTATTTTGTGATTAAATAATATTGAAATCGATTGAGAAATGACGATTATATAGTGTAATATTTCCACACAAAAGATACAATCAAATTGAGAATCCGTTAAGTACGTTTAGCCGCTAAAAAAGAGATTTATATAAGAAAATAAAAGGCCACACCGTGATCGACTATATATTATTTTGCGTATTATTATGCAAAGAGTGTGTACATTTACATGGATGACATGTTCCACGTACGTTGTTTGAGATTTAGAGAAAATATTTGTATTGTAATAAGACGTACATTATTGGTATTTATTGTGATATATCTTCATATCAAAGTACGTTAATAATATTTACAGTAGACAATATCTACAATTTTTTATCGTTCAGGTTTGATATATGAAATGGGATTTTATCCTTTTTTGCAAATTGTTTTATAATCTGATATTTGTCATGAATATTTACTGTTTGTATTTTTATAATATTACTTATGCACATTTAAAATTAAGAAATAAGATATAATTTAATAGATCCTGTTAATGTAACTTATCTTACTAATATAATAAATATGAATATTTATACAAATGTTAGAATATATATTTGTTATTGAATCATGCTTAAAAAGTTGAATTATTTGACAGAAGTTTTATACTTAGAACGACTGTTTAATATTTGTAAAAAATAATGTTTATTATTAAATTAGTTACATTTATAGGGCGTGTTTAAATTATACTTGGCATGTATTTGGTTTCAGTTATTATTGTTTTAGGTTATTTGGAGCACTTGGAATGAACTTTACAATTATCATTCCGTCCTTTCAGTATATACATATGTTAATATAATATTGAAAGTAATTTGTCAAGAGTAAACGCTATCTGCCAGTCAGTTATTGCTCTTTAGGACCTGGGTATACGGCTCAACCGTTTTACTGTATTTAATTTAAAAATTGACCTGTGACCTTAAGGACATATCAATTAAAGTGCATACGTTTTGTATGTATCTAGACATCCCCTGTGACGTAGTACGCATGCGTGGACCCGTAACTCTGCTATATAAGAATTATCGCACCCTTCCAACCATCATTCCCGCCAAGACTCCAAACCGAATAAATCGAAACAGGGAAGTCAAGTTCGCAAAGTTGGGAGATACTTTTGTAACTTTTGAAAGTGCGCTGTAGCTGTGAATTTGCGGTTCGGAGTAAGTAAAATTATTGCAAATTAATGAGAAAGACTAGATACTATTGTATTTTGGGTACATTATAATTTATTTAATATATCTTAGAACAATTTAACCTATTCTTCTAATAAAAAATGCTGTTATAGTTTGGTTTTTAGGTAGTTAGTGACACCGATTTATTGTGTTTGACTGAGAGAGATAAATTTTACTCGCTAAATTGAAACATAATTAAAATGTGCAATTTATGCATCTACATATTAACTTATTTTATGCAGGTAATTTTAGGTAATATTTTGAATTTCTAAAAATATAATTATTAATTTAAGATTATGTTCATATAATAGAATAAGTATTGAATCGTGTTTAAATGGAATGAAATCAACACGGGAAAACCCTTTTAATAATTATATATATACATATACAAAGAAATCATTATCGGTTGATTATTCGCCACTTGTTTGCGTATAATTGGAAGTTTAAATATTTATTTTGTGATAATAATTGTTGGTAATAAATGAAATATCAGTATTACACGTTTCTAGTGCATAGGAAAATAATTATCTCAAGGCACCTCATTTCAGGGTTGAAGGAAATTATTTATCTATATCAAATTGTGTCATAATGAAATTTTAGATTTTTTTTTTAAATAAATCAGTTCAGTTCAACACCTAACAAAGATAAAAAAAAAAGATATTAAATGTCTAATTTCGATCCTATCCAGCATTCTATAACTGTATCAGTGTTAAATAAGTGACTAACCAGTATATATATTTAACAAATTTAATTGGAAGATGGCATGAGGCCTTTTCTAGGTTTGTAAAATTCAAATAGACTCGACGAAGTAGAAATAAATGTTACAGTTACAGATCATTTGGAATATAATTGTCCAAGCGTATAACAAGCGTATAACAAGCGTATAACTGTCCTTCTTTTGATTACGAATTGTGAACTTATCAACCGACTTAAAAAGAAATTTCTCAATTCGATCATATTTTTTTTATGTTTGTTGTCATAACTCCGAAAGGATATACTTACAGATTAGTTTCGTATGAATTTTATCAAAATCGATTTAGTAGTTTAGTTTTCAGATCAGAATAACTAGTTTTGTCACAATTGATTTCAGTTTCTTTTTATGGGATTCTTATACGTACAAAGGATATAGGAATACAGTCTTATTATGAAATCTATAAAAAGTTGATGTAGATATGTATGTAAGCAGCAAATGAGTATAGTTTTATCTCAATAATAATTAATAGGACCATTTAATTATTTATCTCTGTAAATGAATGGATTACATTCATAATTATTATAGACATGTTTATTTGTATACAATGCCCTATCCCATCACATGCCCCCTTGGTTGTATAATCTCGGATTGTATTTAAACATAGTGTGAAAAGCACACAGTGAGTCGACATAGTGCAGCAATCGTTAAGAATATAATATTCTCTTTTCGGTTGATTGATTTCATGGGCCATGTTGTCTGTGTTCGCTTAGGAGTGGTTACATGTCGTGCTATATTAAAAAAAATATACTATAAAAAATATCAATCAGATATTCCATCTGTGTTTCTGCTGTGAAATAGCTGTTCTTGTATGGTATTTGAAGGGTTATGGTATGTTGTATTTGAAGGGTGGAAATTACAGGGTACGGAGGCATAATATCATAGTTCTCAGGAGTTCCTGAGATAATATCATTGTGACGCATGATTGATGATCACGGTATATTACTGTATTGGTACTGTTCATGGCGGTTAATTTGTTTGCCATTATAAGTGTCATAAAAATCATAATTAATGCAGAGTGCGGAATTATTGCAGTTTTGTCTGTGCGGACTTTAGGTGGAATTTAGAAGATTGAAAACATTTAGGGGGTTCAAAACTTAACAACCACTTATTTTAATGTTTATATCGCAGTATGCACAACAAACAATGAATAATTGTGCAGGTTTTATGATTACGAAGATTTTTATTCCAATAAACATGTACCCGCGGGAATTTCCATAAATAAAAATTAAATAGCCTATTTTTATTTGATCAGGGAGCTTTTTATTAAGATGTTCTTTTAAGACTTTGCGCGACTTTTGCTTTTAAAAAATGCGCGGACTTTATCCAAAAATATTTTAAAATCAATTCATACTTTTAAATGAAATTAAATTTTTATACATTTAACATTTAAAAAAGAATAAATCTCTTAAAACCTCTTCGTCATCATCATTATCATCATCTGGTCAGATCTTAATCGTTCACTGCTGAACATAGGCCAGACCCTATTGGGGGGTTTTACTAGTAGGCAGGCGGGTTGGCAATAGCAGTTAGGCTTTGGTGATGATTTAAGGGGAACGTTACTGCCTACTCCTCGACCATTAAGTTTCCTTAGTCGCCTCTTACGACACCTACGGGAAAAAAGGGGTAGCCCATTCTATGCTGGAACTACACGGCATACCCTTATATTTTAGTGAATTTTCTTCCAAAATTTTTAAAACATTTATTATTCATTTTAATGCCAGAAATTTAAATACGAATTTTTATTTTTCCATCGAGTTTAAAATTAATTGAGTCGCCTGTTAGGGAGTCATCTACCAATGAATAATAATAATAATTGATGTAATTGTCCCTTTTTAGTTCAACTTTAAAAGAATTTCATGCAATCCGAAAATAGCTTCAACATTATTTAAAAAATAATCGGATCGGGATTACTTATTGTGCAGGTACTAAAAATATCCATTTACCGACTGGAGTCTTTACAATCGTATCAGTGCTATATGTATATGCTTATTTGTTGCTTATCTATTGCATTAGAGGATTACTTCTCGTATAAACCCATCTTTCACGATTGTATGAAAAGGAAATATCTACAGCACGTAAAATATGAACGGCGAAGAAAAAGGATGGAAGAAAGAGGGGAAAGGATGGATGAAAGAGGGAAATTGGCATGGAATCCGGATGTTTGATCGGAAATAATGACGTAGAGATATCTAAAAATAGAGTTAAACACCTGTATGGAAAACCCTGTTTTATGGCGTCATTGCTGAAATTGAGTTTGTATGCTTATATAAAATGCATTATATATACATTTCGGTAGATGGAGTTACAAGTGTTAGAAAACGGTCAGCTTTCATAACTTGACGTGAGTTTTTCATATTATAGATAAAATATTTAATTTCTTATAAGGATACATAAAATTTTGAAAGCTTTTTATGATAAAACTTATTAATACAATAACTAACAAGATTGATACATTTTTAAAAGCACGTCATTTAAAAATAAGCTATTGTCTATAAGCATTAAAATAAGGGAACATTCTATTTAAATTTTATTTAACTAGTTCAAAATAATCCTTATTCTTAGGTCTAGATAAATTGAAAGGATAAATTAACCTGCAGAGCATATATATGACAGCATATGAAGGAAAGGTTACACCGTAAGAATAGTGGGCTATCTTATGGTTATCATCATAATCTCAGTCTACCTATATCTATTCGTGGCTGAACATAAGCCTTTTTCCATTGCTTTGAAATATGTGTGTTTCTTTGCTTTTTGTATATGGATACAGAAATTAGGGTAGCGGATGGTCGCTTCCCATTGTCCATCTAGAAAGAAAATTATCCGTTATAAAGTATGCGGCCTTTACTTCAAGAATTTCCCCACCTGTCATGATTCGGTCGATATGTCGCTTCTCAGATTTTAGTTCGGCCACTTTAGCTGACAAATTTCAAGAACTGAAGTAGTATGTCAACGACTTTAGTTTTCTGTCAAATTTATTTGTTCCGGATCATATCCTTCAAAGAATTATGGTTATATTGTGAAGCCGAAATGCGGCAACAGTAGTATTTGTTAAACTTAACAACTTTCCCTAAGGAATATGGAAATATGAAAGTACTTTTTGATATGATAAACCCGTTCGGTTTCTATGAAATAATGGTTATAAGATTAGATATACGACGTCGATTTAGTATAATATGTTTAAAAATTATTTCCTGGAATATAGTTTATACTGACATTTCATAGTATTTAGCCTCACAATTAGGCCCTTGTGTGAGTTAATACAACAAATATAGACTGTTTTGAAATGTCATAAGGTAGTTTTGGATTGGCGTAGGTCTCAGGAAGGGATGCTGGTGATATCAGGATCGGTGTTCGTTAATCGACCACGCTCTGGCACTCAATTAGTGCGTGAGTTGGTGTTTTTTTTAGATTCTATACATTCTAGTAAAGGAAAAATGTAAGGAAAGAAAAGAAGCAATCTCAATTGCAACTACTAGGTGCATGCTAAATTTCATGACGAAGGGTTAAGCTGTTAAAGCTGTGAAGTAAAAAACGCACACCGTTTATAAATAATTTTATCAATAGTTTTTTAAAAAAGTGTTCCGCTTTTCCCTGACAGTAGCTGTCACCTTGTATGAAAGTTCACTTATCGATTAATGTCTCAGTCAAAAATAAAGATATACGTATAATAATTTTTATTATACGGTTTCAATTTTAAAACTCAGTGTTCGTGTTCATTTTAGAAGAGAAATAAAATGGAGTGTACCATGTTTAAAAAACAAAAGAGAAATTGTTGATGAGCAAGTGTTACACCCGTGACGACTGAAACGTTTGGCGCCCTCATTTCTCTTTGATTCCGGTTTTTGAATCTACACGAAAATTTGTATTTTAAAAAAGCGTACTGTTATACGATGTGATTATAATAAAAATAATATAAGTATGATAACATTGTTTTTTTAATTCGTCATCTTAATAAAAATATTCTTTATAAGCTATAAAATATCTATCCTAATATAAAATCGGTGAATAGTTATTTCATTCAATAAAATAAAAAGTAGCAATTAAACCTGTAGGATTTTCTTCTCGTAAACATTCACAAAGTAAATGATCGAATTATTGTGAAAGTATAAAAAAAAATTCAAATAGCAATAAATCGAGGATGTAGTCTTTATAAACTATAAAATTTTATGATTCTAAGTATATTATTAGTAGGATCAGTAGGATTTTGTTTCTGTCTTTTTTTATATTCCACGGGCAAAGTTGTTCGGTTTCATAATTGATACTGTAGATTCTTTTTTCTCTATACAGTTACAAGTAGAATTATGACGACTGACGGGTAACTGTTCACAAATTCAAAGTGAAACGGAGGTAGAATTTGCTGTTACTACGTTACATTAGACTCAATATGCTTATCAAAACGTAGTATCTAGTAGTAATATAGTAGTATATATAATGTTTTGTCATTATGTTGATAATAGCTATGAACATATTTATTTTCTTTTTTAATATTGTATCCCATAAATCCAATAAAATAATAATAGGCAAATTAATGTAAAAGTTTGAGGAAGAAGAATATGTAAACAAATGTATATATAACTCAGACGTTTGTTTGCTTTATTTTGTATATAAGACTGAACAGATTTAAATTAAGTTTCGCACACAGATACAAACTTTTACCCTGGTGATGTATTCTTGTGAGTTAATTAACAGTTGAAATTTACACATATTTGTTGTGGATTAAAGACAGCGTATCCTTATTAAAAATGTGAACTGTTTTATATCAATTTAGGATTTCGCTGTGTGAAAAGAAAATGGATATTTCAAAGTCGAAATTAATATTGTACTAACATGGGAGTACATTATATTGATTTAAAATAAAATTATTTAAAATAGGTTAGACGATACAAACGTGAAACATAGCTGTAAGAAATAAACACTAAATGAATAGAAAAAAATAGTCAAAACGTATCTGAACATGTCAATAATTTCTAGGAGAACTCGTATAATGCATTCAATATAAAGTAGAAAGCTTATGAGTGTCCCAGTTAGTCGTGGGTGCTTATATTATAACAGCATTGTAATATTCTCTTTTGATATACCAACACTGGGTCCCTTCATTTTCTTATAAATACATTGCGATAAATCTGCCCAGGCTTTACTCTATGACATTTCAATAAACATTGTAAAGCGAAGCTTGGGCGTAACAATAATGTCAATGTACTTATTAGGTAAGTAGGTACTCGGTAACTATGTACTTAGAACAGTGAATTTTAAAAACTAGTAATTCTCAATTATGTACGTAGTTCCCTATTTAGCCACTACGAGTATACATCTACTTTACAGAAGATCTTTGTTGTTTGTTTAAATCTAGGATATTTATGATACCTTTTTAATGTATTTGAGTTTGGGTATTTTCGGTGTTCCCTCAGATATTTGTGGTCTTGCTTCCTTATAATATCTATAGGGCATCCTAGTTTAGGGACCAGATAATTAATGTATGCCTCATAAATATTATTAAGATGTAATACATAATATTATTTCCTGGCCTTGTACAGGTACTAATTAAATATATTATTTATTTTATTAGGTGTAGTAATTTTTTGGTTATCTAAAATTGAATAATGAACATTTTAGTGCATCTCGTGATACCTTAGGTATATGTCTAAGACATTAAATGACGAAGGTTCTCAATAAAGCAGTTTTTTTCCGTTATGTTTATTTTCGCTTTATTGCACCAGAATTTAATAAAAAAGTACACAAAATAGGGATCGACCAGTAAATAAATAATAGGTAATAAATTATAAAAGGTAGTCTCATAGATAATCAATATCTTCTGGGCTTGCCCAGAATCGCGTAATTAGATAGAAATTGCATTTGTTAAAAGTCATCTATAGGAATATTATTTAACAGTACAAATACGACTCGAAAGAATTAAAGGAAAAAATTACGATAAAAAATGGCAAATTGTGCTTGCAATTAATCATAGTATTTATTCTTATATTGGCTCTATACTGATTTTGTTACGATTGAAGTCTTATTTTTTGTTGAACAAAATTTTCAACTATATCTTTAATAGTGTGTTAGTTTGAAGATGATAAATACCTATTTAAAATGAATATGACGACTATGTTCAATGTGTTCTGGCTTGGTAGAATCTGCTTATTTTGTTTAGACAGTTGACAATTACAGGGTAATAGCTCGCAGACACATTTAATGAGCCATCGATTCTGATTCTTTAGTGCAGGCACGGTCGAGTAATAAATGGCAGTTACTGTTTTCATGACGACATGCCGCAGGCTCGTTACGGCTTGTCTTCGTAAACATAATTTCTTGTTATTTCTTATGTAATAACAATATAGGTTGGAGAAAATTACAAATTATCTTTTTGTCTTTTTTGTAATAAAACACCGATTTATTAGTTACTTATAGACTATGGGAACGGGTAATGAAATATTATGAGAGATTGAGTGCGATGCTGTATTCGTTTGTTTTCATTCTTTAACTATATTAGTTAAACGTATAGTCTACAATATATTTTAATATTTAATTATTCTATATTATTTTATTGCTTTATTGTTTATTTTTTCATTTAAGAGTTTCCTCTTGTTGGTGCAACTAATTCATGCATCTTCTTCCAGCCAGCTTTATCCCAGGCCATATCCTTGATCTCCCTATACGACATGACACCTAGTGTTTCTTTTATCTGTCCCATGTAGTTATTCCTCGGTCTTCCTCTTCCTCTTTTGCCCTCTATTTTTCTTTCTACTATGCTCTTAAAAAAAAAATCGTCATGTCGTATAAGGTGGCCCAGCATTTTGCTTCTTCAATTCCTGCTTTATTGTATAAAGCGAAAAAATAATAATTTACATATATTGGTAGGTATAAATTATCATACAAAATTTTTTTAAAGTCCTTCTAGATCTTTTTGTAGGTTGCTATTTAGATCTGGTTTTATCATAAATTTATATATTGTTCACACATTCTATTTATAATTATATAAAACATTTTTTTTTCTTTTTAAGATGACAGACACTACGGGGTTGAGTATAGGAAGACACCGAGGATGTTTTTTACTATTAGCAGCATTGGCTCTGGCGTTTTCAACTTATGTTGAACAGGTAAAGCATTGCATTAATTCCAGGTTTAAGAATATGAAATTCAATATCTGACTTAAGCTATAAGTATTTGTATTAAATAAATTACATTTAATTATATATTTGTTAGGTGGTGAGTTTGCCAGCGGATCCAAATATAAATCAATGGCCAACATTTCCTAGAAGGAATATAGCAGCTTTGGCTCGAGATGGATATCTTAAAAATTCTGTGCTTGGAAGTTATAAGAGGAGTATTTCTACTCTCGCCAAAAATGGACAATTGCCTACATTTAGATCTCCCTATGACGAAATCGATAAACAAGATGAACAGGATGAAGAGGAATCTCATGCGAAAAGGAATATTGCTTCCATAGCTCGTCTTCGTAGTTATTCTGCTATGAAGAGGAATATACAGGCATTGGCTAGGGATGGTTTCCGTGCCGGCAGAGGACAATATAATCAGCAAAATGACAAACGTAATCTGGCCGCATTGGCTCGAAATGGCATGATACATAAAAAAGATGAAATTAATGGAGACGAATACTATTATCCGTTTTATCAAAATCCAATTCCCCCTCTATCAGAAATTGATGGCCCGTACGACTTGAATGAAATGTATGATTACCAACAATCAATTAACCCTGATATGTTTCCACCGCTCTCACAAGTGTTTAAGCGCAGTAGTGTTTCACCACAGTCGCCTATGGATTTTAATCAATTAGATGTGGACAGCAATTGGTATTATAAGAGAGGAATAATGGGTATGCCGGTGCACGGTCTTTATAGGCCAGTATACACGGAACCGAATGTTAGGAACAAGAGATATATACTGACTCTTCCAGATGTTATCGAACATAACGATTTAGATGTATCGGAAAATGACAGTGGAAATAATGACAAGCGCTCTGTTGGTAAGTTATATATATTGCAATAACAACATAAGTTTGAATGAAATAAATGGTATATTGTTGTCATAACTATACTTTTTACAGATGAAGATAACGATATACGTGAAAATTTTGAAAAGCGTCATATCGGTTCATTGGCTCGATTAGGTTTGCTACCATCATTTAGGTTCTCAGGAGGGCGCTATAGCAGATCTGGGAGAGCTAGACTGTTATTGCCCAGTCAAGAATTGTACAGGTCTTGTAAAATAAATGTACCATAAATGTACCTTGTGTTAAAATCATGTAGATCTAATGTGCTTTAGTGCTTCTGGACAAGAAGAACGTCTAGATTTCAATGGAAACATTAGAGGCATGATAAATGTTAGTGCATATGTACTAAGTGTTTACGAATTGATGTTAGTGTAGGTGTATGTTAAACAGGGTAATTTAGTAGCATATTAACATAGATTGCGGTACAAGGATTGATTTAATGTACTGTATAGCTGCTGTATGATCTTAAATAGACACGAATTTCCCTGAAGTATCGTTAACAGTGTCGCATGTGAATGGAATATCTGAATAAGATTCAATACTTGTTTAATATTATTTTATGAAAATATTATATATGAGGAAGTGTTGATAAGCATGAGTGTGGAAACAAAAACGAATATCTTGGAAAATTTATATAATAAATATGTATGTGTATTAGATAATTGTTTATGTAATAAGTGTATTATTATTAGTTCGAAACAGCTAATTTATAATTATTTTTTTTAGGAAGCATACCCCTGACGAGAATTTCGGAATTAGGTGAGTTAATTTTTTTATTAAAGTTTAAAAGTAATAAGATCATGATAATAAGATAAATTTTTATTTTCACGATCTTATCAAGAATGTTTATATTTTTTTATGCAATTTAGAATGAAAAACGAGCTGACAGCCCACCTGATAGAAAGTGGTAACCGTTGCCTATAGATATGAGTAGTACCATGGACATAACAGAGTATATATACTGTTTCGCTCATGATACTCCCCATGCGTTGTCATTCTGAGGACTCGGGTGATATTCCTCTGTACCCTGTAAATTCACTGTCATATCTCACCCTTCAAACCGAAACAAAGCCGTACAAACACAACTGCTTCACGGTAGAAACATATGTTTTATGTTATTTGAATGACTTGAAGTGTTAAGTCTTTCATATGTCTATTTATTGACATCTGTAAATTAAAGCTTAAATATATAATTATAATATTGAATAAACTTCATGTTAATGAAATCGATTGATATATCAAATTCACGATAGTTTTTTTTTTAAACTCAATCGGACTCAGATTTTTCAGAAATATACACTTTCTGAGAATTCTCGATCAAAACACTAGATGAAATTAAATTTTATTATAGAGGCTTAGAAATAAAAGAGTGCATAAAGGCTTTATTTATATAGGGATCAGACATAATTGTTTACTTAATACGACGGAAAATTAACTTGTATCATTATGATAAATATTAAATATAACTCGATTACATGCATAGTTTCCCGGATGTTATCTATTGTGTGATGTAGCGGGGTTCTACACGCAACACCCACCGGCACGGTCCGAGGCGGACGGTGCTGTGTCTTCCTGTACTCTGTTAACTTTGTTCTTTGATGTTTCTGTATTTCCGCGTTGTTTCATATGCTTACATTTTAATACTTATAATTATTTTGTAATCATAAATATATAAAAACATCGGTGTTGTTGATTAAAAATTAAACAACTGTAAAATAAATAATAATTTAATATAATATTTTATACTAGTAAAAGTTACTTTCAAATATATAATATTATACAACTACAATATAATCTAAGGAATATACCTATATACTATCAAAAAGAGTTCGACTCGTTCGTCAAAGAGAATCTATTGATTAGACTTATTTTTTTTTATACTACTTAGAATGGCAAACAAGTTGACGGCCCACTTGCTGGAAAGCGGTAACCGTCGCCTATAGACATGAGCAGTACCATGGAAATAACAGAGTATACTGTTTTGCCCATGATACTCCCATGCGTTGCCATTTCTGAGAATTCAGGTGTTATTCCTCTGTACCCTGTAAATTCACGCCATATCCCATCCTTCAAACCGAAACACAGCCATGCAAACGGTTGAAATACGAATGGGACAGATCACACTTATCACAGAGTACCAAAATAAATGAAACTTTGTTAATTAAGTTTGACAATTGTGTCATGAAAAATAATATTTTCAAGAAGATTCTTTCGCTGGGATGTATTATTTATTATGTAATAAGACATATTAATTTTGTTTTATCTCCAAGGCAACTGCGTTGTGGTGTATGACTGATAAGACTGAGTATTATTATTTAAGCCTCAGTAAAGATAAATTCATCCACGTGAAGTAATTACGACAGAGAATTCCATTGTTAATATACTTTTTTTACTAAATTTATATAATATTATATATGCAGATATGTAAATTCAACTTTTTTTTTAATTACAATTATAAAATACTAATAATAATCGTCGTGGGTCCGGCATAGAGTAGGGCACCCCTTCTTTTCCCATAGGTGTCGTAAGAAGCGACTCAATGAACTTATTGGTCGAGGAATGGGCATCACCGCTCCTCCTAAAACATCTCCAAGGCCTAACTGCGGTTAGCTACCCCCTTGCCAAGCGTGGCAACTACCGACAAAGCCCTCCATTAGAGAATTAACTGCTGAGTTCAGGAAATCAAGAGTTGAAAGATATCTACGGCTTTTGTATGTTTATCATGCGATGATAAATAATTTCAATTTACAACTAATATTATATTGAACCCAGGAATTTTGAACTCTCGTTTATACCTTTATATATTACTTTATAGTTACCTTTTTGCCGGCGTCTTAACGCCTATTACAATTATATACTTTTTCTATTTCGAAGTAGAACCACATAATAGTTTGCTTTAGTCATGCTTTCGTTTATATTTTCTGAGTAAAGTATTATTAATTTGACTTTTATTCAATATATCTCAAAGAATTTTTATCGACTATAACCTTGACTGACTGGCGAAATAACTTTCAAATAGCGATCAATCTTCTGAACTTTTTATTACGCAATTAATCAATCTATTTCAGTAGATAATAAAAGAGGATTCTGTTGATATTTTAGTAAACTCAACAATATTTGTTTGTCGACAGGCAATATATCCCTAGTGCCGAAATTGACACAGCAATCGATTCAGACGACACCGACGTACCGCCGGCGGCAGTACCTGCTCACTCGCACCCGACCGGTCGGATCTTCAACCGACCGTTGAACAACGACCTACCTATAGCCTCACCTCCACTCCCATCACCACCACTCCCACCTCCAAATTACCTAGATGTCTTCGCAAAAAACCGCTGGCAGTCCAACACCAAAGAGATCCCCAAGTTCTACCACTTCAGGTCTCTTAAAATTCCTTATCATACATCCGGGAAAAGGTACTTGTTACTGCCAGCGGTCGACAATATTCTCTTAAGAAAAACCTACCGCAACAGCAGCCTACCGAGCCGGCGTAAGAACCAGTAGCTGTGCCAGTGTCCGCTAGGTGACGCCACGTTGCTTAGCTCCCAGGCTAGATACGCTAATGAACTGTGAATGAATTATTCCCACTTAGCTCTGTGATTTTATTTTATACCTATACATTTACAATTGCAACAGGGATCATGGATACTGAAATATATTTAGACAATAAAAATATTCGAATTAATAAATCTTATTGATGTTATATGTTGTGATTACAAGTTTTTAAACTTATAATTATTATGGATTAAAAATAGGATAATTAATTATAATCTAAGGGATCTCATTTTTGTGAAACGACTCGGCCAGCTTATGACAGATATCGTATAAAATTAATATTGTAGATAAATTTTTAAGGTGTCAATCGCAAATATTAGTTGAACGAATGCGATGTATTTTCTTGGTAGTATTATAATTGTAAGAATTAAGGAAAGTTAATTACTTTCCTGTTCCTCAAATATTAATGATCTCATTTTATTTGGATTTGCTCATTCTTGTACTATTAACTATATTGCTGTTATAGAGGGTAAATGTTAGGCTTCCAATTAAAAAGAATGTTGATCAAAGTAAGATAACGATGTGATAAGTATGTAGAAGATTGTATTTATTTCTTTTCATTTAATTCTGTTTCATTTACTCTGTCCTTTCCTTAAACTTATATTTAGCTGTGTTCGACAAATAAATAATTTGAAAATATTTGTAACTTTGAAGCTTTCATTCGAATTGCCCGTAATGTTTTCTGTGAGGACAATTGTGTGTAGTATATATCTGCCTATATCTATTTTTTGAGGCGTGGACAATAAATAGATGATATAAGCGACCACGGTACGAGATAATAATTTACATTCATATTATACTGTAGTGGTATTCTCTTTCTTATGTGAAGTACTCGTAAATGCATACTGCTATTTTAGAGTTGTATTTGTTGTAAATAAATTAAACTGGGTCAAAGATATGTTTTATTTCACACCTATAATTATTTGATAGATCATATTTATAAGTAAAATAAAATAAATTCTTAATTATAAAGTGGTCATAAGACCGTTTCTCCAATAACAAACTATATCTAAGTCTCTGAACTCATACGATTTTCAGATAGTCAAACAAATAATGAAACTAGTGAGTAAAAAGTTACGAGGTATATGAATATTATTATATATTGATAAAAATAATATATAATCCAATAATTGTTCAGTACTAATATTATTTGTAGATACGTAGAGCACCAGGCGTTACAGTGTATTTTATGATGTTGATCTATAGTACCATTCATTCTCTTACCATTCATACTATAAGTGACGGTTACTACTATATGTCAAGAGAAAAAGAAATTCTAGTGAAGTAATATATATATATATATATATATATATATATATATATATATATATATATATGGTTATATATATGGTTTTATATTTTTTCACATTTTTTGTGAGGTAACAATATAAATGTAAATTCTCTCTTTATTTCACTCTTTTCCGCGTTTAGTTTCTCATTTGGGTCGTTGTGCGAAGCAATATAAATATAACGTACATGAAGTTTTTTTAAATAGCGTACTAAAAGGAAAAATAGAAAGCAGAAGAGGAATGGCAAGACCGAGAAATAGTTATATGGGACACATGAAGGAAATACTAGATCTTATGTTGTATAGGGAGGTCAAAGATATGGCCTGGAATAGAGCTGATTGGAAAAGAACACATGAATTAGGTGCCTCGAGAAAGAGGCAACTTTATAAGATATAATAATAGGAACATTTTAAATTAAAAAAAATATGAATACTTACTTATATATATCGGTAGTCTAACTTACTAGGCTGAGTCACATAAATTTAAAATAGGATACGTTATCATAGACAAGAGAATAAAATTCATAGTTGATTAATAAAAAAAAGTACTTCTATTTTTTAATAAAGTTGCCCATTCAACCGAAGAGCACAAGCTAAAAGCCTATAGTAAATATTGTAACTAACAACTCTGACTTGTAAACAAGCAACGTATCTGTCTACGCACATGAAAGCTAATTTTATTTCATTATCGTGTGCAGCATACTATGAAGTGAGCATTGAAATATTTCATATATTAGTGTACTGTTCATACTCAATATTTTCTTGTAAAGATAGATAAAGTACTAATAACATAAGTACCAGTAATTAAACATCATTTATAATTAATTGATAATCAATTAACGTGATATACATTATTAACTATATATGGTTACCTCGTACCTACGTATATTCTTTCTGAATAAGACATGAGGAAACGGAACAAATATTATTTGATGCAACTATTATAATTATATATATAATTATAATTGGCAATATTTAAGATATTTTATTTTAGTTTCTGTTTATTTTTAATTGTTAAATTATGTATACGACCTTGTTGTAGTTACTTTCTATTAATATTAATTTCCCCATAATACTAAAGAAGGTTGGGACTATGGCTCCTTAACACACTCCTTAACCTATTTAGGAACCTAGTTCTAAAACTACAACTATTGTACCCTTTTAAAATTATAATATTAATATAATAAAGTTAAGAAACTACAGTTATGTTTTTACGAATAAATTTCACTTCATTGCACTTAATCGTTAAAATTTGTCCATCTAGATTAGGCTTTGCACAGGTAGATAGAATTTTTTTTTATACGACTTAGAATGGCAAACTAGCTGACGGCCCACCTGATGGAAAGTGGTAACCGTCGCCTATAGACATGAGCAGTACCATGGACATAATAGAGTATACTGTTTCGCCCATGATACATGCGTTGCCATTCCTAAGGACTCAGGTGTTATTCTTCTGTACCCTGTAAATTCACGCTATATCCTACCCTTCAAACCGAAACACAGCCATGCAAACACAACTGCTTCACGGTAGAAACACGAATGGGACAGAGGTACCCAAGCCATCGACTTTTGTACAAAGTCTCCCTCAGATAAAATAATTTTAGAATAATATATGGCCTGTGTTACTCGCCGTGTGGCCCCGGCATAGAATGGGCCATCCCTTATGCTGTGGGTGTCGTAAGAGGTGACTAAGGAAACTTAAAACATCACCAAAGTTTAACTGCGGTTGTCAACTGGCCAGTCAAGCATGACCACTACTGGTAAATGCCCTCAATAAAGAGAGGTCTATGTTCAGCAGTGGACAGTTAAAGGCTGATAAGACGGCTTGTTAATAATGTATCTATAAATGAAAGAATATTTAAAATCGGTTTAATAATATTGGAGTTTATATATATACAAACAATCAATTAAATCTTTCCTCTTTATAATTTTAGTATAGGTATAAATATTCATTAATTTTGAAAATACAAAGAATTTATTCAAGTTCTTTTTTCAGGGTGAAATAGTAGATTCCGGCGTTTATTATATCACCTTATACGATGTTACTTTCCGAGAACTAATTTCAACGTTCTCGAGTCGACATTCTAGGACTTTTCATTTGTATTAATTGCATAAGGTTTCATTAGTAGGTAGTTCCGTTTTCTTTTGTAAAATAATTAAATTAATAATTAAGTAACATTTTAAACTGTTTTATGTACTACTTAAAGTGTTTACTGAAAGGCATTTGTATGGATTTGAGCAAAGATTTTTATTTTTAATAAAATATTAAGTTTTACATTTACTTTATCGCTTAACTTGTAATTTTTATTGTGTTGATAGTTAGACTTTTAATATTAGTGAAAAAAAAGGAGAATGCAAAAAAGACAACTGTTAATAATGTAAGAATATTTATTAAGCTATTAAAAATCGTTATTAAATCTTTTCAAGCCGTTTGATACTGAACACGGGAATTGCCAAGTTATCTTCTTCATTCACGAGGGTGATATTCAATATGAGGATGTTGAATATCAAAGTGTATTGGCATATTGAAGGTCAGTTCAATCTTAAAGATTTAAAGTGGAACGATGGCTTCGGTGGCCGGGGCACATTCGGCGGTTGGAGTGGCGGAACATTGACCCAGGTTGCAGTAAGGTAGAGTAGGGTCGGTGCAAGCGCGCTGAAGTCCACCAATCTTAGTGCAGATTAGTTTAGTATTACAGTCTAGGCAGCTTGAGCCGACACCGACGCATGGTGACCACTGTGCCAACCAGGGAGCTCCCGCTAGCCAAGGTGGTAGCCATGGGTTTACACCACCAGCTGCACCGCCGGCCGGACCACCCCATCCACCCCAGGCGCCTCCAGGCTGCGCTGGAACTGCTGACGCCACAACCACCTGAAAAAGTAGTAGAGTGGTTTTATTATTAATGCATGAACACGTAAATATATAGCAGTGTCATAATTAATGGTGTCTAAGTAGTTAGGCAATATGCATTTTAGCAAAATGTATATTACATACTATTTTATAATATAAAGTCTAAGACAAGTTAAAAATATTGTGAGTATTTTTGGTATAATGAATCAATGACCTTAGCGATGATATAGATCCAGGATAACAAAGCTGCAATGTTCAGAATATGTATATAGATATCATAGAATGAATGTATATTTTTCTATTTGTGATTTAAATCATTTTATACTGTAGGTTACAATACTTACCACAAGGCAAAGTGCTACAAGGACTTTGGAGTACATGTTTGAGATCTCGTATGTCGTTCGTATCGTTTCACAAAATACAATTCAATACGTATAGACGTGTAGTTCCTAGCGTATAAATAGGAGCTGATGTTAATTTAAGGATTAGGTTCAAGAAAACAACTAGAATAATAAGGTTTTTCCAGCGGTACATCATAAACGTTCATTTACAGATAGCACGTGAAGTATAGATAGCAACTAAAATGTGTAAATAAGGATAATATTTGAGATTTCTATACCGCTTATATTATATGTATTATAAAAAAGGTCAGAGAAGATAAAGTCGTTGTTGATATTGATCATCATTTTCATCATTTCAGCCATTATCCGTCCACTTGCTGGACATAAGCCTCCTCCATAGACTGCCATAAAAAACGGTCTTGAGCCATCTGCATTCACTGACTCCCTGCAATGTATTTCAGGTCGTCACTCCAGCTCGTATGCGGTCGGCACTCAAGAACTTTTCTTCCCCATGTTAATATTGATATTTTTTAATAATACAATACAATCTTATAAAAAAAGTTAAGTTATTGTGTTGTAATTGGAGGGTTTAATTGTTTCCGGAACGTATCTGCCTGAAAGGATATCTTTAGTAATTGTATGTGGAAATGCTGCAAGCCTTTTAGAAACTTTCGTGTCGGGTACGGAAGAGGACACTTTTGCTGAATTAACGTATATAGTCTCGGTATTTTTTTTACAAATTTATTTTTAATTAAATTAAAATAATAAGTTAGTATTTTAAATACACAATATAAACACAGTCACAGAAAGTTACAAGAATATATTGTAATACAATATTGTTATATATTATCTTAGAGTAATCGATTGGGCAATTGGAACATTAATCTGTGCACATCTATGTTTTACGAGTATTACGTGGCCGAAGGTTTGTAATTTTTTAAAATCTGCTCAAAATATATTAGATGATTAATTTGTGTAATTATTCGTCTTTGAGTTTAAAAAAATATACATCGTTCCATGAGAAATTAAATAGATATTTTTCAAAATATTGTCTACTGCAATACCAAATCACGAATATTTTGAGTAGGTTGATAGATTGATATAAGTAAGGTTTCACCCCTGTTTTGAGAAAAGAAAGTATTAGATAATATCTTAGCAGGTATCATACACTGGGAATGATAGGTATGGTAAAAAATAAATATAACGACCATAAATTGTTAGTAACCATAGATAAACATTCTACATAAGAGTTATTTATATAAGAATTTACCTATTGGGTTTTTTGGCATGTCCATGTGTTCTTATTTATTATTTAGTCATAAACACATAAACGTACAATAATTTCCTAACTGCGTTCTAATTCTACGCTACCGTACTATCGTATTTGATTTTTTTAATATGTTGGTTTTACGATTAGGAAATTTTAATCTAGTGACATATTTTTCTTCCTATGTAGTTTATAGTATAATTTCACAATGGAAAATTCACGGGGGGTGTTTTTGTTACGTTTAGCATACAATACGTATGTTTATATAGAGTTTTATCAGTTTGTTTTATACAACACTCGATTATTCCGCATTAAGAATCTAAGATAATGGAAAAGTATGTACATTCGTTAAAACTATAAATATCAAATTAAAGGAACAATTTGAAATACTTATGTTGCTTAATAGAATATGATCTAGCACCCTAGACAAGTACGACTTTATTGATAGAATTGTCAACGCTAGCGAAACTATGAGATAGAAAGAGATGGCGACGTGGGCTGTCTTGTTCTTTCTTATATGAGTGTTGATTGACGCGATTCTATCGATAGATTCGTTTGTACCCTGTATAGGGATCCGGTTCAGTTAGGAGTAGGCGATGTAAAATTTACATTGTAAATAATTATCAATGAGAATTGAATATGAGTCGATTTTAAAATGAAGGAGATCCCCATTTCACCTGTTTTTTTGTATAATTTTCGATATATTTTTTCTGTAAGGTTTACTAACGCGTTGATCATCTTTCAATTTTAGCATGGTCGAAGATTATATTTTTTAGAGTAGCAAAATTTGAATTATTTACGTAACGATGTTATCATCCTAACTAAAATTACAAATGCGAAAGTGAGTTTGTTTGTTTGTTACGCTTTCCCGCTAGAACAGCTAAATCGATTATGATGAACTTGAGTACGAGTATAGACATAGATGAACCTAGAGATGGTTATTAGCTACTTTTTCTTGCGAAAAACTTATAGAATACTTTTTATTGCGTATTCTGTTTTGCTTCAAACTATGCAGATTTGACGTTTATCCATTTTTTGTAACTCATTTCTACCTAAACTAACAATGAGAATTGTTATACAAAATCAATATTAATGCGGACGAAGTAAAAGTTTGTAAGGTTATAAAAATCTAATTGTAATAATACACTGAAAAAAATTATTTATTTTATAGGAAATATTTATAGGAATATATTTATGGGAAAATTAATTGGATGATAAATTATAATATAAAAACCACAATTACTCCTGGATAAATTTCATTAGCAAATATTTTTGCTAATTTTATTTTATAAGGCTCCAGTGATTATTGTTGACTTTTAGATAAATATATATATTAGGTAAGGAAGCTAACATTAATCGTGAAGATGCACAATGGTATTTGCATACTAATTGTGCATTTAACTATTAACGAACGTTTAACTTTTAGGGACTAGATTAATATCACTAATCTAGTAAAGTAGTATTTAAACGGTAGGTTAGTAAGCACTAGCCCTGGAATGGCGTAGAAGGTGCGGATTCAAACTTCGACTGCTTTGTTATTTTATATAATAACTAACGATCCGCCCCGGCTTCGCACGGATGCAATGCTGATAAGGGCCATATTGATCTGTATTAAATGAACAATGTATTTAAGATACTTAATTGGATAAAAATTACTACTGTATTGCTTAAAATGCTCCGTAAATAAGCCATTTTTCCCGTAAAATGTAAAGTTCCAAAAAATGGTTATTGTGAGTTTTCCTTAAGAGATAGACATATACCATCGCGGACTTTTTTGTTGATCTTTTTAAGGTGTACAATACTGTAGTGCATTATTTTGATTTATCTCATGGGGTTTAGCCAGCGTTTGCAATGTAAGCGCAAAAAATGTGTTTATTTACGACATAATATTAGAAACCTCTAAATTTATCAGGGTTTCTCTACAATATTATGTATGTATTATATATATAAACCTTCCTCTTGAATCATTCTATCTATTAAAAAAACCGTTCCAAAATCCGTTGCGTAGTTTCAAAGATTTAAGTATACATAGGGACGGACAGACAGCGACCACGACTTTGTTTTATACTTTGTAGTGACAAGCTTTTACTCATGGCTTCGCTCGCGTGATTTTGTCCAACAATTCTGTTTGTTGGTAAAAATAGGCAAACGAAAAAAACAGCAAAAACAATATAAAACGTAATACAATTACATTATTATTAATATAGAACTAAATACAGATAACAATTTATACCAAGTATAAAATGAAAAAATATTGGATACAAAGTAACTAAGTAAAACTACACATATATAGTATAACGAATTTGAAAATAATAAAAGACTATCGCTCAAAGGAAAAAAAAAAAAAGAATGATATATAACAAAATGCAATAACAATATAATTAACATAGAATTAAATACAGATACATGATAACAAATCAATCAATTTATACCAAGCATAAATTGAAAACTATAAAATAAATTTCCTCTTAAACGTTTTTTAGAATGCATGAAACGTGAACCGTGTGGTTCCGACATAAAATGTTGATATGTCGTTGTTTATCGAGATTTATTTCGTCATGTAAATATCAGCCGTTAACTGTTCACTTTTGAACATAGGCCTCCTTCATAGGGGGGGTATTGCTAGTAGTTTTTTTTTATACAACTTAGAATGGCAAACAATCTGACGGCTCACCTGATGGAAAGTGGTAACCGTCGACTATAGACATAAGCAGTACCATGGACATAACAGAGTATACTGTTTCGCTCATGATACCCCCCATGCGTTGCCATTCCTGAGGACTCCAGTGTTATTCCTCCGTACCCAGTAAATTCACGCCATATCCCACCTTTCAAACCGAAATATAGCCATTCAAACACAACTGCTTTACTGTTGTCACATTTGGCAGGCGAGTTGACAACCGTAATTAGGTTTTTGTGACGTTTATGGGAGCTGCTGCTGCCCATCTTTCAACTATTAAATTCCCTTAGTCGTCTCTTACGACATCTACGGGAAAGGAAGGGGTGGTCCATTCTATACCAGGACTATACATCAAATAAACAGTAAATACTCTGCATATAATATTAGACGTGTATAATACTTTCGGTATATTGCATATAATAGTTCATTCAAATAAGCGTTAATTTTTGATATATGATAAAAAAAAAAAAAAAAACTGAAAATAATAATCTAAATAAGATTTATCATATGCTAGTTATGAACTCTAAACTTGTCTTAAGTTAGTTAGAACTTCTGAAGAAAAGTAGCAAATAAATCTACCAGTAGTAACGAAATCGTTATACATTCTTATGCTAAAAAACAAGATGCCAGTGTGATGCCTTTACTGTGTCGTTTTGTCTCATGCATATGGCAGTCATTTATCTAGGGAAGCAGATTAGGGACCTGTTACTGCAATTTTGTCAACTGATTTGTGGCGCACTGTTGAGTTAGAACTTGTTCAAAAATCCTGTTGGATATTATTAAAGTCAGTTTGCTGTTTTGATTTAACACAAACACAATGAACTTAGCTTTAAATTCAAAGTACGGTTTTTTTTATTACAAACATTTTTTTTTAATTTTTTTTTATATGACTTAGAATGGCATGTTTGCCATTCTAAGCTTGTTAGCTGACGGCCCACCTGATGGAAAGTGGTAACCATTGCCTATAGACATGAGTAGTACTATGGACATAACAGTACACACACATACTGTTTCGCCCATGATTGCCCCATGCGTTGCCGTTTCTGAGGACTCAGGTGTTATGCCTCTGTACCCTGTAAATTCACGCCATATCCCACCCTTCAAACCGAAACACAGCCATGCAAACACAACTGCTTCACGGTAGAAACACGAATGAAATAAATCACTTCCAGAAGATATATTAAGATGAAACATACACCAGTT